TACCCTCACTTCACAACGTACACTGTTACAAGTGTAGAGGGCACTTAAACACTTCCCGCAGCACTGCTAAACTTAACCCTCCTTCACAACGTACACTGTTACAAGTGTAGAGGTCATTAACACTTCCCGCAGCACTGCTAAACTTTACCCTCACTTCACAACGTACACTGTTACAATGTAAAAGGTCACTAAACACTTCCCGCAGCACTGCTAAACTTACCCTCACTTCACAACGTACACTGTTACAAGTGTAGAGGTCACTTAACACTTCCCGCAGCACTGCTAAACTTACCCTCACTTCACAACGTACACTGTTACAAGTGTAGAGGTTACTTAACACTTCCCGCAGCACTGCTAAACTTACCCTCACTTCTAACACCACTCTACACTCACCTCTTATAAAAATGTGATTGTAAACACTGGATTTAGCTCCCGGGCTCCAAGACTCTTATTACTCTCGGAGCCCGGCAGTGGGCCAGGCTCGTCTGGTGCTAGCCTAGTCAACCAGGCTCTTGCTGTTAGTACACCCTATGCAATTTTGGATCCAAATTGTAGATAGGAACCTTAAAAGCGAACCTAGGTGAGAAAATATACTTGGGTGAGGATAAAGCTTTGACCTGGTCAATGATCACTCTGGTGCAATAATGACACCGTTGATTAATAACGTAATGTATGAAGAGGAAGGCTGCTCCCTGTGTGTAATAATAGTCTGATTGACACAGGCGGAGGTGATGAGGGCCAACACAGTGTGTGGACACACTGTAGTCACACACAGTGTGGTTATACTGTGTGGGTAGTTACACACGCTCACATCATTGACCAAGGTGGAATATCACTTGGTGAGGATTAACGGCTTTGACTGGTCATGACACCGGAGCCGTTGACTCACAGTGATTAATGAACGTGTAATGTATGCAAGAGGAAAGCAGGACTGGGGGAAGAAGGGAAGCGAATGGGAGACAGGAGAGGGATAGAGAGAGGCAAGACAGGTGTGGGAAACACTGTGGGAAGCAGTGTGGGAACTGTGTGGGTAGTACACAGGTCACATGCATGGAACCATGGAGAAAAGCACTGTTAGTGTAGTTACAGGAGAGATGGTCAGTGACCCGAGCGTGAAGTCACAGTAATATAGCAGAATGTTGGGCAGAGAGAGAAAACAGGAGAGGGAGACAGGAGAGGAAGCAGGAATGGAAGACGAGAGAGGCGGAGAGGGAAGACAGGAGAGGGAAGCACAGGGAGACGGTTTCCAGCCGAAGTGCAGTTGAGTGTCGGCTGAGACAGACTGAGGTGAAGACTGTGAGAGGGATGACAGAGAGGTGAAGACAGGAGAGCTGAACAGGACACCTGAGTTGACATGAGCCCCGGGAAGACAGAGACGGAACCAGGAGCATCACAAGCGAGAAGCGGGAGCACAGAGTGGAAGATCAGGAATGAAACGGAGAGGGAAGACAGGGAGTGGTCAAGCAAAGGAAGACCAGAGTGGAGCCTGAGTGGCAGACTAGACAGTGCAGCTGAGCTGGGAGACAGGAGAGTGTAGCCAGGGAGACAGCAGTGAGGGTGAGACGGAGCTTGGGCAGGTCAGGAGCGGGACAGACAGGAGAAGGGAAGACTAGAGTGTCAAGACAGGGAGTCAAGCAGTGAAGGAGTGGAGACAGCAGTGCGGAGGGCAGATTCAGCAGGCACCAAGGAAGAGGGGCAGGCAACAAAAGGGAGACAGTGTCAGGAGATGGCAGACTTAGCAGGCAGCTGAGGGAGACAGGTGAGGGAAGGCAGGAAAGGGGAAGACAGGAGAGGGGAAGACGAGAGTGGAATGAACGGAGAGGGGAAGGCAAGGAAGAGAGGCAGCCGAGTGGCAAGGCCAGCGGAGAAAAGGAGGAGATCGAGGACAGGAGAGGTCAGCAGGAGTGAGTGGAAGACAGGAGGGAAGGCAGAGAGGGAAGACAGGAGGAGGAGGCAATAGAGGGGAACACTGGTTTATTACCAGCCAGTGATGAATTGACAGTTGGTGTCGGTGCTGGCACCACTGTCAGCTGACGGGACTTCCGTCTCACCTAACTGGACTACACATGTCAGCCTGACTGGCACTTCACTGTCCCCTAACTGAGTAGACTCAGCAGTGTCTCCCTGAGCTGCAGACTTCCACTGTCAACTTAACTGAGATTCGCTTCCCTGCTGACATACTCAGCGATGACACCTAACTGGAGACTACACAGTGGCAACAAACTGAAGACTTCAGCATGTAGCTGAGCTGGAGACTCAAAGTGTCAATCTAAACTGGAAGACTTCAGCAGTGTCAGCCTGAGCTGGCAGACTTCAGCAGTGTCAACCTAAACTGGAAGACTTCAGCAGTGTCAGCCTGAGCTGGCAGACTTCAGCAGTGTCAGCCTAAACTGGAAGACTTCAGCAGTGTCAGCCTGAGCTGGCAGACTTCAGCAGTGTCAGCCTGAGCTGGCAGACTTCAGCAGTGTCAACCTAAACTGGAAGACTTCAGCAGTGTCAGCCTGAGCTGGCAGACTTCAGCAGTGTCAGCCTAAACTGGAACAGCAGAACTTGAAGCCAGTGTCAGCCTGAGCTGGCAGATTTTCAGCAGTGTCAACTTAAACTGGCAGACTTCAGCAGTGTCAACTTAAACTGGCAGACTTCAGCAGTGTCAACTTAAACTGGCAGACTTCAGCAGTGTCAACTTAAACTGGAAGACTTCAGCAGTGTCATCATAAGCTAGCATACTTCAGTAGGACAATGAGGATATCGTCCAATATACGCTACGAGAACTGCAAAGTTCACCTTCCAGCAGAGCTGCAGTCACTGTCTTACACTTAGCAACCACCATATATATATATATATATATATTATATATATATATATATATATATATATATATTTTATATATATATATATATATATATATAATACTTGTAATTTACATATATAGACTACGTATATGCATTGATATGTAAGAATGGTGAGTCACGGGGACAGTGAGGGGGAGGGAGAGGGGAAGTTTTGGGATTTAATGAGGGAGTGAGGGGAGGAGTGGATGTTAGGTGGGGGACTGTTGATACTTATTGATCAAAGTGAATGACCAGGTGCCTAGCATGACTTGATTCACCTGACCAGGTGCCTGCATCACTGACTCACCTGACCAGGTGCCTAGTATGACAGAAATAATATATATATATATATATAATATATTATATATATATATATATTAAAAAAAATATTATATATATATATATATATATTATATATATCACGCAGAAACAGACGGGTATATACAGAGATAGATCGCAGCCAGCAGGACTCGATCCTACTTCTGGGAGACAGGCGAGGTTCCCAAGTGACGCTCTTATACCACCCAGCCACAAATGCCTCGGAAACTGGGCATCCTGGTTCACAAGCCATGTTTCTTCCCAGCCTGGCTTGTGAACCAGGCTGCCTAGTTTCTGAGGCATTTGTGGCCTTCAAACCAGGTCTTCAGACCAGGTCTTTAGACCAGGTATTTAGACCAGGTTTTTAGACCAGGTCATCAAACCAGGTTTTTAGACCAGGTCTTCAAACCAGGTTTTTAGACCAGGCCTTCAGACCAGGCCTTCAGACCAGGTGCAGCTTCAGAATTCTTTTATCGGAGAAGCTTAGGGTAGGCAATCTAGTTTGAAGGAGGGGAGGCTTAGGGGGACTTGAATTCAAGTTGCGTGTTGTTTTTAGCACACCTGCTGTCTCCCACCAAGGTAGTCTGACCAACCCAGGTAGAAGAAACACATTCACCATCATTCCTTTAGCTGCTGTCTTCCAGAAGCATGCTGACTTTACAGTTCAGATGACCTTCCAAACTGGAACATCCTCACCCATCCTTCAGAAGGCAGGCACTGTACTTCCCACCTCCAGGACTCAAGTCTTGCTAACTAGTTCCTCTGAATTTCTGCATTATTATTATTTATTATTATTATTATTATTATTATTTGTTTCTGGGGGGAGGATGAGCCACCCTCGGTGCCGACACTGCTTCAGTTTTGATGGTATTTTGTTTATGTAAATTATGTCACTGCTTTTCACTGGTGGTATTTTGCACAGTCTCTCGTGCTTCCTGGTCTTGTAAGGAGTAATTTCAATATGCAGATTTGTAATGATTCATTAGCAATTTTCAGGTATAAATTATGAAGTATAATAGTGGAGTGTTCGTTGCGTCAGTCTTCTCCTGACAGACTGGCGCCAGTCTGAAAAACACTTTAAGAATGATTACCCTGCCTATATTTCACAGAAGTCAGGTAAGGCTTGTCAGGAATCAGGACAAGTGTTTCCTGACGGAGGTTAGGTACTGTTTGTCATGAAACAGGACGAGTGTTTCCTGACGCGGGTTTTAGGTATAGATGTTTGTCATGAAACAGGACGAGTGTTTCCTGACGCGGGTTTTAGTTATATGATGACCCACAGCTGTTTCAGAGTGCAGTGTAAGGAATAATTATTCCCAGTAATTTTAGTGAATTGGTATTTGGAGTGCAAGTTCTCTCTACATTCTCCAGTTTTAATTTTGCCCGTAACATTTGCTGATCTCTGATATTTGTGAAAGTCTCTTGATTCAAGGAATTAGAACTACCCTCCCCATCTCTGGTAAATCAAATCTGATTACCTCCCGTTCCCCAGGCGCTGTTATGACTCCCATTCCCCAGATGCTGTTATGACTCCCATTCCCCAGATGCTGTTATGACTCCCATTCCCCAGATGCTGTTATGACTCCCATTCCCCAGATGCTGTTATGACCCCCATTCCCCAGATGCTGTTATTAACCCCATTCCCCAGATGCTGTTATGACCCCCATTCCCCAGATGCTGTTATGACCCCCATTCCCCAGATGCTGTTATGACCCCCATTCCCCAGATGCTGTTATGACTCCCATTCCTCAGGTATTGTTATGACCTGTGTGGGTTTGGTTCCACGTGATTATTATAATAATGTTAAGGGTGTGTCAGAAGCTAGTATTGATGTAGATTGTGTTGTTGCAGCTGCCTGACGGGTGCGAGCTGACGGTGGGTGAGCTTCGCGACATGGCCAGCAGACAGCAGCAGCAGATAGAGTCGCAGCAGCAGCTCCTGGTGGCGCGGGAGCAGCGGCTCAAGTATCTGAAGCAACAGGAATCCCGCGCTGCAGCAGTCGCCGCTGAGGGTGACCGTCTCAGACGACTCCGCGAACGTGTCGAGGCCCAGGAAGCCAAACTGAGGCGCCTTCGTGCCCTCAGAGGTCAGGTGAGTGTCTCTAACGCCACCAGGAGGTCAGACTGAGGCACCTCCGTGCCCTCAGTGGTCAGGTGAGTGTCCCCAACACCACCAGGAGGTCAGACTGAGGCACCTCCGTGCCCTCAGAGGTCAGGTGAGTGTCCCCAACACCACCAGGAGGTCAGACTGAGGCACCTCCATGCCCTCAGAGGTCAGGTGAGTGTCCCCAACACCACCAGGAGGTTAAGCTCAGGTGCCTCCATGCCCTCAGAGGTCAGGTGAGTGTCCCCAACACCACCAGGAGGTCAGACTGAGGCACCTCCGTGCCCTCAGAGGTCAGGTGAGTGTCCCCAACACCACCAGGAGGTCAGGTGAGTGTCCCCAACACCACCAGGAGGTTAAGCTCAGGTGCTTCCATACCCTCAGAGGTCAGGTGAGTGTCCCCAATACTGCCAGGAGGTCAAACTGAGGTGCCTCCATGCCTGCAGAGGTCAGGTGAGTGTCCCCAATACTACCAGGAGGTAAAGCTGAGGTGCTTCTGTGCCCTCAGAGGTCAAGTGAGCGTCCCCACCACCACCAGGTCAAGCTGAGGCACCTCCATGCCCTCAGAGGTCAGGTGAGTGTCCTCAACACTACCAGAAGGTCAAGCTGAGGTGCCTCTGTGCCCTGAGAGGTCAGGTGAGTGTCCCAAACACTACCAGAAGGTCAAGCTGAGGCACCTCCATGCCCTCAGAGGCCAGGTGAGTGTCCCCATCACCACCAGGAGGTCAAGCTGAGGTGCCTCTGTGCCCTCAGAGGTCAGGTGAGTGTCTCCAGCACCACCACGAGGCCAAGCTGAGGTGCCTCTGTGCCTTCATAGGTCAGGTGAGTGTCTCCAATACCAGCAGGAGGTGAAGCTGAGGCGCCTCCATGCCCTCAGAGGTCAGGCGAGTGTCTCCAACACTAATAGGAGGCTACGTTCAGGTGCCTCCGTTCCCTCAGAGGTCAAGTGTCTCCAACACCACCAGGAGGTCAGGCTAAGGCAGAGGCGTCGCTAGAGTTGGTGTCACCCGGGGTGGAATCTCTGGTGTCACCCGGGGTGGAATCTCTGGTGTCACCCAGGGTGGAATCTGGTGTCACCCGGGGTGGAATCTCTGGTGCCACCCAGAGAGAGAAAGAGTGCTAAGAAGCAGGATTGCAAATCACCTGGATTCCCAAAATCTGCACAATCCAGGGCAACATGGGTTCAGGGCAGGTCGCTCCTGCCTCTCACAACTACTGGATCACTATGACATGGCCTTGGATGCACTGGAAGAAAATCAGAATGCAGATGTAATATACACAGACTTTGCAAAAGCATTTGACAAATGCGATCATGGCGTAATAGCCCATAAAATACGTGCTAAAGGAATAACTGGGAAAGTGGGGAGATGGATCTTCAACTTCCTAACAAATCGAACACAAAGAGTAGTGGTCAACAGAGTTAAATCGGAGGCTGCCATAGTGAAGAGCTCTGTTCCACAAGGCACAGTACTCGCCCCCATCTTATTCCTTATCCTCATATCAGACATAAACAGAGATATACACCACAGCACCGTATCATCCTTTGCGGATGATACTAGGATCTGCATGAGGCTGTCATCTGCTGAGGACGCGGTTAACCTCCAAGAAGATATAAACAAAGTTTTCCAGTGGGCAACGGTAAACAATATGATGTTCAATGAGGACAAATTCCAACTACTCCGTTATGGAAAACTGGAGGAGATAATAACTAGAACAGAGTATACTACTGACTCCGGCCATACAATAGAGCGGAAAAATAATGTAAGGGACCTGGGAGTAGTAATGTCTGAGGATCTCACTTTCAAGGATCACAACAGTGCCACGATCGCACGTGCAAAGAAAATGATAGGATGGATAATGAGAACTTTCAAAACGAGAGATGCCAAGCCCATGATGATCCTTTTCAAATCACTTGTTCTCTCTAGGCTGGAATACTGCTGTACATTAACATCTCCATACAAAGCAGGTGAAATCGCAGATCTAGAGAGTGTACAGAGATCCTTTACTGCACGTATAAGTTCTGTCAAGCACCTTAACTACTGGGAACGCTTGGAAGCACTTGACTTGTACTCGTTGGAACGCAGGAGGGAGAGATATATCATAATCTACACTTGGAAAATCTTGGAAGGAATGGTCCCAAATCTGCACACAGAAATCACTCCCTACGAAAGTAAAAGACTGGGCAGGCGATGCAAAATGCCGCCAATAAAAAGTAGGGGCGCCATTGGTACACTAAGGGAAAACACCATAAGTGTCCGGGGCCCAAAACTGTTCAACAGCCTCCCATCAAGCATTAGGGGAATTGCCAATAAACCCCTGGCTGCCTTCAAGAGAGAGCTGGACAGATACCTAAAGTCAGTGCCGGATCAGCCGGGCTGTGGCTCGTACGTTGGACTGCGTGCGGCCAGCAGTAACAGCCTAGTTGATCAGGCCCTGATCCATCGGGAGGCCTGGTCATGGACCGGGCCGCGGGGGCGTTGATCCCCGGAATAACCTCCAGGTAACCCAGGGTGGAATCTCTGGTGTCACCCGGGGCAGCATCTTTGGTGTCACCCCCATGAAATTCAAGAGTGGGAGGATGGGGGGGTAAACTCGAGTTACGTCAATACTGCATGACCAGTTACGTCACTACTGCATGACCAGTTACGTCACTACTGCATGACCAGTTACGTCACTACTGCATGACCAGTTACGTCACTACTGCATGACCAGTTACGTCACTACTGCATGACCAGTTACGTCACTACTGCATGACCAGTTACGTCACTACTGCATGACCAGTTATGTCACTACTACATGACCAGTGACAAATGTTTAACAATAAGAACGTTTAAGGACCATAAACTGAACAGGAGAATACTTCTCAACTTTATTAATGATAAAATAAATAATCATAGTAATATTGAGGAAACATAAACTCAAACACCACTTTGAGTACACCAACAGATCCTACATTTATTCATCTTCAACAATGCAAAAACAAAAAAAAAATTGAAAAATGAGGAAAAACAAGGTCCTAAATGCACTAGAAGACAAAAAGAATGCAGATGTAATATATACAGACTTTGCAAAAGCCTTCGACAAGTGTGACCATGGCGTAATAGTGCACAAAATGCGTGCTAAAGGAATAACAGGAAAAGTCGGTCGATGGATCTATAATTTCCTCACTAACAGAACACAGAGAGTAGTCGTCAACAGAGTAAAGTCCGAGGCAGCCACGGTGAAAAGCTCTGTTCCACAAGGCACAGTACTCGCTCCCATCTTGTTCCTCATCCTTATATCCGACATAGACAAGAATGTCAGCCACAGCACCGTGTCTTCCTTTGCAGATGACACCCGAATCTGCATGACAGTGTCTTCCATTGCAGACACTGCAAGGCTCCAGGCGGACATCAACCAAATCTTTCAGTGGGCTGCAGAAAAATATGAAGTTCAACGATGAGAAATTTCAATTACTCAGATATGGTAAACATGAGGAAATTAAATCTTCATCAGAGTACAAAACAAATTCTGGCCACAAAATAAAGCGAAACACCAACGTCAAAGACCTGGGAGTGATCATGTCGGAGGATCTCACCTTCAAGGACCATAACATTGTATCAATCGCATCTGCTAGAAAAATGACAGGATGGATAATGAGAACCTTCAAAACTAGGGAGGCCAAGCCCATGATGACACTCTTCAGGTCACTTGTTCTATCTAGGCTGGAATATTGCTGCACACTAACAGCACCTTTCAAGGCAGGTGAAATTGCCGACCTAGAAAATGTACAGAGAACTTTCACGGCGCGCATAACGGAGATAAAACACCTCAATTACTGGGAGCGCTTGAGGTTTCTAAACCTGTATTCCTGGAACGCAGGAGGGAGAGATACATGATTATATACACCTGGAAAATCCTAGAGGGACTAGTACCGAACTTGCACACGAAAATCACTCACTACGAAAGCAAAAGACTTGGCAGACGATGCACCATCCCCCCAATGAAAAGCAGGGGTGTCACTAGCACGTTAAGAGACCATACAATAAGTGTCAGGGGCCCGAGACTGTTCAACTGCCTCCCAGCACACATAAGGGGGATTACCAACAGACCCCTGGCAGTCTTCAAGCTGGCACTGGACAAGCACCTAAAGTCAGTTCCTGATCAGCCGGGCTGTGGCTCGTATGTTGGTTTGCGTGCAGCCAGCAGCAACAGCCTGGTTGATCAGGCGCTGATCCACCAGGAGGCCTGGTCACAGACCGGGCCGCGGGGGCGTTGACCCCCGAAACTCTCTCCAGGTAAACTCCAGGTAATCAGAGAAACACTTGTTCCAATTTGACTTTGAGTACAGGTAACATCTCAGTGAATCTGATCTTACATTTCCTTGCCTTCAGTTATGCAAAATCATCTATCACATCACCAAAATCAATGATTTTCCCTATATAGGCTTAACTGTACTTTGTTAATATATGGCAGTGTGCAGATTTGGGACCAAGCCCTCGAGTACCTTCCAGGTGTATACATGTATTATCATGTACCTCTCTCTCCTGTACTCATTGGTGTGGAGGAGAGGTACATGATAATATATACCTGGAAGGTACTCGAGGGCTTGGTCCCAAATCTGCACACTGCCATAACAACATACTGGAGTGAGAGATACGGGAGGAAGTGTAAAATAAACCCAGTGAGGAGCAGGGGTGCTGTGAGCACAATAAGGGAACACTGTATCAACATCCGGGGTCCCAGACTTTTCAACATCTTACCAGAAGATATCAGAAACACTGCTGGAACAAGTATTGAAGCCTTCAAGAGGGAACTAGACAAGTATCTTCACCAGGTGCCAGATCAACCAGGCTGTGATGGATATGTGGGGCAGCGGGCCTCCAGCAGCAACAGCCTGGTTGACCAGGCGAGCACTAGACGAGCCTGGCCCATGGCCGGGCTCAGAGAGTAGATATACTCTTGAAATTCTTCAAAGGTATATCAAAGGTATAATAGGCTATATAGAAATGAAGGATTCTTCTCTTATGTTGGTGCAGCACTGTTTTGGTCATTAGTGTTACCTTCTTTAGAGGCTCTGTGGTGTCACCCCCTGAATGGTGTCACCTCCCCTCCCCCCCTTATGATGCCTCTGGGCTAAGGTGCCTCTATGCCCTCAGAGGCCAGGTGAGTACCTCCAGTACCTCTAGCAGGCCATGCTCAGGTGCCTCCATGCCCTCAATGACCTTGTGAATATATATCTCACTGGGATGCCATGAGGTCAAATAAGGTGAGTACCTCCACCACAAGGTCTCATGCCAATGTTAGACACACATATATCTCCACTTCACAAGGGAGCAGCATAGCAATGACAGAAAAATTGCTGTCCAGTCATACTAACATAAGACAACATAAAAGTCTTTGAGAGAGAGAGAGAGAGTGCTGAGAAGACAAGTTACTAGTTTTATGACAAGGCTTGAACCTAGGTTAAAAGACCGTGATTGTATGGTGGTCATTCCCCAGTTATCATTTTCCCCGTTGCCTCAGACCTTAGTGTGGGATTTATTTTCTTTCTTTTTCCTTGTGCCTAGATAAGATAAGATAAGATTTCGTTCGGATTTTTAACCCCGGAGGGTTAGCCACCCAGGATAACCCAAGAAAGTCAGTGCGTCATCGAGGACTAACTTATTTCCATTGGGGTCCTTAATCTTGTCCCCCAGGATGTGACCCACACCAGTCGACTAACACCCAGGTACCTATTTGCTGCTAGGTGAACAGGACAATAGGTGTAAGGAAACGTTTCGAAATGTTTCTACCCGCCGGGAATCGAACCCGGGCCCTCCGTGTGTGAAGCGGGAGCTTTAGCCACCGGGCCATGGGGATCCCGCTAGCAGAGTGAGACCTGTGGTCTGGGGGTGGGGGTGTTTAATTGGCTACAACTTCCTACAGTATTTAATTTATTGGTTATGTAAGCATTAATTAATAAAATCATGGTTCCAGGTGTGGTATAATAAATTGTGTTATGGTTGGGACCTTTGGTAGCAGTACAAACCTGGCATAAATGTTGAGAGATAGTAAAAATCTTCACTTGTTTGTTTTGTTGTAATTTAGAAAGATTTATCACCACTATTTAGAGTTTTTCAACTCTTCCTTCCCAGTCTGGCATTGCTTGAGGCCTACCTATTGCTCAAACAACCCCATTTTTCAGTAGCATACATAAACTGATAAATGCAAGAATTCTCATTCAGTATGACTTGAATGGCCCTGCAACAAACTTTTCAGTCTTATCATTCACAGGTGGAAGCGACTCGGCTGAACACTGCGTCCCTCACCACTGATCTAGATGCCATGCGACACCTGTTCAGTGAGAAGGAGAAAGAGTTGGTAGTAGCAGTGTCCAAGGTTGAGGAACTGACGCGTCAACTGGAGGAACTTCGACACGGTCGTTCACCTCTCAACCCTAACAACCAGCACCACAATGAGTTAGACAAGCTTCGAAGAGAATTATTGGTAAGATATGCACATATGTATGCGTACTGTGTCCATTTTTTGGTCAGTACTAGTACACTATATTATTTTTCTTGTATTCCTCATGATATTCAACAATAGCAAGGACTATCATTACAGAGTTTAAATTATTTTTATTAGCACATTGGCCGTTTCCCACTGAATTAGGGTGACCCGAAAAAGAAGAAACATTTTCATCCTCAGTCAGTCGATCACTGTCTTGCCAGAGGTGTGCTGATACCACAGTTCAGATGCCCTTCCAGACTGCAAATATCCCCACCTCTCCTTCAGAGTGCATGCACCCTGTTTTATTTGTACGGTCATGTGTTGTTTAACGACGGGGATACTTTCTGAGAAATACGTTATTAGGCGATTTCATTGTTGTGCGAATGTCAGACTGCACTTACACAAACCTAGATTTTATAGCCTACTACACACCTAGGCTATATGCTGGTTTTTTCCATCATAGATTTGCTTGTAAGCATATAATACACCACGAACATTCCTCTCTAGTAATGTAAACCTTTCAGTGTTGGGGTCCAGGTTTTCAGACTTTTTAAAGAACTTGTTGAGTTCTGAAAAAGCTTCTACTAAAACCTTCACTCTGAATTTTCTTTGGGGTTCTTGATTTTCTTCACCTACAGGAGCCATGATGAACAAAGCAACACAAGATTAAGTCAAGCACATGGGGGAAAATAATGCCGTCAAGAGACGCATTAAACGTGAGACGTATGAGGCTGCTGCCGGCATAATATGACATACTGTTTTACAGTAAACTTTTTTGTATGTAGAAAGAGTACCCTCTAGAGTAGAGTACATATAGTAAATTCATAAACCAACAACATAGTTGTTTATTATCATTAGCAGGTATTATGTACTGTATGTAAGGGTATGTGCTATACTTTTATACGACTGGCAGTGCAGTAGCTTTGTTTACACTATCGTTGTATATGTGGTTCATCGCTGACCCGAACGTCATTATGCGGCGCGTGACTGTGTAGAAATTTTGAAATAAAAAATTGAATTAAATGGTATTTTGCTGAAAATAGGCTCATTGAAATTTCCATTATAAATTCTCTTTTCTTGTAGTTAAGTTTTTCTTGTGTCAACACAAGGTAGTTTAGAGTAATATTTAATGAGATATAGTATTGTTAAAAATCAAGCTGAATGTCTACTGTCTTTTGAATTGGTGCATAAGGCTCAAATTCAGAAAAAATCGTAGGATTTTGTTCAGATTAGGCTTATTGGATTTCCTACATCCAGATCTGTCTCTTTTTAATTCATCTGTTTTGAATATCAGTGTAAACCAGTTTAGAGCAATATTTATAAAGATACTCTTGTTTTAAAAAATCAAGTGAACCTGTGGGTATTTCCCTGACATCTGAGTGTTGTATAAGAAAGTGGTTGTTATGGATGGAACAGGGGGGGGGGTGCTGCCATCCTGGATTTGGTCATTGCACACCTGGAAGGTTGTCATCAAGTGGGGAATGATCCTAGATTTTTTGTGGTCATTAATCCAAATTATGCTAAGCAGTTGGTTGTTAGGTGGGAGTCTACTGTATTTAAAATCACATCCAGTATAGTATAACTTCATATAAGGCGCTTGTGCAGAAGTGTCGAAGAAAGTTGGCAAACTAAAACTATGTATTTTATGTGCAAAATTGAATTATAAGAATATCCAGAATTTAAACATATTAAGAATATACTTGAGTAGGTGGCATATACAAAGTATACTGCAAGGCAAGACTGGATATCTGCATTATATATATTAATAATAATGTTTACACAGAGATGAGTGACATTTGTGCATGCACAGAGCATACAGGATGGTCATGCATATACAACCTGCCGGTGATTGTCACTGGTAAGATAAGATAAGATAAGATAAGATTTCGTTCGGATTTTTAACCCCGGAGGGCTAGCCACCCAGGATAACCCAAGAAAGTCAGTGCGTCATCGTGGCTGGAACATTGACTTGATTGAAAGCAAATGAAAATGTGGAACACCAAAAATTGGTGGTGTATGTGTGGGTCCCTCCTGTAGTTATGCAGAGCATTCCTTTTAAAATGAACTATTTGTGTTTTTTACAGTATCGTAACAGTGTAAACAGAGAAGCGTCAGCTCGTGTAGCAGCTCAGCGGGAAACTCTAGCAGCAAGACGGGATGAAATTACGCGCATAGACAAGCGAGTGTCAGAGTTGCAGCAGCGGCTACATCGAAAAAGACTTCTGAACCACCAACTAGCTTCACAGATAACAGCTGCTACTCAGGTACAGTAGTACTCATTTTAATGGACAGATCCCAGCATGAGCAATGATGCACTCATAATACAGGGGCTAGAATAGCATTTAGGCCGCTGGTGGCAACAGCCTGATTGACTAGGCAGGTTTTCACAATCCTTTGTATGACAAACCATGCTGTGTGATTGATACACTGGGTGAACAAACAGTAGCTGGCTTTTTTTTTTGTTTGTTTTAACCCTGTAACCTTTTTAAATAGATCAGTGTAGCCAGACACTGCTGGTGCTGTAACTTGTCATGAAAATCAGTATCCACATAATATTAGTGTTATAATCTGTCATAGATCAGTGTATCTACACTGTGTTGTGTCATTCAGGTCACTGTAGTTAAAATCATAATAATTAACAAGATATTTTGTTGTAAACAAAACATTTGGACCTCAACACTGGTAGTGATTTATTCTTTTGGAAAACTTATTGTTTTTCACTTGTGTTCAGTTGTTTCTATTTTTATATTGATATGGCAGTAAGTGGAGAGATTTCATTAGCTATGCTACACCAGTCTAGATTTAGGGAATGATAGAAAGGCTTGGACATGTCGCTTTTGTTTTCTAATTGTTTTTCACTTAAAATGAATATGCCAAGACCTATTATTAAACGATAAACTGACCAAGACCTATACTAATAGAATTATTAAATACTGTATATCATGTTCTCAGGCCAAACAAGCTCAGCTGAAAGCAGTGCAACAAAAGGCTTTGTGGTGTCAACAGTACTGTATGTAAAATCTAACAATTAACAAGTATTTTCTTTGTAAACCAACATTGTTGGACCTCAACACTGTAGTGACTTTATTTTTGGAAACTTTGCTTCACTTAGGTTCATTATCAGTTATAATTGATATGAGAGAAGATCTGGAAGAGATTATCATTACAAATGCTAGAGGGGTCCAGTCCTAGATTTAGGAATGATAGAAGGCTTGTCCAGTCGCTTTTGATTTCTATTGTTTCACTAATGGATAGCCAAGACTTTATTCAAACGAGGAACTGACCAACCTAAAACTAATAGAATTATTAATACGTTAATATCATTCTCAGGCCTAATACAACTTTCTGAAGCAGTGCAACAAAAGGCTTTGTAGGGAACGTTGTCAACAGATGATAACTGCTGCTGATGATCTACACAACGGACCATCTCAAGGTACTGTTCATACCTTTGAAACCTCACAGGTATGGTGGCTGCCATTCCTGTGAAGGCTCCTCCATTTTGAGAGTATGACACATTTCTGGGCATGCTAAAGTATTTTGCATATCAAAACAAAAGGTCTGTAGGCAGTTTTGGGGATTTAAAGAGCATTTTGCACTGATGGGTCTTTCAGTGTCTTGTTGCAGTAAATAACAAATATAATGCACACACATCATCCAAGGTAAAATTAACAAAAATTAAAAACTATCCCATAAAAACTGTTCCATAAATAACATCATCAGTTTAAAAATCCTTTAAATTGTTAATATTGAAAGACTCCTAAAAGTTCCCTGGGATCCCTACAATCCTCTAGTAATTATAAAAGCCACAACATAAGGGAAAATACCCAAGTCATGGGCAAACAGTTGTAATGTGTTCCACAGTCAGCTGTGCACCACAAGCTACACAGGGGGTAGCAGAAGTACCTCCCAAGTGACTGTGTGCCTGATTCTCGATCAACAGAGTTGTCTCAGAGTAATGATTCCTGTTGAATTAAAAGGGCCAGATACCCACCTCCAGCTGAACCCTGTATAACTTGCTGCTTGTCTGTAGGGCACACCAGCCCTGCCACTTTCCAAGGACTTGTGTATTTTGCCCATTAAGTTGCTATGAGGTAGAAGTCTGCTTAACAGCAAGCTCTAAATAGCAGTGTTTGTCTAGCATCTGATGTGTTTTCCAAGGCATCAATACAGTCTGGGCACCAATAGAACTTCACATCCTTGTGCCACAAATGGAGATAGGCTAACCACTCTTGAATCTACTGGACTTGCAAATAACCTTCAACTCTTTATGATCACCAGTACTATACAGTATGTAAGGTAGTCAGCTTAGCATTAAGGTAGTCATGCTTCCTTGTGCATATGAGTGGACAAACAAATGACAAAGTTAAGAAATATGCTATATGTTATATTAAGTAACAAGCACTAACATTGATTGCAGAGTTTTAGTGCAGTTCTTTACAGAGGCTGTAATGGTTGAATGAGCAGTCAGAGATGAAGGGACAACATGGCTGATTATGGTTGTGTATCAGATATGATGTAAACACTTTCACCTCTGCAATGGTTCATTGATCCTCTACTATATATACAGCTTGGGGATAATGAATAATATATGTTACACATCACTATAAATACACAGCATTATACCTAACTGACGCTGGCTTAGTTGGCAACGCTCTCGCCTCACACACATTGTGTCAGTGGTTCAATCCCTGGTACAGGTGGAAATGTTGGGCATGTTTCCTTACACCTGCTGTCCCTGTTCATCTAGCAGTAAGTAGGTACCTGAGTGTTAGTTGACTGGTGTGGGTTCCATCCTGGGAAAAGACCATGATGAAAATAAGACACAGTTGTCGATACACTGACTGTCTTGGGTTATCCTGGGTGGCTAACACTTCCTGGGTCAAAAATCCGAACAAATCTTACCTGATGCCAAGATTATACCCTGGTCTCTGATCTTGATTTTGTAGTGACTTATCACATTCAATTACAATAATTTTATTTTGAAAATACATCAAACATAAATGTCAGTCTCTGCTAAGATTGATCTTTATTTTTATATAGGTTGAAATTGGTAACATTTGTGTTCTGCACAAAGGAACTGTGAGTTTTAGGACTTGCAGGGTTAGAACCCATGACCAGAGAGTCATAAAACTCCTATCCCCGCCCGTAGTACAGTTTGTTTGCAGTCATGTCATTATGATTTCATGAGTCATGATGATGGCTTTGAGGGGACTTGAGCTAGAGCTGGTCATGGCCACGCTGGCAGAGATTTGTCTGTAAAAAACTTGCATTTGTGGTCACAGTAGTGCCTATGCTAACCTTCCTATGGTGTATAAATATACCTAATTGGACGAATCTTCTTGAAGCTAGCTGGCCCAGTGGCTAACGTGATGGTCTGAGAGTTTTATGACTCTTTGATCGCAGGTTCTATGCCCACCCATGGTATGGTTTGTTTGCAATCGTGCCATTATGATTTCATGAGTATTGCTTATCATGGGTTTCAGCCTTGTCTGTACGCTGATTTGATGAGCTGATTATAGGTACAACATTGATTTTCTGGACCTTTGGTTCGAAAGCCTCTCCAGATTACTGATTTTTCTGCCTTTAGAGAGTGAAGTATTCCTTAGTCTTGGGGTTGGATAAGTTTACCTGGAGTTTACCTGGAGAGAGTTCCGGGGGTCAACGCCCCCGCGGCCCGGTCTGTGACCAGGCCTCCTGGTGGATCAGAGCCTGATCAACCAGGCTGTTGCTGCTGGCTGCACGCAAACCAACGTACAAGCCACAGCCCGGCTGATCAGGAACTGACTTCAGGTGCTTGTCCAGTGCCAGCTTGAAGACTGCCAGGGGTCTGTTGGTAATCCCCCTTATGTGTGCTGGGAGGCAGCTGAACAGTCTCGGGCCCCTGACACTTATTGTATGGTCTCTTAACGTGCTAGTGACACCCCTGCTTAGGGGGATGGTGCATCGTCTGCCAAGTCTTTTGCTTTCGTAGTGAGTGATTTTCGTGTGCAAGTTCGGTACTAGTCCCTCTAGGATTTTCCAGGTGTATATAATCATGTATCTCTCCCTCCTGCGTTCCAGGGAATACAGGTTTAGGAACCTCAAGCGCTCCCAGTAATTGAGGTGTTTTATCTCCGTTATGCGTGCCGTGAAAGTTCTCTGTACATTTTCTAGGTCGGCAATTTCACCTGCCTTGAAAGGTGCTGTTAGTGTGCAGCAATATTCCAGCTTAGATAGAACAAGTGACCTGAAGAGTGTCATCATGGGCTTGGCCTCCCTAGTTTTGAAGGTTCTCATTATCCATCCTGTCATTTTTCTAGCAGATGTGATTGATACAATGTTATGGTCCTTGAAGGTGAGATCCTCCGACAGGATCACTCCCAGGTCTTTGACGTTGGTGTTTCGCTCTATTTTGTGGCCAGAATTTGTTTTGTACTCTGATGAAGATTTAATTTCCTCATGTTTACCATATCTGAGTAATTGAAATTTCTAATCGTTGAACTTCATATTGTTTTCTGCAGCCCACTGAAAGATTTGGTTGATGTCCGCCTGGAGCCTTGCAGTGTCTGCAATGGAAGACACTGTCATGCAGATTCGGGTGTCATCTGCAAAGGAAGACACGGTGCTGTGGCTGACATCCTTGTCTATGTCGGATATGAGGATGAGGAACAAGATGGGAGCGAGTACTGTGCCTTGTGGAACAGAGCTTTTCACCGTAGCTGCCTCGGACTTTACTCTGTTGACGACTACTCTCTGTGTTCTGTTAGTGAGGAAATTATAGATCCATCGACCGACTTTTCCTGTTATTCCTTTAGCACGCATTTTGTGCGCTATTACGCCATGGTCACACTTGTCGAAGGCTTTTTGCAAAGTCTGTATATATTACATCTGCATTCTTTTTGTCTTCTAGTGCATTTAGGACCTTGTTGTAGTGATCCAATAGTTGAGACAGACAGGAGCGACCTGTTCTAAACCCATGTTGCCCTGGGTTGTGTAACTGATGGGTTTCTAGATGGGTGGTGATCTTGCTTCTTAGGACCCTTTCAAAGATTTTTATGATATGGGATGTTAGTGCTATTGGTCTGTAGTTCTTTGCTGTTGCTTTACTGCCCCCTTTGTGGAGTGGGGCTATGTCTGTTGTTTTTAGTAACTGTGGGACGACCCCCGTGTCCATGCTCCCTCTCCACAGGATGGAAAAGGCTCGTGATAGGGGCTTCTTGCAGTTCTTGATGAACACAGAGTTCCATGAGTCTGGCCCTGGGCAGAGTGCATGGACATGTCATTTATCGCCTGTTCGAAGTCATTTGGCGTCAGGATAACATCGGATAGGCTTGTGTTAATCAAATTTTGTGGCTCTCATAAAAAAATTCATTTTGATCTTCGACTCTCAGTCTGGTTAGTGGCTTGCTAAAAACTGAGTCATATTGGGACTTGAGTAGCTCACTCATTTCCTTGCTGTCATCTGTGTAGGACCCATCTTGTTTAAGTAGGGGCCCAATACTGGACGTTGTTCTCGATTTTGATTTGGCATAGGAGAAGAAATACTTTGGGTTTCTTTCGATTTCATTTATGGCTTTTAGTTCTTCCCGCGATTCCTGACTCCTAAAGGATTCTTTTAGCTTAAGTTCGATGCTTGCTATTTCTCTGACCAGTGTCTCCCTACGCATTTCAGATATATTGACCTCTTTTAGCCGCTCTGTTATTCTTTTCCGTCGCCTGTAAAGGGAGCGCCTGTCTCTTTCTATTTTACATCTACTCCTCCTTTTTCTTAGAGGAATAAGCCTTGTGCATACATCGAGTGCCACCGAGTTAATCTGTTCTAGGCATAAGTTGGGGTCTGTGTTGCTTAGTATATCTTCCCAGCTTATATCGGTTAGGACTTGGTTTACTTGGTCCCACTTTATGTTTTTGTTATTGAAGTTGAATTTGGTGAATGCTCCCTCGTGACTAGTCTCATTATGTCGGTCTGGGGCTCCACGCATACATGTCTGAACCTCAATTATGTTGTGATCTGAGTATATTGTTTTTGATATGGTGACATTTCTTATCAGATCATCATTGTTAGTGAAGATGAGGTCTAGTGTATTCTCCAGTCTAGTAGGCTCTATTATTTGCTGGTTTAAGTTGAATTTTGTGCATAGATTTAAAAGCTCGTGTGAGTGTGAGTTTTCATCAGAGCTGCCTCCTGGTGTTATTACTGCAACAATATTATTTGCTATATTCCTCCATTTTAGGTGCCTTAAGTTGAAATCCCCCAGGAGCAAGATGTTGGGTGCAGGAGCTGGAAGATTTTCCAGACAGTGGTTAATTTTTAACAGCTGTTCCTGGAATTGCTGGTATGTTGCATCAGGAGGCTTGTAGACTACCACAATGACTAGGTTTTGGTTCTCGACCTTTACTGCTAAAACTTCCACTACATCATTTGAGGCATTAAGCAGTTCTGTGCAAACAGGTGACTCTGCAATGTACAGGCCAACCCCCCCCTTTTGCCTGTTCACTCTGTCACATCTGTATAGGTTGTAACCTGGGATCCATATTTCGTTGTCCAAGTGTCCAAGTGATGTACAGTTTGGTGGTAAATACACTGCTATGGGAATTTCAAGTTCCTCCTTGTAAATTTGTATAGTTTTGGACCATCAGTGTCTGGAAAATTGATTGAAGATAGTTCAAGTATAGATAACATGTCATGCACACATACACACACATAACCAGCTTCCCTCAGGCATTTTAAAAGCTAGTTAGCTTAATGTTTTTTTCCTTTGAGTCATACCATACCACTACAATCAACATTGAGGAAAGATTCTGCCTTTAGTTTGTGTGTTCACAAACTAAATGAAGAACACACCTACTTGATCGAGGGTAAACAGTCATTTGCTGCTCTTAATATACAGTAGTACCCCGTATCAACAGGTTTGGTCTCCATGGTTTTAGTTATTCGTGGTTTACTGTGGCCCAAATATAACCCTTAATTTTGCTTAATAATGGCAGCAAAGCACAAAAGAAGTGATGGTGACTATTCTTCCAAGCTTACATGAACCCAATAGGTACTTTCCACCAATGAAAAAGTACTAATTCTTGACTTATTGTGCATAATTTATCAATTAAACTATCATAGGCATATATGTAAACGAAAAACTACTTATAGGGTTCGCTACCATTCGTGGTTTCGGGTATCCACGATAGGTCTTGGAATGTATTCTCCACGGGTATGGGGGGCTACTCTAATAGAAATGACAAATAAGACTAATAACAGCATTTCATTGATCCTGAACAGATTAAGAATAGATAACATACTGCGCCATTTGTGCTTCAGTTTGATAATGGCAAAAAATAAGCAATAACACAATTACCTATACATTTTTCATGCACAGATTCCTCGGGGAGAGGACTTAGGAGAGTTTGGTCCAAATAAAAATGACCCTAAATACCAGACTCTGCCCTACAACACAAAATTTTCTGTTACCTTCAAGTCAAAGAATGGACGGGGAGGAGATTCTGACCTGCCCCATCAACTCCAACAAGTACTGTCCCCCCACCCCCCTTTCCCTGAACCTATGATTTTCGGACAAAATACTGCCAAACAAGGGTCAAGAAACCCAACCCAACGTGGTCCACCTAACCTGTACCAACAAGGGGTGCCCCCATCTCTACATGAAAACTAGTGGTCCAGTTACGTCACTACAACCATGACTGTAAACACCATAGCAACCACTGGAATTCTAATACTGCACCTGTCAATGGTGCAGTAGTAACCAGACTGCCCACGGGCTTCCCCCCCCACACCCTCCGTCCCGTGGACTCGCTCACGCTCCAGATTTTGGCCCCAATCGCGCTGTCACAAGTCTCTCAACTCGTTCAGCGAGAAACAGTCGCGGGGCCCTCTAAAGCCAACCCCCAACCCGGCTATGCTCCAGGTGAAATGTCTTTGTTTTTAATATAATATTCTTGTGCATTTTCTAGAGCATTTAAAGTGTAGAGTGGTGTAAATCTAAATAATATACTTACATCTAAATTGTGCTGTTTTAAATATATTCTTATTTTAACTACATATAATTAATGCATGCAGAAAAAATACAGGGGAAAACCTCAAAATCGAATTTTCTTTGTTCCAGACGGCTGTTCGGTGCCGTTACCGAACGTTTACCCCATCAGAATGATGAAATTAGATTGTTCATGTCGACCCTCAAAATACACTTAAAAAAGCACTTACAAAAAACACTTACATAATTGGTTGAGTTGGGAGCAGTTCGTATTTGGGGTTTCCCTTCTATGTTTGTTGTGTTCAGTATGTTGCTTAATAATCCTGATTAAAAAGTTTCTAAGAAAAAGTATATTTTCACATCAAGCATAAAAATTTTTATTGTGGCAAGTGTAGGGGGCAGCAGTGCAGCAGTTCACCCAGCGAGCACAACCTCTGGGGGGTAAAACCCTCGACACAAAAACCCCAGGTAATTTAACATATACATAAAACCCTTGTTCATGTTGATGTTTGCTTGCACCCCTTTTTTTTTAGCTTTTGGATAAATTACTTTTTTTAAATAAAGCCATTGCTTTTGACACGATACGTCACGCGTAATTTAACTTTTATCCACCTACATCCTATTTTTTCCGTATGACTTTTTTTATACGATTTATGCATTTTTTAGTTTTGTTTTAAATAAAAAACCTTTATACCCTGAAATAAAATGACTAAAAAACCATTTAACTTTCAGAGGAACTTAAATATTTTTCAAATCGTTTTGTTTACATTGGCTGTTTGGTGTGGTTGAAGGCACAATCAGTACTGATTACATTACCCTGATAACAGTAGATTAAAATTTTGGGGGGATTTTTTGTTTTCTTTGGAACCAGTCTGAATGATGTGCCCTTAAGGCACTACAATTTAGAAGGTTTTTCAGAAGGGTTTTAGGTCAACTGGGCTTACACTGAGTAACCATTTCTTGTTTTTAAAAATTTCATCAAATTCTACTTAAATTTTTTTTTTTTTATCCTGTACCTAAATTTTGTAACTCAAGGGGAGTGCATCACATAACTCTTCCCCCCCTCCCCCTACTGTATTTCAGATAATGTTTAATTGGTTTCAAAAAATTTTTTTTTTTTTTTCTCTTGAGTATCCGAGGCAAATTTTGGATTACTGTATTAATTTCCCATCTGTTTGTTTTTGGGGCCAATTTTATTGTGTTTGGGATAATTTTTTGGAAATTTAAATTTTTTTTTTTTGGGGCCCCGCTTAAAAAAAACCAACAACCCCAAAACACCCAAAAAACCAACCACCCCCCACAACAACACTAACACCAAAAAAAAAACCAACACAAAAAAAACACAAAAAACCACCAAAACAAAACAAACACCCCAAAAATAAAAAAACAAACCAAAAAAACCCCAAAAAACCCACAACAAAAAACACACAAAAACCACACACACAAAAAAAAATAAAAAAAAAAACAAAAAAACACCACAAAAAAACACACAAAAAACACACACCAAAAAAAACACACAAAAATAACACAACAACCAAAAAAACAACCCCACAACACACACAAAAAAACACAACAAAAAACACACACAAAAACACACCCCTGGGGCAACAAACAACCCAACCTACTTTTAAAAACAAAAACAACAAACAAAACCAAAAAAACACGGTGTTTTTTTGTTGGGAGAAAGTTTAAAATCGGGTTGGGGGCTTGGGGTGTTGCAATTGGACGGAGCCCAAGAAATCAACAAATTGTGTGTTTTAAAAAAATGAAGTTTAAAATGGAGGTTACTTTCGGAAATTTCCGGAGGAACGGGTGTTGTATAGGGGATAAACACACGGGGGGAAATTCCAAAAAAAGGGTTAAAAAATATGACAATACTCCGTATAATGGAACCTGTTAGAATTTTAGGAAAATTTACCCATTTTTGGGGCAGTTGGGCCCTTTGGGGGCCTTGAAAATTTTTTAAATGGGAAACCCCCCGAAGTATTACCAAATTTGTGAAAAAATAAATAGTAATTGTGTTTAATGTGGGGGGAGGGGGGACGCTTTTAAGGGGGAAATTTTAAAAAATTAGGGTTATCCCCAAGGGGTTTTGTAGGTCCAAAATTGGGATTTAACCACAAGACCCCATCAAACACCACCCCAAAAACCCCACCACAACCCCAAAAACCCAAAACCCCCCCCAAAAAAAAACCCCCCCCTCAAAATAATGTCAACCACCTGCACCAAAACCAAGAAAAAAAGGGGATGACTAGGGGGTTATTGGTAAGATTTGGGAAGTAGGGCCCCGGAACAAGTTTTAAAAGCAACATTAAACGTTTTAAAAAGGGGAAAAAGGAGGGTTTTATTTAAAGAAATGGGCCCCTTTTTCCACAGACACTTTCAAACCCCACCACCACCCCCCCAACCCCCCCTCCCAACCCCAAGCCCCAAAACCACCCAAAAAAAAAAACACTCACAACTCACACATCACACCAAAAAACACCACCACAAACCCCCCAAAAAAAAACCCCAAACAAAACAAAAACCCCCCAAAACCCCAAAAAAAACCCCCCAAAAAACAACCCCCAAAAAACCCAAAAAAAACAAAAAAAAAAAAACCACACAACCCAACCACCCACCACCCCCACCCCCCCCCCCACACACCACAACACCCCAAAAAACCCCACACCCCCAACACCAAAAACACACCCCACCCACAAAAACCCACCACACACCAACACACACCCACACACACACACCACCCCACACACCCCACAACACCCCACACACCACACACACACACACACAACACACAAACCCCACCCCCACACACACACACACCCCACCACACACACACACACCAACCCACACAAAAACACACCCCACAACACACACACAACCAACACACACACACCCACACACAAAACACACCACCAAAACACACACACACACCCCCAACCCACACCCCGAACCACACCCCAAACACACACACCACACACACACCACACAACACACCCCAACACCCACACCAAACCCCCACCCCCACCACACACACCCCACCACCCACAACCCCCACACACACACAAAAACACCACACACACACACACCACACCCCAACCCACAACCACACACACACACACCAATTACACACGCAAAATAGCACACGCACATTATACACCCACACACACACACACAACAACACACCACACACACACACACACCCCCCACCACTTGACAAAAAAACACGTACCCCCCCCCCCCCTAACCACCTCTCCCCTTCCCAAACCCACCTCCCCACCACTTCCCCTCCCCCAAAACCACCAAACCCCCCCCCAAAACCGTCCTAACCCCCCCAATCCTCCCCCTCCAATAAACCTCCCCCCCTCCCCCTAACCACCATCCCCTCCCTAAAACCCATCAAACCCCCCCCCCCCCAAAACCACCCAAACCCCTCTCCCCCAAACCATTAACCCCCCCCCCAACTATCTCTACCCCCCAAATAACCACCTCCCCCTCCCCCAAAAAACCATCCCCCACCCCCCCCAAAACCATCCATCCCCTCTCTCCCTCAAACCATCTCCCCCCCCCCCAACTATTTTACCCCCCAATAACACCTCCCCCCCCCCACAACCATCCATCCCCTCCCTCCCCATCTTTTCCCCCCCCCCCTAACACCGTCCCCCCTTCGTGGAGAAACGGGGGAACCAAACCGGGATAGGACAAGGGGCCAAGGAGAATCTGGGAGGGGGAAGGGGAGGTAGACCCAAAAAAAAGGGGAAAAACGGGGAAGGAACTAGATGACGGAAAGGGAAATTGGAAGGGGGTTAGCAGCAGAATGCAGAAGGTGGAAGAACAGGCCCAGCCAGAAATCAAGTAGGAGATTAGAAGAGGAGCGGAACTTTAAAACAGCACAGAGACAAAGTATTACAAAGTAGCATGGGCAATGGCTACATAACACAGAAAACGGGTTTTGAAGGAAGCAGGGAAACTAAACGATGGGAGGTCCTGTCCAAACCCACAGGGGGCCAAAACAAAAAACAGGGAGCACACTAGGACAGAAGAGGGTTGGAAGACATTGAAGGAACAGGAATGTGCAAGGACCTTCCAGATCCTGTGGGGGCCAGAACAGTGACGGAAAGGACAAACCAAGAAGCATGGGGGCTAAAAACTAGGGAAGGGACGAAGGCACTCCAGGGGAAAAGGAACTAAAACACATCAGAGGAGCAATGGGGTCACGGGGGAGGTGGAAAGGGAGAGATGGGTTTTTTGTTTTGGGCTGATGAAGCTAAAGGGGAAAACTTAAAGAAAGAAAGCAGGGGGAGAAAAAAGCGATTGAAGATATCAAAAGGTGATGGGCGAGGGGGACATGACCCGGGTGGCAAATTTTCGGAGAATTGGGGGGTTCACAAAGAAAAGGAATCGGCCTCTCAAAGTAATTTTCAAGGCAGAATCAACCCAAAACCATGATCCTGCAGGAGAAAGCATGGCTGAGAGGCAAGCAGGAGTTCCGGAGTGTGTACCTCGATCGAGACAGAACACAGGACGAAAGGAAAAACGATAAAAGAGAGAGTTCAAAAACGAAAGGAAAATTTGGGGGGAAAAATAAAAAAGGGAAAGAGCAAATAACCCAGGATCAAAGGGAAAGGGACAAGCACACCCCCCAGAAACACCTGCAGAAGGACCAGCCATGACACCCCCAAGGCAACTGAACACCCAAAACCCAAAACCATCACACACCGACCCCTCTGTTTCACCCCCGTACCACATTTACAGTATTAAACAGAAGTTGAAGGTTTGGTACACAAATGCAGTGGATTAACAAAATAAACATGAGGAATGACAAGAAAGAATCAATGAGAAGTCCCCAGACATCATAGCAGTTACAGAAACAAAACTCAGAGACAATAACAGATGCAATCTTCCCACCAGGATACCAGATCATGGGGAAAAGATAGAAGGGGCAGGGGGAGTGGGTTGCCTGCTCGTAAAAAACAGATCGAAATTCGAGAAAATGGAAGGCATAGATGAGATGGGAGAAAGAGACTACATAGCGGGTTTACACTTCAGTCTGGGGAACACAAAGTGGTCATTGCAGTGATGTATAATCCACCACAGAACTGCAGGAGGCCAAGAGGGGAATATGAAGAGAGCAACAGAGCAATGGTGGACACACTTGCTGAGGTGGCAAGAAGAGCTCATTCCAGCAGAGCAAAGTTGCTGGTTATGGGGGATTTCAACCACAGGGAGATTGACTGGGAAAACCTGGAGCCACATGGGGGTCCCAAACATGGAGAGCCGGGATTTGGACGGGGTGCTGGAAAACCTCATGCACCAACACGTTAAGGACATTACCAGAGTAAAAGGGGGGAGGATGAACCAGCAAGATTGGACCTTGTGTTCACCCGGGGAAAGCTCAGACATTGAGGAATCAAGTATGAGAGTCCCCTAGAGCTAGCGACCACGTGGTTCTGTGTTTTTGAATACATAGTAGAGCTGCAAGTGGAAAGAATAACAGGAGTTGAAGGGGAAAGCCTGACATAAAAGAGGGGACTACTAGGGTTAAAGAACTTCCTGCAGGAGGTCCAGTGGGACAGAGAACTGGCAGGAAAGCCAGTAAATGAAATGATGGAATATGTAACAACAAAATGCAAGGAGGCAGTGGAAAGGTTTTATTCCCAAGGGCAACAGTAACAAGGGAAGACCAAACGAGCCCCTGGGGTTTTCCCGACGGTGTAAGGAGGCAAAAAAAAAGTGCAGTAGAGAATGGAAAAAAAACAGAAGGCAGAGAACACATGAAAATAGGGGGACCAGTCGCAGAGCCAGGAATGAGTATGCACAAAGGGAAGGAGGGAGGGCCCCGTGACAGTATGAAAATGACATAGCATCGAGAATCAAGACTGACCCGAAATTGTTGTATAGCCACATCAGGAGGAAGACAACAGTCAAAGACCAGGTGATCAGATTAAGGACAGAAGTTGGAGAACTCACAAGAAACGATCAGGGTATGTGAGGAGCTGAACAGGAGATTTAAGGAAGTTTTTACAGCAGAGACAGGAAGGGCTGTGGGAAGAAGCACAGAAGGGAACATCAAGAGGGAATATACCAACAAGTGTTGGATGACATACGAACAACTGAGGAGGAGGTGAAGAACTCTTAGTGACCTTGACACCTCAAAGGCGATGGGACCCCGGGCAACACATCTCCCCCTGGGTCCTTAGAGAAGGGGCAGAGATGCTGTGCGTGCCTCTAAACCCCAATCTTCAACACATCCCTTGAAACTGGGGCAACTACCTGAGAAAAAGGAAGACAGCTAATGTAGTCCCCATATTTAAGAAAGGAAACAGAAACGAGGCCACTAAACTACAGACCTGTGTCCCCTGACATGTATTGTGTGCAAAGTCATGGAGAAATTATCAGGAGGAGAGTGGTCGAACACCTGGAAAGGAACAAGATTATAAATGAAACCAGCAAAGGGTTCATGGAAGGCAAATCTTGTAAACACAAACCTCCTGGAGTTTTAGACAAGGTACAGAAGAAAGACACGAGGAGAGAGGGGGGGGTAGATTGCGTTTTCCTAGACTGCAGGAAGGCCTTTGACACAGTTCCCCAAAAAGAGATTAGTGCAGAAGCTGGAGGACAGGCGCATGTAAAAGGGAGGGGACTGCAATGGAAAAAGGGAATACCTGACAGGGAGGCCCGCAACGAGTCATGGTACGTGAAGAGGTATCACAGTGGGCGCCTGTTACGAGGGGTCCCACAGGGGTCAGTTCTAGGACCAGTGCTTTTTTTTGATATATGTGAACGACATGATGGGAAAGGGAAAAGACTCTGAAGTGTCCCTGTTCGCAGATGATGTGAAGTTGATGAGAAGAATTAATCGGGCGAGGATGAGGCAGGACTACAAAGAGACCTGGACAGGCTGGACATGTGGTCCAGTAACTGGCTTCTTTGAATTCAAATCCAGCCAAATGCAAAGTCATGAAGATTGGGGAGGGGCAAAGAAGACGCAGACAGAGTATAGGCTAGGGGGACAAAGACTACAGACCTCACTCAGGGGGAAAGACCTTGGGTGACCATAACACCGACACATCACCGAGGCACACATCAACCAAAAACTGCTGCAGCATACGGGCACCTGGGAAACCTGAGAATAGCGTTCCGATACCTAATAAGGAATCGTTCAAGACACTGTACACTGTGTATGTTAGGGCCCCTACGGAGTTTGCAGCACCAGTCTGGAACCCACACCTGGTCAAACACGTCAAGAAGTTAGAAAAGTACAAAGGTTTTCAACAAGGCTATCCCAGAGCTCAAGGGAATTCTATGAGGAAAAGGTTTAAAAGAAATCGACTGACCACTGAAGGCAGAAGGGTCGGGGGGGACATGATAAAGACATAAAAAAGTACTGCGGGAATAGACGAGGTGGGGCAGAGATGGGGTTTCCAGGGGGGAGGGGGTCACCCAAACCGAAGCGAAACCAGACGGGTCACAGGGACGTTGGAAGTATTTCTTCAGTATAAGTTGTCAGCAAAAGTGAAGGCCCTTTTACACAGTCCCACAAAGATAGTGCAGAAGCGGAGAACAGCGCATGTAAAAGGAGGCACGCAATGAATAAGCGGAATACCTGACAGGAGGCACAACACGATCATGTACGTGAAGAGGTATCACAGTGGCCCTTACGATGGTCCCACAGGTCATTCAGGACCAGTGCAATTTTATAATCGGAACGACATGATGGAACGAATAACTCTAATTCCCTTTCCCATGACATCAAACGTCGATGAACAGAATTACACTACCGCAGACACCAAGGACTACACAAGAGACTACAACTGACAATTGTCACTACACATGCATCCTATCACATATCACACATCCACCACCACATCACACACCACACCACACTAGCACACACACACACACCACACAGCACACTACATCACAACTCACACACTACACACTCACCACACACACACACACACACACATCACACACCACACACACACACACACAACACACACACACACACACTCATCACACATACACACACACACATGCACACACTACACACACACACACACACACACACACCACACACACACACACCAACACACACTCACACTGCACACACTCACACACACACACACACTCACACACTCACACACTCACACACACACACACACACACATCACAACACACACACAACACACACACACACACACACACTCACAACACACACACACACCACACACTCACACACACACACACAACACATACACACACACACACAACTCACACACTCACACACACAACACACACACAACACACACCACACACACAAACACACACACACCACACACTCACACACTCACACATCACACACACACACACCACTCACACACTCACAAACACACACACACACACCACACACACAACACACACACACACACACACACACACTCACCACTCACACACTCACACACACACACACACACACACACACACACACACACACAACACAGCACACACACACACACACACTACACACACACACACACACACACACTCACCACTCACACACAACACACACACCAACATCAACAACACACACTGCACACACTCACCACACACACACACACACACACACAAACAGACCTCACACACAGCACACACACACCACACACACCACACACACACACCACACACACACACACACACACACACACACTACCTTATTTAATCCCTTCTCTTTCCCTCCCTCTGTAATATACATGTAATGGTGCTGAGAGTTCTTCAACTTTGGAAGTGCAGCTTGTGGACAGATTTCAATGTTGACAAAGTGACTGGAGGCTGTTGCAGTCACTTTTCCTCCCTTCTCTCTTTTTTCCACTCTCTCTCCTGTTTTCCAGATACAGAGCACATACTGGTACTAAGGTGCAAGAGACTAATGTAAAATACCAAGATTTGCTTTCCTTGATGCTGACATGGATGCATGGTAGCTTGAGTGGTGTTATGGTAGAGAGTTGTAAAGGTTTGCAAGTTGTTAGTAGTGTAGAGGTAACTAACACCAGACCCTTCTTGTTCCCAGGACTCACGCACCCTCCTACCCCCCACCTCCCTCTCTGTATCCTTCACGCAGGTGAGTGTGTTTACTAACATGTCTCGCTCATGCTGACCGCTTGTGTTTCCTTAACTGTAACTTTTACGTTCTAGCCGTCAGCACTCGAGAAGTAAAATATGTAAGTATCAGTAATCTTGCTTAGTTTGTTGTGTTAATATGACATATTTTGCTACTTTCTTACTGCTGATGTTGAAGAGAGTTTGTACACCTTTTAAATCATTCATTTAGTTACCCATAAGTAAGCCACATGAAAATAAGGTAAATGATTATAGCCATATAATGGCCATAGAGGGCAAGAAACCCAGCTAAAGAAACAATAGAAACTAAATAGTTATTAGAATCACTGCATCTTTAATCACTATTTATTAATGACTGGTAACAGTATTTCAGCTTCCCCTTCAAAAGTAACTTTATATGCTACTGAATTTTGTTTTCACTTTTAAAAAAGTTTTTTAAACACTTGATTATATTAAATTTAAAGTTTGAGGCATTTTCTGACATCTATTATTAGCTAAAGTATATATTTATATATAAATATTACAAAGGTTTATTGCTTCTAATTAAATGAGGTTTTGCTTAATTTTCAGATAAAATGCATTTGTAACAGCAGTTTTGATGCTTTTTAGCTCAAAATTATGGGGATGATTATAATACAGTTTAGTATAATTTCATGTTTTTATGCTAATGAAATTGAATTTGTTATATGTTACATTATGAGTTTGTCATGAATGATTTAAATACAATTTGGAATACATATATAAGATTATATTTATGAAATAGTTTGTTTCAACATCTCCAGGTTAATAAGAGGACAATTATAATACATCAGTTAGAAAATCCATGATAAAAATACAATACTACAGTATTTTCATTTGATACTAATTACTAAAGCCATACCAAACATTATGAAGTTACAGAGGTTTGATATTACTTTCCAAGTTCCAACAATTTCAGGTGTCTTAACATGTAAAGAAAATCACGCTGTTTTAATGGAAATAGTGTGATAAGTAGACTTAATTGTGGATTTTGTAACTCCATGTTTTATTAATAACTTGAAGATTACCTTTACATGAATCTAGGTGTGAGTGTCTTCACATTCTGGTTAAGACCAGAAAGATACAGATTTGTTGTAATCAGTTATGGATGAAATTCCTGCCAGTAAAGTTATGACAAAGGAGAGCCGGAGATAACATTCACCAGGAGACATATTATCAGACACAAACTCAACACACACTACTGTACCTTTGATGAGTTCAGAGTTTTTTTCTACGCCTGGAGCCCGGCCATGGGCCAGGCTTGCCTGATCAACCAGGCAAGCAGCACAACGGGCCTTGTACAGAGCAATTGCAATTGTAGCAAGGTAACCTGGTTTGTACAGTAATACATTTGTGTATACTATCTGTTACATGTTTGACCAAGGTACTGAACAGCAATGATGCTCTTAATTAAAACATATTTATATAAAATTTACACTATCATCAAAGCCAGGATAGATATCCAAGTTTGAAAACGGTTATAACCAAAGGATATTAGGTTCACTTGCATCTTAAAATTAAATTAAAAATTAGTGTTTACATTTGTGGCAATAATTAAGTGAAAACCAGGAAGTAAGATTATACACCTTGTTTGCTAACAACCATCAGATCCAATTTCCTAACATAGAGCCCTCCCATCAAACCTTTGGGTTGTGGCTTACCAAGTGATAAAAGTTTGCAACCAACATCCTTGTATCTTTTTTTAACAAATAAAACATTCTTATATGAAAAATTGTAGCAGTTTTAAAATTGTTTGCTACAACGAGATTGACACCTTTAACTTTTGCATTCTTTGCATCTTTATTTTAAAAATAAGAAATTCTTATATGAAAATTGAGTTTTAATATCTGATGCAGACTTGGAGATGCAACCTTTTAACTTTGCTTTTATGCACTAGTATAACGTAACCAGCTGTTTAGACTTGTCAACTTCAGTTTGTAATATGAGGCAGGTCTGATCTTAAATGATTATTAAAGGAAGGTTTGTGAGTGTCTAGTCAACTAATGTGGTTATAACTCATGCTTACTCATACACAATATTATCGTCATTAAAAAATGCTAAACTTAATGGATCATTCGGTGCTGCTTACTGATACATAATAACTTAACATGCTTATCTTCGTCTGCCATGTATGCCACAGAATTCCCTTATTATTTTGTTATAAACATTAAACCAATAATAATATTAAATATGCCACAGAATTCCCTTGTTATTTTATTTGTTATAAACACTAAACCAATAATAATATTAAATAATGTTACCTCTTAATTTAAATATTGTAATATCTTTTGCATTGGTGATGTCTTGCACGTTTTTGTTTATTCTACTCAAACACTTTAGTTCTCTTTCAAGTTTTGGTAAAATAATTTGATCTTCTCAGTTTTGTACTTGAAGGAATTCTGTGATGTGCATTTAGTCCGGCAGATTGTTTTTGGACCTATTGCTTCAGTGTTATTAATAAAGCTGTCCAGTTTGACTATTGTCAACTGTATTCATGAACTTTGGAAGCAATACTGTTTTATTACTCAATGGAATTGTTTCAGTTTACTTTCATATGCAGTTAAACTCGGAAAAAGACATCCAGCATGCACGTGTTAGAGTTGGACAAAAGTCAATGGAGAAAAGTGGTTTTTGAATTTGATGTGTTGGGGTGTGAAGGTAAATTCTATGTAGGAACTCAGAGAAACCAGTTAGCCAGACTTGGGTTTTGGGAAATAGTGTCTGTACTTCGAGATAGGGGGTGGGGAGGTTGGTGGTTCAGGTGGGAAGTACAGTGTCTGTACTGAGAGAGGGGGTTGGGAAGTTGGTGTTCAGTTTTTTTAATTATGATAGCTGCACACTTCTGTAAGAAAACTGTTGAATGAATGATGGTGAATGTTATTCTTTCTGTGATTCTCTATCTTAGTAGGAAATAACCAGTGTGGTAGAAAAATTTATAGTCATATTTAATGATGTTAGAGGGAGGAGCAGTGTTAGCTAGCATTTATAAGTCCACGAGGGAGGCAGTGAGTGGTGTATTATTACTGGTGATGACTAATGCATTCAGTGCCAAATACTCCAACCCATCTTGTTTCATTGTTCAAGAAGCAAGATGTAGAGTCTCCAGGAACATAACTAAGTTGCAGATAAGAATGCTTCTCTCTACAGAGTTTCCTTTCTAATTTTATGGGCAAATAGTTTAGAATTCTTTCCCCCTTTGGCCATATGTTTTGCAGAAATGAAATGCCAGGAAGAAAGGGCTGGTAACTCTTTCAGAATGCAGTTCCTAAAAGCAAAAAAGAAGGAAACTTTAAAGCTGGGATCTTTGTATTTGTGTGGATGTAGTGCGGATGTTAATAAAGAACAGATTGTTAATGTTATAAATGAAGACAAGCTGATGTCCTAGCATTGAAATGAAACAAGTTAAAAGGAGTGGAAGAGCTTGAATGGACAGAAATAAATGAAAGAAAAATGAACCTGAGATGTTATTTGAAGAATTATGGAAACAGTAAATGTTTAAATTCAAGAATTAAGTAGTTTAGAATAAAAGTGGGATCTGACAAGTAAATTATACGGGAAGACTTGAGGTGAACCACAGAATTGTTAGGAAAGAGAACTCTTTCAGTCTGACGGCAGTGAAGAGTGGAATGCATTAAGTTGGTCAATAAAAGTTAGTGTGGGGCCACAACTACCATGGGTGAGTATCACACCTACTTAGTGTTTTGTAGCTCAGTGGCCATTTGCAGAATCTTTGTTTTCATATTTTACTTTGTATATTTGTTGTAGAAACTGAGCCCAGGAGTTACTACACATGCACAGAGCAGGACACTTCTCCTTCCAGCACATCATTCTCAGGTTAGTGATAAACTTAAATCTTTAATGTCTCTTGTCATCATCAAGCTTAACTATGCATTAATTGTAGCATCATTATTATTATCAACACTTAATTGTAGGTTGGTAGACAGCAACCACCCAGGGAGGTACTACCGTCCTCCCAAGTGAGTGTAAAACGAAAGCCTGTAATTGTTTTACATGATGGTAGGATTGCTGGTGTCTTTTGTCTGTCTCATAAATATGCAAGATTACAGGTAGGTCTTGCTACTTCTACTTACACTTAGGTCACACTACACATACATGTACACGTTTATTTATACACACTCATCGGAGTTTTCTTTGATTTTATCTTAATAGTTCTTGGTCTTATTACTTTTCCTTTTATATCCATGGGGAAGTGGAATAAGAATCTTTCCTCCATAAGCCATGCGTGTTGTAAAAGTCAACTAAAATGCTGGGAACAATGGGCTAGTAACCCCTTTTCCTGTAAAGATTACTAAAAAGAATAAGAAGAAAATTGTCAAAGTGGGAAGTCTGAATGTGTGTGGATGTTGTGCAAATGATAAGAATGAGATGATTGTGGATGTTATGAATGAGAAGAAACTGGATGTCCTGGCTTTAAGTGAAACAAAGCTGAAGGGGGTGGGAGAGTTTCAATGGAGAGGAATAAATGGGATTAGGTCAGGGGTTTCAAATAGAGTTAGAGCTAAAGAAGGAGTAGCAATAATGTTGAAGGATAAGCTATGGCAGGAAAAGAGGGACTACAAATGTATAAATTCAAGGATTATGTGGAGTAAAATAAAGATTGGATGTGAAAAGTGGGTTATAGTAAGTGTGTATGCACCTGGAGAAGAGAGAAGTGTAGAGGAGAGAGAGAGATTTTGGGAAATGTTGAGTGAATGCGTGGGGAGTTTTGAATCAAGTGTGAGAGTAATGGTGGTTGGGGATTTCAATGCTAAAGTGGGTAAAAATGTTATGGCGGGAGTAGTAGGTAAATTTGGGGTGCCAGGGGTAAATGTAAATGGGGAGCCTTTAATTGAGCTATGTGTAGAAAGAAATTTGCTAATAAGTAATACATATTTTATGAAAAAGAGGATAAATAAATATACAAGGTATGATGTAGCACGTAATGAAAGTAGTTTGTTAGATTATGTATTGGTGGATAAAAGGTTGATGGGTAGGCTCCAGGATGTACATGTTTATAGAGGGGCAACTGATATATCGGATCATTATTTAGTTGTAGCTACAGTTAGAGTAAGAGGTAGATGGGAAAAGAGGAAGGTGGCAACAACAAGTAAGAGGGAGGTGAAAGTGTATAAACTAAGGGAGGAGGAAGTTCGGGTGAGATATAAACGACTATTGGCAGAAAGGTGGGCTAGTGCAAAGATGAGTAGTGGGGGGGGGGGGTTGAAGAGGGTTGGAATCGTTTTAAAAATGCAGTATTAGAATGTGGGGCAGAAGTTTGTGGTTATAGGAGGGTGGGGGCAGGAGGAAAGAGGAGTGATTGGTGGAATGATGAAGTAAAGGGTGTGATAAAAGAGAAAAAGGTAGCTTATGAGAGGTTTTTACAAAGCAGAAGTGTTATAAGAAGAGCAGAGTATATGGAGAGTAAAAGAAAGGTGAAGAGAGTGGTGAGAGAGTGCAAAAGGAGAGCAGATGATAGAGTGGGAGAGGCACTGTCAAGAAATTTTAATGAAAATAAGAAAAAATTTTGGAGTGAGTTAAACAAGTTAAGAAAGCCTAGGGAAAATATGGATTTGTCAGTTGAAAACAGAGTAGGGGAATTAGTAGATGGGGAAAGGGAGGTATTAGGTAGATGGCAAGAATATTTTGAGGAACTTTTAAATGTTGAGGAAGAAAGGGAGGCGGTAATTTCATGCACTGGTCAGGGAGGTATACCATGTTTTAGGAGTGAAGAAGAGCAGAATGTAAGTGTGGTGGAGGTATGTGAGGCATTACGTAGAATGAAAGGGGGTAAAGCAGCTGGAACTGATGGGATCATGACAGAAATGTTAAAAGCAGGGGGAATATAGTGTTGGAGTGGTTGGTACTTTTGTTTAATAAATGTATGAAAGAGGGGAAGGTACCTAGGGATTGGCGGAGAGCATGTATAGTCCTTTTATATAAAGGGAAAGGGGACAAAAGAGATTGTAAAAATTATAGAGGAATAAGTTCACTGAGTATACCAGGAAAAGTATACGGTAGAGTTATAATTGAAAGAATTAGAGGTAAGACAGAATGTAGGATTGCGGATGAGCAAGGAGGTTTCAGAGTGGGTAGGGGATGTGTAGATCAAGTGTTTACATTGAAGCATATATGTGAACAGTATTTAGATAAAGGTAGGGAAGTTTTTATTGCATTTATGAATTTAGAAAAGGCATATGATAGAGTGGATAGAGGAGCAATGTGGCAGATGTTGCAAGTATATGGAATAGGTGGTAAGTTACTAAATGCTGTTAAGAGTTTTTATGAGGATAGTGAGGCTCAGGTTAGGGTGTGTAGAAGAGAGGGAAAATACTTCCCGGTAAAAGTAGGTCTTAGACAGGGATGTGTAATGTCACCATGGTTGTTTAATATATTTATAGATGGGGTTGTAAAAGAAGTAAATGCTAGGGTGTTTGGGAGAGGGGTGGGATTAAATTATGGGGAATCAAATTCAAAATGGGAATTGACACAGTTACTTTTTGCTGATGATACTGTGCTTATGGGAGATTCTAAAGAAAAATTACAAAGGTTAGTGGATGAGTTTGAGAATGTGTGTAAAGGTAGAAAGTTGAAAGTGAACATAGAAAAGAGTAAGGTGATGAGGGTATCAAATGATTTAGATAAAGAAAAATTGGATATCAAATTGGGGAGGAGGAGTATGGAAGAAGTGAATGTTTTCAGATACTTGGGAGTTGACGTGTCGGCGGATGGATTTATGAAGGATGAGGTTAATCATAGAATTGATGAGGGAAAAAAGGTGAGTGGTGCGTTGAGGTATATGTGGAGTCAAAAAACGTTATCTATGGAGGCAAAGAAGGGAATGTATGAAAGTATAGTAGTACCAACACTCTTATATGGATGTGAAGCTTGGGTGGTAAATGCAACAGCGAGGAGATGGTTGGAGGCAGTGGAGATGTCCTGTCTAAGGGCAATGTGTGGTGTAAATGTTATGCAGAAAATTCGGAGTGTGGAAATTAGGAGAAGGTGTGGGAAGAGGGAAGAGAGAGGTGAAGGTTTATAAACTAAAAGAGGAGGCAGTTAGGGTAAGATATAAACAGCTATTGGAGGATAGATGGGCTAATGAGAGCATAGGCAATGGGGTCGAAGAGGTATGGGGTAGGTTTAAAAATGTAGTGTTAGAGTGTTCAGCAGAAGTTTGTGGTTACAGGAAAGTGGGTGCAGGAGGGAAGAGGAGCGATTGGTGGAATGATGATGTAAAGAGAGTAGTAAGGGAGAAAAAGTTAGCATATGAGAAGTTTTTACAAAGTAGAAGTAATGCAAGGAGGGAAGAGTATATGGAGAAAAAGAGAGAGGTTAAGAGAGTGGTGAAGCAATGTAAAAAGAGAGCAAATGAGAGAAGTGGGTGAGATGTTATCAACAAATTTTGTAGAAATAAGAAAAAGTTTTTGGAGTGAGATTAAACAAGTTAAGAAAGCCTAGAGAACAAATTGATTTGTCAGTTAAAAATAGGAGAGGAGAGTTATTAAATGGAGAGTTAGAGGTATTGGGAAGATGGAAGGAATATTTTGAGGAATTGTTAAATGTTGATGAAGATTAGGGAAGCTGTGTGATTTCGTGTATAGGGCAAGGAGGAATAACATCTTGTAGGAGTGAGGAAGAGCCAGTTGTGAGTGTGAGGGAAGTTCGTGAGGCAGTAGGTAAAATGAAAGGGGGTAAGGCAGCCGGGATTGATGGGATTAAAGATAGAAATGTTAAAAGCAGGTGGGGATATAGTTTTGGAGTGGTTGGTGCAATTATTTAATAAATGTATGGAAGAGGGTAAGGTACCTAGGGATTGGCAGAGAGCATGCATAGTTCCTTTGTATAAAGGCAAAGGGGATAAAAGAGAGTGCAAAAATTATAGGGGGATAAGTCTGTTGAGTGTACCTGGTAAAGTGTATGGTAGAGTTATAATTGAAAGAATTAAGAGTAAGACGGAGAATAGGATAGCAGATGAACAAGGAGGCTTTAGGAAAGGTAGGGGGTGTGTGGACCAGGTGTTTACAGTGAAAACATATAAGTGAACAGTATTTAGATAAGGCTAAAGAGGTCTTTGTGGCATTTATGGATTTGGAAAAGGCGTATGACAGGGTGGATAGGGGGGCAATGTGGCAGATGTTGCAAGTGTATGGTGTAGGAGGTAGGTTACTGAAAGCAGTGAAGAGTTTTTACGAGGATAGTGAGGCTCAAGTTAGAGTATGTAGGAAAGAGGGAAATTTTTTCCCAGTAAAAGTAGGCCTTAGACAAGGATGTGTGATGTCACCGTGGTTGTTTAATATATTTATAGATGGGGTTGTAAGAGAAGTAAATGCGAGGGTCTTGGCAAGAGGCGTGGAGTTAAAAGATAAAGAATCACACACAAAGTGGGAGTTGTCACAGCTGCTCTTTGCTGATGACACTGTGCTCTTGGGAGATTCTGAAGAGAAGTTGCAGAGATTGGTGGATGAATTTGGTAGGGTGTGCAAAAGAAGAAATTAAAGGTGAATACAGGAAAGAGTAAGGTTATGAGGATAACAAAAAGATTAGGTGATGAAAGATTGAATATCAGATTGGAGGGAGAGAGTATGGAGGAGGTGAACGTATTCAGATATTTGGGAGTGGACGTGTCAGCGGATGGGTCTATGAAAGATGAGGTGAATCATAGAATTGATGAGGGAAAAAGAGTGAGTGGTGCACTTAGGAGTCTGTGGAGACAAAGAACTTTGTCCTTGGAGGCAAAGAGGGGAATGTATGAGAGTATAGTTTTACCAACGCTCTTATATGGGTGTGAAGCGTGGGTGATGAATGTTGCAGCGAGGAGAAGGCTGGAGGCAGTGGAGATGTCATGTCTGAGGGCAATGTGTGGTGTGAATATAATGCAGAGAATTCGTAGTTTGGAAGTTAGGAGGAGGTGCGGGATTACCAAAACTGTTGTCCAGAGGGCTGAGGAAGGGTTGTTGAGGTGGTTCGGACATGTAGAGAGAATGGAGCGAAACAGAATGACTTCAAGAGTGTATCAGTCTGTAGTGGAAGGAAGGCGGGGTAGGGGTCGGCCTAGGAAGGGTTGGAGGGAGGGGGTAAAGGAGGTTTTGTGTGCGAGGGGCTTGGACTTCCAGCAGGCATGCGTGAGCGTGTTTGATAGGAGTGAATGGAGACAAATGGTTTTTAATACTTGACGTGCTGTTGGAGTGTGAGCAAAGTAACATTTATGAAGGGATTCAGGGAAACCGGCAGGCCGGACTTGAGTTCTGGAGATGGGAAGTACAGTGCCTGCACTCTGAAGGAGGGGTGTTAATGTTGCAGTTTAAAAACTGTAGTGTAAAGCACCCTTCTGGCAAGACAGTGATGGAGTGAATGATGGTGAAAGTTTTTCTTTTTCGGGCCACCCTGCCTTGGTGGGAATCGGCCGGTGTGATAATAAAAAAAAAAAAAAAAGTGTGGAGTTAATAAAAGCATTAGTCAGAGGGCAGAAGAGGGGTTGTTGAGGTGGTTTGGTCATTTAGAGAGAATGGATCAAAGTAGAATGACATGGAAAGCATATAAATCGATAGGGGAAGGAAGGAGGGGTAGGGGTTGGAAAGAGGGGGTAAAGGAGGTTTTGTGGGCGAGGGGCTTGGACTTCCAGCAAGCGTGCATGAGCGTGTTAGATAGGAGTGAATGGAGACGAATGGTACTTGGGACCTGACGATCTGTTGGAGTGTGAGCAGGGTAATATTTAGTGAAGGGATTCAGGGAAACCGGTTATTTTCATATAGTCGGACTTGAGTCCTGGAAATGGGAAGTACAATGCCTGCACTTTAAAGGAGGGGTTTGGGATATTGGCAGTTTGGAGGAATATGTTGTGTATCTCTATACGTATATACTTCTAAACTTTTGTATTCTGAGCACCTCTGCAAAAACAGTGATAATGTGTGAGTGTGGTGAAAGTGTTGAATGATGATGAAAGTATTTTCTTTTTGGGGATTTTCTTTCTTTTTTGGGTCACCCTGCCTCGGTGGGAGACGGCCGACTTGTTGAAAAAAAAAAAAAAATTGGTATTGTTTCCCACTTAATATACCTAAGTACTCTACATAAACTTTAGTCTCTCTTAAGTTTGCTTGCTATAATTTTTGCATTTGTTACACCATTGATTGAAGTATTGTATGAATACTTGTCTCATTTATCCTGAAAAATCCAGGAAATATTTTTGTCATATGTAATAATAATAATAATAATAATAATACAGGTGCTCCTTGACTTACGATGGGGTTAAGTTCTAATGAACTCGTCATAAGTTGAAAATTTCACGTCGAATATGAACATATGATAAATAAGTAAAAAATGTTATCACTGAGTAAGTAAATGAACAAGTAATTATTGTAACTAAATACTAGTATTGAAAAGTAAATAAATGAATAAAAGTTTATCCTGTCAATAAATGTACAGTACATTACAAATAAAGAAAAGTTTTACAGTACATTACACCATTGTAAAGTTGAACCATTGTAAAGCAAGGAGCATCTGTATGGTTAGATAAATAGCAAATAAATAACAAAAAAGCACAATACCGTGACTGGAACAATACACAGCACTTTAACAAAACATGATAGGTAGCTGTGTGACCTGACAGACTTAGTCCATGAGATGGCATGGATAAGGCTTGTGTTGCTGATGGATAGTGTGAGAAAACAGTCTTTCATTAGTGCCAGTGATGGTGTGAAGGTGACTGAAAGCTCCAGTGTAATTTTATAGAAAACATCGTTTTGGTCATTAATACTGTACTGTCAATAGTCACGCAGGAGTTGGCTTAAGACTGGGAAATAATGAAATGAAAATGGTAAACTTCCTGTGAGGTACTGAAGATTCTGGGCTATTGCGTAACACATCAGAACAACTGAGAGACTTGTCATGAGATAACTTGACAGTATTCTGTTTTAAAAGTGTCAGAAAGATACCTAGAAGCTTAACAAAAAATCATATTAATAAATTCATAAGACATTTTATGCTCTATTGGAAAGTATTAAAATCATATAACATTACTGTAAATTTTTTGTTATTTTAAACCTCCAATGATTTTTAAAAAAAATTCTGATTTTACTGCATTAAAGAGTATTTAGGTATTATGTATACTGTATTTGTAAACATCCCTTCATGTTTCTGTATAATAATGTACCTAACTTTCTAGGATGTGGAGAATCTCCGAGCCGTAGGAAATAATGCTGGCACCGATGGAAGTGAAGATGGCACCTCAGGTAATGAGACTGGCCGCAATAAACCTGCCTTACCTCCAAAACCAGCTGTTCCTTCTAAACCTCTTCCTCCGCCACGGCAGAAAGGAGATCCACTTGCTGCAAGCAATGAATCACTTAATGCGTCGCAGTCTCCTGGCCGGGGTAATGGTCAGGGGCGACCACCACAAGGATATAGGTGAGAGCACCATATATTTCAGTAATTTCTTTTGTAAAGCTATTCTTTATAGTGTGATTCTTTTTTTTTTTGCAAATGCAGTTGGAAAAAGTGCAATTAATATTAAGACAGCATGTATGTACTACAGTGGACCCCCGCATAGCGAACGCCTTGCATAGCGAACAATCCGCATAGCGAACGCTTTGTTCACTAAAATTTTGCCCCGCATAGTGGACAAAAACCCGCTCAGCGACCTTCGTCCGAGACGCGTCCAATGTTTACCAGCCAGCCTCCGCGGTAACATTCAAGCATACACTCGGAATATTTCGTATTATTACAGTGTTTTCGGTGCTGTTTGTGGAAAATAAGTGACCATGGGCCCCAAGAAAGCTTCTAGTGCCAACCCTACACCTCAAAGGGTAAGAATACCCATTGAAATGAAGAAAGAGATCATTGATAAGTATGAAAGTGGAGTACGTATCACCGACCTGGTCAGGTTGTACAAGAAACCAAAATCAACCATCGCTTCTATTGTGGGCAAGAAAACAGCAATCAAGGAAGCTGTTGTTGCCAAAGGTTTAACTGTGTTTTCGAAACAAAGATCGCAAGTGATGGAAGATGTTGAGAGACTCTTATTGGTGTGGAAGTAACCCCAGAAAAGGACTTGCTACCTCAAGTCCTAATGGAAGGGGATTCCCCTTCTAAACACTAACACTCTCTCTCCCCTCCTCCCATCCCATCAATCATCACCAGATCTTCAATAAAAGTAAGTGTCATGTAATTGTGCATGCATTTTTCAGTTTGTGTGTACTAAAATTAACATTTTTTTGTGGTAAAAAAATTTTTTTTTCATACTTTTGGGTGTCTTGCACGGATTAATTTTATTTCCATTATTTCTTATGGGGAAAATTAATTCGCATAGCGAACATTTCGCATAACGACCAGCCCTCTTGCACGGATTAAGTTCGCTATGCGGGGGTCCACTGTATTAATGTTTGAAGCAAATTTTCAGTTGCATTTACAAAAAAAATGTACAGGATAGACAAGCTTTATAATGGAGACTATTGTATATAAACTATTGGTTGGTTTAGAAAGACACGTAAGCAAACACTATAACATATTTATTAGAAAACGTTTCGGTCCTGGGACCTTGATCACTTCTAACATACAGAGGTAGAAAGACATTATATATAGGCGGAGAGTGAGATGTGACGCACGTGACCTGAGGAATGTCATAAGAACATAAGAATGGAGGAACACTGTAGAAGGCCTACTGGCCCATGCGAGGCAGGTCCTTATCAAAACAACCTCTGCCTATGATGAGGACCAGTAGACGATGAAATCATGTGACTCCTGTGTTGTTGGGTTGGTGCTGCTTAAGTATCATGTATGCCAATGTTTTGAAATTTTGTAGTTTCCAGTGTTGCGTTCTATAGTGTCGGTGACGGTGATTAGTGAGGCTTCTAGGCACCGTCGGCGTCTGAGGTCTGGTTCGGTGAGAACGAGTTGTGCCTCGTTCCAGTTCATCAAATGCCCCGTGGAGTCTCTGTGGAGGACACAGGCGTATCTTACATCGTCTCTGTTAGAGGCATTTCGATGCTCATTCAGGCGGACTGCAAGATCTCTGCCTGTCTCGCCTACATATTTCTTGGGACAGAACCCACAGGGGATAGTGTAGACGCCTGCTGTAGAAGTTAGAGGTGTGGGGCTGCGTTTAGTAGTGAGGTCTTTGATAGAGGATGTGTTTATGGTGGAAACGTTGATGTTACTCATAGCAAGTGCCCGGCGAGTATAGAACGCAACACTGGAAACTACAAAATTTCAAAAACATTGGCATACATGATACTTAAGCAGCACCAACCCAACAACACAGGAGTCACATGATTTCATCGTCTACTGGTCCTCATCATAGGCAGAGGTTGTTTTGATAAGGACCTGCCTCGCATGGGCCAGTAGGCCTTCTACAGTGTTCCTCCATTCTTATGTTCTTATGACATTCCTCAGGTCACGTGCGTCACATCTCACTCTCCGCCTATATATAATGTCTTTCTACCTCTGTATGTTAGAAGTGATCAAGGTCCCAGGACCGAAACGTTTTCTAATAAATATGTTATAGTGTTTGCTTACGTGTCTTTCTAAACCAACTTGTCGGTATTTATTACCAAGGTTTATACCAAACTATTGGTTGTACTGTATACAGTCTTGAAAGTTTACCAACACCTGCCACTCCATTTACTGTATTAACATGTCACTCTTATTAAAGGGATTTGCTTATTACTTTGTAGTAAATTTTTGCATTATATTGCATATATTCTACTGTATTAGAAATATTATTGGGACATAACTGGTCCATGTGGGATGCTACTGTACAGATTTTCCTATAAGGATAATTTTTCCTCTGATTACTCTTCACATTTTTCTTTTAAACAAAATGTATCATTTAATGTAATATTATTATAATATGGGAAATTGCTAAATTCATAAGTCATATAGCACCTGGGGTGCTGTATTCAAGGCTCGGTTCATTAGCTCAAGAGGCCATCACTGTCATGAAGGAACTTCCCCTTGAAGGTATCTAATGTAATGGTTTGCCTTTATTGCTCCCATCAATGGCTTCAAAGTCTTGTGAAATTAGGGTTGATATAAATGTTGGCAGAGTTTGGTATTGAACTCGTGAAAAATTTCACGTGGGTTGTCAACCTCAACTCTGTCTATTGGCTCATTACATTCTGAATTGTACTGCATCCTTAGTATTTCACTTATTTCCTTGTCATCAGTATAAGTTCCATGTCCCTTATGAGTCCAATATTTGAGATGGCTTTTGCCTTGGATTTTTATGTCTATCCTCATATCATCCTATGTGAACATTTCCGGTGTTTAGTCTTTGTAACTCAAACTTATCTCTGGGAATTATTTTATTGCAGGTTTCTGCATGTTCATATTTTATATACATTTTAAGATGTGTTGATTTATCTCTTTGGCAGATATGCAAGTCAGAATGTGATAATGTCAACATATACTCAACAAACAACTGCCTCAGAAAACCAGCAGGGTGATGTCAGTGAAGACAGCTCTCGGCCCAAGATGGCAAATAATACTCTTAATAATAGCACCAGTAGCACCAGTGTTGGTGTCAAAGCAGAGTCAGAGGGTGGGGAGAAAATTCACGTCTCAATTAATCGACGAATTGAAATGCCGCCAGATTTCATGTTCCCTGAAGATGAAACTCCACCATCGGATCTTCTTGGTCGACGAGTAGAAGAAATAGAAAATGGAAATGCAGACTCTCAAGTCAGTTCTAATAAAGAAAATGGAACAGATACGGTTGATAATTTAAACATGGCACCCATATTACCACTTGGTGAACTTGAAAAACTGAGAATCGATAATGCAAAAGAAGGCAGAAATAGTCAAGACAATTCAACCACTGATGCCGCTCACATACCCAGTGATGATTCTCGACAACCAGATGGTGCAGATACAACGTCAATACTAAGTGAAGAAAGTCGATCAGGTAATAAACTGTTTTTATGGAATGTCTTTGTTTGTGTTATAAAAAATTTTATACTTACAAAATTAGAGTAAAAAAAACTATCAGTTCTTTTCAAAAAGTGCTCACAGTTTTCTTGTACAGTAGATTATTGTTCACAAAAAATGTGCTAAACCTGTGCGAGTCATAAGCGCCATGCAGTAATAGTTCCCTATTGTTTGCCATTATTCACAGAATGAAGTGGGAAGCTTTAAGAGTAATCTGAAGCCATTTGGAGACAAATGTTAAAATGTAATATACATATGTATTGTGTCATACATACATGGTGCTATATTTTGATGAATAACAATGCCATGCAAGTAAATGTTGAGCCCAATTGGTATAGATGTCAGTTATTGATGAACCAATAGTTAGCTTACAATTTTCAGCATTGATTACATTGAATAATATGTTAACACTGGTACATAGTAATTTTTGGTCTTTCTCTTAGGTCAAAATTAATTCTTCTATCATAAACATAGTGTTAATGTTTTATATAGTGTTTTTAAGTAACAAATTCTTTTATTCAAAAGTTAGCAGATTGATTTTCTCTTGGAAAGAATACACAAGTTTTATTCATAATATACCTAACTTGACATTCTTTTAACAGAAGGCGAGGGTGAGAGGAATAATGATTCTCCAGTTACGACCACAGTATCCAACTCGAATATCAGTAACAATAACAATATTAACAACAACAACAACAATAATAATAACTCGAGTGGTGGAGGTGTTGTGGTTAGACGTATTAAAAAGGGAAACCTCAAAACGAAGAATTCTTCCAGAATACCTCGCAGGGTAAGCTTTGACCCTCTTGCACTTCTCCTGGATGCCTCTCTTGAAGGAGAACTTGAACTAGTTCGCCGTACTGCCATGGAAGTAACTAATCCCTCAGCAGCCAATGATGAAGGAATCACTGCACTTCACAATGCTATATGTGCAGGTCATCTTGATATTGTTACATTTTTAGTAACATTTGGATGTGATGTTAATGCTCAAGACTCTGATGGATGGTAAGTACTGTAGTATAAGAATTTGTGATTTAAAGGAATGTTCATATTCAGCAGTGAGCATAGGATTTTATTTACACTTCATTATAGTCACATCAAGTGTTAAAGCCATGTGGGTCTTTCAGGTATGTGGTATGATTAGAAGGGATGTACTTTTTTTTTTAGTCTTTTTTGATGAAGTGTAAGACACTGAAACTGTTAGAATGAGTCTGGAATGAGCTGCATCAGCAGGGTATAACAAATACTTAGTTACATAAATTGTTTATTACAATTTATATTTTATACAATTATATACTGTATTGTGTAAAAGATAGAAACTGCCTCAGTTTTTGCCCAGCCTCCGAGAAGGATGAGATGATTCATAATCTAAACTTGGTATGGCAATTTCTTTGTATTGTATTCTTCAAGCTGTATGACCCTTGTGGGTTTAGTGCTTAGTTATGATAATATTAATGTACTCTTCTAGGGGAAGTACTTTGATGCTGGTGAAGGGCTTTTGATCCAAGGAATTCTTATTATTATTACAATTAACACTAAGTGCTAAACCTACTAGGGTCATACAGCACTGCAAGGCAGGATGTGATACAGATGAAATATGTTAAAATCAGAGAGCAGCAAGTCAGGAGTATGCAGGAGGTAGACTTAGTAAAGGTAGTGGGCAGTGCTAAAGGGAAAATATAATCAAAGTTGGTGTAATAAAGCTGTTGCTGACAAAAAGAGGCAGTCAGTATGAGGCTGATCCAAGGAATTAGTAAATATCTCTTGGACGAAACCTAGGTACCTTATCCCCTAGGTGCTGCTTGACCCCCTATGGGTTTCCTGCTTCCCATAATTAAAATAATTTGTACTGTAATTAGTATTCACAAGAAATAGCTAAATCTCCAGTGGTGTTCAGTGACATCCTCCTGTTCAGGATGATGTAACTTTATTTGCATTTTTAACTTCCTTTACAAAATTTCAGGACTCCATTGCACTGTGCTGCATCATGCAACAATGTGGCCATGGTGAGATTCCTGGTGGAACACGGGGCTTGTATCTTGGCCACTACTTTATCTGACCATGAAACTGCAGCAGAGAAGTGTGAACAGGATGAGGAGGGATATGATGGATGTTCACAGTACCTTTATAGTAAGGAGAAAGACTTGTTTATTGAAAATTGTAAAATTTCATGGCAAAATGTTGGAGGGCAGGTATTACCAACAAGTATGGAAGAGAGCAAACCTTTATCGTAAGACATTTCACTCTGGATAGAGCTTTATCAAGTTAAACAAAGAATGTGACAGGATATTATATACAGCAGAGTGGTAAGTGAAGAAGTGGTCAAGTTCAGGTTATTTGTGGCTTTGATGTGTGCACTGGTGTCACCTCTGCTCAATGGGTTTTCCCATGTAAGATGAAATTTACCCTTGATTCTGCTCTATAGTGTTTGAGGTCAGTATAATTGGTGCATCTTAGCAGTACCTTCTAGCCTTGTTGTCTTTATGATTTCTACATGTGGCATCCAAAAATTGTGCATGTTTGTCTCAACAACACAGTCTGAGTTTTACATGTACATTTATGCTCAAGGATTCTGGTGTGTTGACTGCATGCTGTTCCACCATTGTAGTCTCACACCTGCAGGATGTCTTGCACACTTTTGCTTCCATGTTATAGCTGGCATTTAAGTCTGACCAGCAGCATCCACAACTGCTGCCACAAGGAAGCAGATATGTACGAGATTCCCTGCAGATGGCGTGAGAGATTACCTTGTTAAAACGGCATGCATCCTATGCACCAAAATGTTAACGTAAGAATCAGTGTGATGATCATTAAGCTTGTGTTATACATAGACATGCCTTTTCAAATGGCCATATGCACAGCTAGTCATAAAGAAAGAAAAGGCTAGAAGATGCTGTTTTGAAACAATGTTTGTGCAAACCTCCCCTCAAGGGAGGTTCCTTGATGCTGGTGAGGGGCTCTTGATCTAGGGAATTGGATCTGTGCTCCTGTTCCCCAAATACCTTCCACCCCCTCATGTGTGCTGTAAAATCCTACAGGTTTAGTGCTTCCCATAATAATAATGTGCAAACCTCCAACACTATAGAGCAGAATTGAGGGCTGTTTAGTATTGCCAAGCCACCTGCCTGGTCATGGACTGGGCCATGGGGGCGTTGACCCCCGAAACACCCTCTAAGTAAGTTTGGATGCTGCGAACTCCCACATGCATCACTACCATGTGATATCTTGCCCTTACCTACTACTTTACTTCACTGCCTTTCTTGAATATATAACACTATTACTCCTTGTATGGAAGATGGCAAAAGAATCTTGAAGTAATCTGATATAAGAGGTGTAAATATTATGTATAGGTGCTCACTTTACAGTAAATGTGCCTGCAGTACATTATGTTCCATATTTTGTGTACGTATGTTTGCATCCATTGAAGGGACATGTACAACTGTAGCTGTCTCACACATTCATCCATCCGGTTACCTTCATTGATATAAGCTTGAGGAAGTGGATGTATTTAATTGGAAATGGACATCTCAAGCAGATGGGCCTGTGAAAAGATGTTGGAGGGGAGGTGGTGTGCAGTATTTTGGAGGTATCTCTGGATAGAAATAGAAAAATTTATGGAGGGGAAAAAAAAGGGAATGTACCAGAGTATAGTGGTACCAGACACTTATGCAACATATGGGAATCTTCATTGAAGAAATGTTTTGCCACACAGTGGCTTCATCAGTCCAATACAAAGCAGAAAAGTGTAAGAGGAGGAGTTTGAGGTAATCAGTCCCTCAGCCTGGAGTCAATGTGTTCAATCCATCAATCTTGTAGAATGTACAGCATAGGACCGTAGAAGTGGCTTATATACTGTAGTCAGGTGAGGTGAAGCAGGAGGTGGTGGGGCCATAGTGGAACCATCCACTAGTCTTAGTTCTTCATCCTAGACTAGAGGATGGTTCCACTATGACCCTGCCTCCTCCTGCTTTTCCTCACCTGAGCTACTTCTAAGGCCCAATGCTGTACTTTCTACAAGACTGATGGACTGAACACATCGACTCCAGGCTGAGGGGCTGATTACCTCAATTTCCTCTCCTTACACCTTTCTGCTTTGTATTGAACTGATGAGCCAGTGTGTGGCAAAATGTGTCTTCAATAAAGATTCCCATACGTTGCATAAGTGTCTCAATCTTCAACTTGTCAGTTTTAAACCATTTATCATATAGTGGTACCAACAAACACCTTTATATGGGTGTGAGGCATGAGTTTTGAACATTGCAGCAAAATGTGATGTTTACAAGTAATGTGTGAATATTATGCAGGGAATTTGGAGTGTTGAAATTGTAAGGTGTGTGGGGTATAATTCAGAGGGTTGAGGTAACAGGATGATGAACTGGGTGCATAAATTGGGTGAAAAGCAGGAGGGATTAAACCAGAAAAGTTTGGAAGGAAAGGTGGTAAAGGAGGCTTTAAGTTTTAGGGACTGAGCATTCAGTAGGCTTGTGTGAGCATGTTAGGAGTGAATAGGGACAAGTGGTTTTTAATGTATACTATATTGTTGGAGTGTGAGCAAGGTAATACGTATTGAAGGGATTCAGGGGAAATTGGTTAGTGCACTTTTGTCCTGGAGGTGAGCAGGGCAAGAATGTTACAGTAAGAAGGTAATCTGAATTTCAGTGTTGGTACCCCTGGCAAGACAACAATTGAATGAATGACTTTTTGTTTTTTGTCATTTTACTTTGGTGGGAGATGACCAGTGTCTTGAACTATCTCCCACCAAGGCAGGGTAACTCAACAAGCATACTGCATAGATTTTTTAAGAATGCTTACCATTAAGATAGGGGGGGGGGGGGCTAAAAAGAAATTCACCTTCATTCAGTTGCTGTCTTGCTAAGTGTCCTAACATTACAATTCAGGTTATCCTCCAACTGCAACATCCCCAGCCCTCCTTCAGAGTGCATGCAATACCTTTCATGCCTCAAGAAATGCCAAGGCCAGCTGACTGGTGTTCCTGAATCCCTTCAAAATATTACATTGCTCACACACTAACAGTATATCCATTAAAAACTACTTGTCTACATTCACTCCTATCTAACATGCTTATACAAGCTGACTAAATACTGAAGCCCCTAATAATTTAAAGCTTTCTCTACTCTTCCCTCTAAGTATTCCTTGGATGATGCTTACCCCTCCCTTCTTCAACCACAGATTTATACACTCATCATTATCCTATCTCTGTATATGCCCAGTAAACCTCAACCCCCTCCTTAGCTCTAAATTAAACCCTTGGAAATTCCACTTTTTTTTTTTTAATTACTACACAAGGATTTCTTTTGAATCATATTACCACCACACGTTCTTAAACGTCGTGTGGCGTTAAGATTAAGACACGTGAGCAACAGTCGAGTGTCTTTATTGATGAAACTTTTCTCCTACACAGTAGGCTTCTTCAGTCAAATACAAAGGAGCAGTAGAAATGAAATACAGATGATGTAATCAGTCCACCAACCTTGGGGAAAAATTATTTGAGGTGGTCAGTCCCTCAGCCTGGAGAAGAGTTCATCTCCATGATCTGGAACATTGTGAAGCTGAGGTATGAGAACGGAGGCTTAAACATTGTCAAAGGTGAGGTGGAAGATCTCAAAGATGTTGTAAGGGACAGGATCCACTAGTGGAAGTAAGAAGGCAGGTTCATCTGGAATCCAACCCTTCGCACTCATAACTAGTAGATATGCGGTGAAGAATAGAAGATGCCCTCTGTACCAAGATACCGTTGTGCTGCAGTGTCTGACAGTATTATTGAAAATGGTAGACAATACCAACACTGCAGCACAACGGTATCTTGGTACAGAGGACAACTTTCATTCTTCACCACATATCTACTAGTTATGAGTGAGAAGGGTTGGATTCCGGATGGACCTACCTTCTTACTTCCACTAGCGGATACTGTCCCTTACAACATCTTCGAGATCTTCCACCTCACCTTTGACAGTGTTTAAGACTCCGTTCTCATGTACTTCAGTTTCATATTGTTCCTGATCATGGAGCTGAACTCTTCTCAGGCTGAGGGACTGACCACCTCAAATAATTTTTCCCAAGGTTGATGGACTGATTACATCATCTGTATTTCATTTCTACTGCTCCTTTGTATTTGACTGAAGAAGCCTGCTGTGTAGGGGAAAAGTTTCATCAATAAAAACACTCTGTTGCTCACGTGTCAATCTTCAACACCATTTTCAACAATCTTTTTCTATTCCATTCTATGGTTACTCTAGTGTTTCATGAACCCATCTCCTGATATGCCTACTTCTTTCATATTCCCTCCAGTCTGATAATAAAATTATCATTATCTAAACTTTGTTACCCTCATTACCTTGGCCTATCCTGTTTTTTTTTTTAATTTTCTGCTGTTACATATCCTCTCAAATTCATCAATATTTGCAACTTGCAAAGAGCAACTATGACAGCTCCTGCTTTGTATCAGATCCAACAGTATTCAGTCCCACATCTTTCCCCAACACCCTAGCATTCACTTCCTTTACGTAATGCTGTATGACCCTTTTGGGTTTAGTGCATTAATTGATAATCACATGTTAAGGAATTATGGTAACATCACACATTCCTAATTCCTTGTTTCACTGGGAAAGAGTCCCTACCTCCTCCTCTCCTATATACCCAGACCTGAGCCTGTATCTCCATAAAAACTATATTTCAGTGCAGTAAATATACAATGTAAGCATCTTTAAACAGTAATCAAAAGTGTACACTGTGTATGTACACATTGTATTAACATGCACAATGTGACTAATTCAGTTGTGTGATTTACAAAACACTGATTATAATAATAATTTACATATGAATATACTATATAATCAAAACCAAGCACTAAACCCACTAGGGTCATACACCATTCAAATGTACAAATCTAGTTTATAACTTTATGTTAATATTAAAATTAATTTGCTGCTATTACAAGTTTATATTAATTTGCTAGCCACACACAAACATGGTCATCACAATCCACTTGATCAGCAACTACCTTGAGAGCCTTATTAATCCCTTTTTAAGACAGCCAGGAATAATTCCCTGTCATATAAAGATATCACTTAACTTGTAAATTCAATAGTTACAATCAGCATCATATCCATAAGATGATAAACGAGACACTTGTGCAACACTTGGGTATTTTCATTCTTTAAATGTTGCACTAGTGTCTTATTTATCATCTTGTCAGTTTTATAAACCATATATTCACATCATATTCATTACTCATTTCAAATCATAAACTAAGTTAACCATTTTTTTTTATATGAATAAGGCACTTTTGGAGCACTCAAACCTGGCTACCACAATAAGGCGACTCAGGTTTGGCAAAATGGTCGAGTTCAGATTTGTGAATAGTACCTCTGTCGTATACCATCTCTGACAATTCTGTACAAATATACTGTACTTTGTACACTAATATAATCAGCTCTACACCCATTGGAGTTATACAGCACCTGGGAAATGGGAGGCAGTCAGGTTTGATCCAAGGAAGATAATTTCATGGAAGGAGCACTAAACTCATGATATTAATCCCTAAAGGGAGGAAACTATGCCAGTGAGGGGGTTCTTGGTCCATGGAATTGGACATATCCTCCCTTTCATTGCATCAAACTTAATTGCTTGCCATTCTCCCAGTCACTGTATGACCTTGAAGGGTTTAGAGCTTCCCTAATTTATATCAATATAACCCCTAGTTATAACACTGCTAATGGTATTAACTGTTATATTACATTAATATACAGTATAATGTATCAGTACATATACAAACGTACAGTTTGAACAACGGTACTACATAATATATAATTGAACATTTTGTATACAAGTTATTTTACTTAATTGCAAAGTATTGCCCAAGTCATATTAGTAAATATTTATACACACAACTTTACTGTTACTTAATGCATTTCATAACTATTGCCTGACAGGTGTTCAAGAAAAGCTTGGCATAATGAATGGTGGTGTTGTGTATGGTGTATACGATTATGAAAGCCAAGCTAGCGATGAACTGAGCTTCCACTGTGGTGATGCTATCACTATACTGCGCCGTGGAGATGAATATGAACGGGAGTGGTGGTGGGGGCAACTTCAGGACATCCAGGGATACATTCCTAGGAATTTACTGGGGGTAAGTATAAGGAATAGGAATTTCAAAGCAGCAATGTCCTAAATATAAATTCACTTTGAACTTCCTTTTAATGAAAAATATATTTTTAATTAGTGCTACACTATGGAACCTAAAACTTGTAGAAACGTAGATTTTCTTTAAAATTAATACTTTTCATTGTATGCTATCATTAAATTTGTTTTATCATTTCCAGCTTTATCCTCGTGTGAAGACTCCTCTTCGTGATTCCTGAGGATTTTGAAAGCCTAATTATTTAACATTATGCTACGTCATATCAGTGTGCAAAGCAGTTGCTTAAAAACTTACTGCTGTACAGATTTTGTGTTATACAGTTGACAAAGACTACTTTAAGACTTAAAGGACAGTGTTGATACTGATTTGGAATGTTGTGGACCTTGAAAATATACTGAAGACTTATCACTTTTGGTGGTAGAAATGTGATCTGAATAAACAAAATGAAATTATCTTCAGTTTTTTGACATTACAGTATGTTGCAAAAATATCAGCATCCAACACTTGTACTACCAAAAATGCCTTAATATATATATATATGACAGATGTAGACCAGTGCCTTAATGTAACAAGACATCAGCAGTTGCAACAGTTATCTGTGATGGAAACTGAACTGCAGCTACAGTACCACCAAATACATATCTTTATAATAAAAATTAATACAAATAAAATTATATATATATATAATATATATATAATATATATATATAAACAAAAACAAACCAATCAATAAACAAATCACATGTATATTCTGTACTGCTTTCATAGATATTACCAAGGACAAGTAAATTATTTCTGTCAACTTTTGTAAAGGTATTAGAGAACAAAGTTGGAAATGACATACTAAACCATAAAATCAGTTCTGAAGTCAGTGAACACTGCAGTTGTTCTTTTCACACCAGCATTACCAAGAAAAACTTGTAGTACTCGGTTTATATGAATACCATTCGGTTCGGTGGAATGGAGCCTTGGAACAGACCTATTTTTCTAGCATGATGACAACACGATATTGTTAATATTTTACTATTGTACTGATATACACAATTGAAATAAAAAGTTGCCATATAAATATTTCCCAAATTTTTCTCCTACAAATAAATACAATATTTTCTATCACAAAATTATTGAAGAAAAAATGTAGTTCCAAACTGCCTAACATAATTACATCAAATGGGCTAATAATTAACGGTGACTTATTATGCAACAATGGAATGCCCTATTATATTCGCACTTAAAAACCCAAACCTGTGAGGGTTATTCGGCACTGCAAAAAAAAGTGTCCAACACCTTTTTATTGACCAGGAACAATCCCCAGGTTTGTTTTACTGTAACACTGGTGCAATAGTCCCTTGAGTTACAGTGGTCTTGAGTTATGATTTACCTTTATAAACAAATTTAGTTTGGAGTGTCAATGAGAAATTTGAGATATGATATGTGTATGATGGTTGGTGTTACGTGGGTGGGCCTCAGCCCAAAGATGAGATGGTGATGAAAGGATCTGAAATGGAGAAATGATGGAGGGTGTGTTAAAGGTGAGGTGGAAGGCAGGCAGGAAGAGGGAGGGAGAGTGTATGTGTACCAGATACAGTAGGTGGGAGACTGCGACTAGAGTATAAAAATTGTCCACAATTCTTTACCTATCTCTGCCTGCTTGTTCACCCAACCTTGTCCTGCCTTGCCTGCTCTACATGCCCCAGCTTGTCCTGCCTGCTTGTCTGTCTTGAACAGTGAGATGGAGGGTGTGTTGGTGGGGGGTTTGGGAGAGTGGAAGGGAAGAAGAGAGTACATATACCAAATGCAGGCAGTGGGAGACCAATGAGTGTAAATATTATATACAATTCTTTACCAATCTTTGCCTACTCAACCCTTTTCTGACCTACCTATTCTGGCTTCTTCTGCCCTGCCTGTCCAGTCCAGTCCTGTCTGCTGTGGCTTGCCTGCTCTGCCCCATTGTTTGGACATAAGCCTATGAAAGATAGGTTCACTCTACTGCTGGGTGCCAATGCCTCTGAAGATTTCAAGTTGAAACCTATGCTTGTATACCACCCAGAAATATTCAGTGTTTAAACAAAAAGTAACAAAAGGAAGGTAGGGAGTGTTCTGGCATTTTGGAACAAATTGCAATAGTCATGTATTATGGGGTTTGAGCTATGATAGTTTTGAGGTATGATGTAACTGGAATGGATTAAACTTTTGAGTGGCTGTCACACAGATCTATATTACTGATACCCAAGACCCTCATGGATCTATGTCATGAGCTAGGCTAACTCAGACATGCTGTGAGTGGTAAATTTTGGCCTAGATATGCAAGTATCAGATTTTGATACCACACAGGTTCTCCCCTGCCAAAATCAGTAATAACCTGGTCTAAGCATGGTTTTGCAAGGTTAAGAGTCCTTTCATGGCTGCTGGGCCAACAACAATAAAAGCCTACTTGAACAGGCAACTGACAGAAAACCTAGCCCCAGGCACGAATGTGAGGGTAGAAAAATTCTTGAAAATGATCATCGGTACAGTATATCACAGGTGGTGTAAGAGTCCTAATGAGCATGAATGTATGTTTTTTGTGACCTAGGTAAGAATGAAAACTATCTAATGAGGTAGAAAACCTCTAGTGTATCTAATTTAGATCAAAATACTAACTAGTTATGAAGAAGTCTGTGGGTTACAGGCAACCTATTTTTTAAATAGTAAAACATTGCATGTATGTGAGTGTACATACTGGCACCAAATATTTTTTTACATATCATGAGATAAATACTTCTCAACATCCAAAATAGGTATAGATATTATTTTTAGTTTAGGATACAAACTGACCATTATTAATTTACCTTAATGATGAATGGGCCCATGTTGAAGTCAGGAAAATTTTTCTGGGTGATCACTGAACACTTGTGGGGGCTGAAGGCAGAAAGATGTACGGATTCACTTTAAGATTCAAAGGCAGTCTCAACCTTTGAACTTAACCAGTAAACGGTCCAAACAGATCTACGTTCACATGTGTAGTGCTACAAAAGTAATCTACTTTTTTTTTTTACTTATTTTCAAATATAACAAAAAAAAAGGTAGATCAAAGTTTTTTTACACATTTTCAAATGTAAAAAAACAAAAAGAAGATCAACTTTTTTTACATACTTTCAAATGTTGAAAAAACGTACATATACGTTTGGACCGTTTACGGGTTAATGCTCCACTAGATAATGGCCCCACCTGAAAAACTGCGACCATAATACTTCAGCTTACCTTCAACATGGCTTGCAGATTCATTTTCTTTTGTTGGGAAACAACAGTCTCATCTTCAATGCTTTTGTCCTCATGATTCAACATGTCATCAATTCCTTTCTATTGGTGTATACTGGCATCTAAATTGATACATCAGCACCTTAAACTTGCCACAACAGCAGAGAGTCATTCACTGCTTTCCACAGTCACTGATGGTAGACTCCATGACCTCTTAAATTGACCAAGTGATATTTTTGATATATTGAAGAGGAACCGTCACTCCATACAGAAGACATGATAAACATATGGTAGACAGGGATAAGCTGCTTGAGTGACAGAAAACAGGTACTCATAGGCACAGCTGGAAGTTAAAGACACATGAGCCACAGGCATACTGGGAAGTATTTTTTATGTCTCAGGGTTGTCAGGAAGAGGAACAACCTAACAAGTGGATGAGGCAGGCTCTATACATTGTTATAAGAGCAAGTATAATAGGGCCCAAAAGGTTAGGAGGGCATGTATCTACAAGAGACAGGTTGAGAAACTGTACTTACACAGTTTCCTACTAAATTATCAAGCAGAAAAGGTGATCCCTAAGCCTACACAACATTACTCTTGACTCCATCATCATTTGGTCCAAGGAATTGAAGCTACCTCCCTATTCCTTGGATTGAATACAATTTCTTCATATTTTCCAAGTACTGTATGACAACTCCAGGTTCAGTGCTCCCTCAAAATAATGATAATAATGTTTGCTTACCCACTACTACTACTATACTGCTACACTTACTACTATCACCTTCAAGAAAGCTCCACCTTCTAACTTCCTTTACATAAAATGTGACCAAGAATGAACTGTATTGGTTGTATTGTCTTGATCAAGCTCCTAGTGAGCAAAACAGCCACAATAAATGTCTAAGCTGTTGCTTGTGTGCCATTCACCTATCATATTTGATAATAAAATATCCTGCCTAACAAATTTACTAGTATTCCATTCTATCAAATGATACCAAGAACCGAGAATACAGCCATAAAAACCATTGATAACGCACCGCAGTCACTATTTTAAAGCAAATACAGTTTTTTCTCCCCATCATGTACTGTGTGGGGCAGGATTTTTTTAAATAGTGCACACTCACAACACAGACTTATTCTCTCATATCTAGGCCTAAATTTACTGCAAACTAATTATCTGAGTGAGCTGAGTTCATCACGTAATTCTATGGTATAGACCCTAAGCTCAAACCTGTAGTACTACGACAAATTTATAGCATACATAAATATGCTATATGTGGCAAGAAGGCATTTCAATATGCTTTTGCTATACTGCATACACACAATAAACCAGGTGTTGTAACACCTAGGTAATGGGAGGCAATCAAGTTTGATTCAAGGGGAAGTATAGTTCTCAATGTCTTGAATCAAGAGCCATTTACCAACATCAAGGCAGGCATTTTCACCACTGTAGGAACTGGGTTCTTAAGTTGATAATATACATTTTGAACAAGTTCAGGTTTTCTCATGTAGTGTAATTCTTCCCCAGAGATTCAGAGACTACACCTACATTAACCTCTTCAGGGTCCAAGGCCCAAATCTGAAGTGGTGCCCCAGTGTCCAAGAATTAAAAAAAAAAAAATTGTTATTTTTTCTTATGAAATGGTAGAGAATCTTTTTGTGAAGGTAATAAAACAAAAAGTACGAAATTTGATGGAAAATTTACGAAATTATGCTCTCGCGAATTTTGATGTGTCAGCGATATTTACGAATCGGCAATTTTGCCGACTTTGACTCCCATTTTAGGCCAATTACATTATTCCAGTCAACCAAATTCTTAGCTATTTCTCTAGTATTACTTCTATTCTATCGATTGAGCACAAGAAATCGCCAAGTCAACTGTTTCAACTACAAAATAAAGTGATCGGAAATTGTTAATTTGGCCAATTTAACACAAAGTTCAAAATATTCCAATTTCAAAATAGGGTCCAGAATAAACAATGTAGGTATTCCTGGAAATAAACTAACATTTCCTCTGTTCATTAGTTACATTTTGAGGCTTTACAAATAAATTCCATTTTGATTTTTTATTCACATAATGAATTTTTATTCACACCAAAAAATAGAAGATTTACTGTTATGCAATACTGTAATAATTGTATAAATATCATCACCATATTTGTGAATGTACATTAGACCCACCAGTTGGCGTGTATTAGACGTGTGAGGTCATTTGTTTACTCTCGAATATCGGCAAAAATTTAACATTTCCGTTTCTTTGAGCTCAGTTTCAAGCCGTTTCCAGCGCTAAAACCAATCAAAATCATCTCTATTTCTGTAATATGTCTTCCTTTCTATCAAATGAGACCAAGAAATCGCAAATACAACTATAAAAAACATACGAAAAAACACTGCAAAGTCGCTGTTTTAATCGAAAAATCATGATTTCAGTTTTTTCTCTCATTATACACAGTGTGCTGCAGGATTTGTTTTATGTGGTGCACACATACCACATAGATGTATTCTCTCATATCTAGGCCCAAATGTACCACTCACAGTTTATCAGAGTGAGCTGAGCTCATGATGTAGATTTACGGTTTGGACCCTGAACGTAAAGCCGTAGATCTACGGGACGGACCCTGAAAGGGTTAAAGAATTGCGAAGATGCTACTTAATGACCCCACATGCATTACTACTGCAGTATATTGCCATCCTGTGATGATGTCTCACCCACACAGTGGATTTTATCAAATAAACAGATGCTGTTTGATATTTGATAAAACTCACTGTAGATGCAACATGGATTGCATTATATTTTTTTTCTCTCTCTTTCCACTGTCAGTATTTTACAACAATTTTCCCTGCATGCATTTCTAACTAACCTGTACATTTATTTTTATGTTAGGGTGAAGTATTTCAATATACAGTAGACCCTCGACTAACGATATTATTTCATTTCAGACGTCTGTTCGGGTGCCGTTACCGACCGAATTTGTTCCCATAAGGAATATTGTGAAATAGATTAGTCCATTTCAGACCCCCAAAAATTCACATACAAAAGCACTTACATAACTGGTCGAGTTGGGAGCTGATCGTTAGTCGAGGGTCCACTGTATATATATATATATAAAACTTTCTTCTTTCACATTTTATTACAGTATTTCCAATTCACTTAAGAGATGTGACAGTGTAAAATGTGGAAGTTAATGATCAAATACTTTTATTACCAAAACTAACGAACAATGTACAATCAATATTCCAATCAGTAAGGTTCAAGGTATGTTACAAAGGGAATAGAGAAACCCACTTGAAGAACACATGAGGAAGTAACCAAAGTTTTTTCCCCTTTTTATTTATACCTTCAAGCAGGCTTCTTTGTTCCCACTGAATATTGTTCATTACACTACCAACAATGAGTCTTACATAGAGCCATTTCTTTAATTTATCAGCGAATGCAAGAAATTTATTCAAAAACATATGTTGACGACTATACCAATACTAAGGTGCATACTGAACTTTACTTCACTATTAGTATATAGACGGCTGACTTGTTGAAAAAAAATAAATAAAAAATAAAGAATAATAATAAATTTTTACTCAAGTACTAATATCAGTTTAATTACTGTGATAAACTGAATTTCTTTGGGCAATAAGTGTTTCAAGTTTCATTAAACAGACAACAGTATGACAACTCTAACAGAAAATACTTGTGCATATTTAATCATACTTAAAAAGATGTTCTGAATCTAACTTGGGCTTATACCGGAACTGCTTCACCTTTGTGTTTCTAAGAGCCTTCGGAATATAGATTGGGCTGTAGTCGTCCAGGCGACGGCAACCAGGATCCTTCTTGTTACTGTGGGGAAAACCAAAAGGAAGTGTATGCACATAGGAAATTAAATACTTAACTAAAATAAAATTTTGAAATATATATGCATTTGAACATTCGCACATGTAGAAAATAGATAAAATATTTTAAATGACCACTATAGATAAGAAAATGCACAAAATAAAAATATAATTTAAAAAATCAGAAACTATTAAATGGTACCGTAACAGATCCCCCAAAACAATTCAATTGTAGTGAACAACAAGAGATGAAATGATAGAAGTGGTATGAGAAATCAGTGAGATTATAATTTTTTTTTTTTATTATTAACACATCAGCCATTTCCTACCAAAGCTGGGTGATCTGGAAAAGAAGAAAGACTTTCACCATCATTCACTCCATCACTGTCTTGTGAGAGGCATGCCTACACTACAGTTATAAAACTGCAACTTATCAACATCCCTCCTTCAGAGTGCAGGCACTGTACTTCCTGCCTCCAGGACTCAAGTCTGACCTGCTGGTTTCCCTGAACCATTTCATAAATGTTACTTTGCTCACACTCTAACAGCACATCAAGTCCTAAAAACCATTTGTCTTCACTTGCTCCTATCTAACTCGCTCATGAATGCTTGCTGGAAGACCCAGCACCTCACACACAAATCCTCCTTTACTCACTCCCTCCAACCTTTCCTAGACCGACCCCTACCCCGCCTTCCTTCCACTACAGATTTATACACTCATTCTATTTCATTCCATCCTCTCTAAATGTCCAAACCACCTCAACAACTCCTCCTCAGCCCTCTGTATAATACTTTTGGTAACCCTGCACCTCCTCCTAATTTCCAAACTACAGATTCTCTCCATTATAATCACACTGCACATTGCCTTCAGACATGACATCTTCACTACCTCCAGCCTTCTCCTTCTTGCAACATTCACCACCCATGCTTCACACCCATATAAGAGTGATGGTATAACTATACTCTCACACATTACCCTTTTTGCTTCCATGGGCAACATTCTTTGTGTCCACAGACTCCTCAGTGCACATAAATAAAAAAAAATACTGACATACCTTTGATGAGTACTGTACTTCTCTGGATAAAAACAAATTAGAAAATAAGAAAGATTAGAAGAGAACACTGATTAACATTCATTCAGGTCAAGCATAAATAAGAACTGCTAAAGTGTGAGGAGCACAAAGAAACAGGAAAAGTAGAATGATACTGTACATCAATTAAGCAAGTTATAAGAAAAAATTACAATAAACTGAGTAAGTGTAAAGAATCTATTTAATGGACTAATTACGAAGAGATAATATTTGATAATGTAACATATAGCAACTGTGAATGATAAAAAATGGGGAAAAAACAGGATGTGTCACAGACCAGGCTGGGCCACGGGGGGTGTTGATCCCCAAAATCCCCTGCAGGTACACCTCAAGGTATACTGTATACAACATATATTCCAATATTGGTGAAGGCTTTATGAAAAAAATAAGCAAAAAGTAGGGGATTGATGTATTTGTGAGTAATTATAACAACCAAAACTAAGCACTAAACTCACAAGGGTCCTACAACACTGCATTTATAAGTAATACTTTTGAGAGGGTGAAATCCATACAAACCGAGAGCCTGTATTAATGTTGGTAGATTTACCAACAATATGTTATGTAAAAGGACACAAGTGCAACTGATGTGACATTTAATTGTGGCAAAGCTCCTGGAGAGCGAAATGTTGCCACAATAAAATGTCACATTAGTTGAACTTGTCCTTTTTACCCAACATACCAAGGGCCTAAATAAATAACAAAAAGGCACAATACCGTGACTGGAACGATACACAAATAACCCGCACATAAAAGAGAGAAGCTTACGACGACGTTTTGGTCCGACTTGGACCTGTGACTTTGTCAATGGTCCAAGTCGGACCGAAACATCGTCGTAAGCTTCTCTCTTTTATGTGCGGGTTATTTGTGTACCAAGGGCCTACCACACACTAAGATTCCTACTACCTTTTGTTTGTCAAGAGCAACACCACACTCGGGAACCATATTCCAACTCAAATGTACAAATAAATTTGACAAGATTCAGTAGTTTCGTTTGCATTAGGCAGGAACGAAGAAGTCCTGGTTGCTGCTTCAGTGAGACCATAACCAAAATCGTAAATCCAAGAATGAAGTGGAAACCTCGCTCTTCCCTTACTCAACTTTCTTTACAAGATCACTGCACAGCTGCAAGAATGGCCGCTGTTTCTAGCCTCAAGACTGACCAATATTTTATTTACCTTTTCAGTTTAGTTATACGAAAAATAGGTTAGATAAATACATGAGTGGGTGTGGGTGGGTGTGAGTTGGACCTGACTAGCCTGTGTTGCTGGGTCTGGTACAGTGCTCCATCCTTGAGTGGGGATGACCAGACTGGGTGGGTTATTGGTCTAATCCCGGGGGGGGATGGACCTGCTCCGCATGAGTCAGTAGCCTGTTGCAGTGTTCCTTCTTTCTTATGTTCTTATGAAAAGCACATCATGGTTGCTTAGGACAATGTAAATAAATATTATTGCTCAGCTTATTGTGTTGTGAGAAAGAGTGCTGAAGATAATCGTGCTAGAGAGAGCACAGTAAGCTAAGTTAAAGAGAATAGACAGAGAGGGAGGGGGTTAGGTTAGGTAAGGTTCGTCAGGAAACAGGATAAGTGTTTCCTGATGTGGGTCTTAGTCAGATGATGGCCAGCTATTGGAGCTTTTGGTCATCTGACCAAGGCCTTCCGTTGGCTTACCGGTCCACCCCTTTAAAAATTATAGTCATGGTTATAACCATTTAGTAGAGGGAGGGGGAAAGAGTGGTAAGAGGAGGTAATATGGTGATATAAACCTTGGTAATAGATACCGACAAGTTGGTATAGAAAGATACGTCAGCAAACACTAGGACATATTATCCCTCTGGATTTTACAAAAGAAGAAACAGATGAATTGGACTTAACCCACGATAGTGAACTGAAAAAAGAGCTATACAGAAAAATGGTAATGAGATTGAATTTTTTTAAATCTCCATAAGAGAAAGTAAAGGATAGTGGGGTGAGGGGCAAATATAGTATAATATATTTTATTTTTAGCACACCAGCTGTCTCCCACCAAGGCAGGGTGACCTAAAAAGAAAGCACAGTTTCTCTTTTTTTAATTTAGTAATGTATAGAGAAGAAGGGGTTACTAGCCCCTTGCTCCCACCATTTAGTCGCCTCTTATGACACGCATGGCTGGTTAATGACTGGTTAATCCTTTTAAACTACAGGCCTGTATCAATGACAAGCATTGATGTAAAAATACTGCTAAAAGTCAGTAAAAAATACAACAGGACCCCCTGTATTCATGTGGGATACGTTCCAAGGACCTACCACGGATACTGAAACCACGGATAGTAGCAAACCCTAAATATAAGTCCTTTCTTCTTCTTTCTTTCAACATACCAGCCGTATCCCACCGAGGCGGGGTGGCCCAGAAGAAAAAACTAAAGTTTCTCTTTTTAAATTTAGTAATATATACAGGAGAAGGGGTTACTAGCCCCTTGCTCCCGGCATTTTAGTCGCCTCTTACAACACGCATGGCTTACGGAGGAAGAATTCTGTTCCACTTCCCCATGGAGAAATATAAGTCCTATACATACCAAAAATTAAGTTTAATTGATAAATAATACACAATAAGCAGAGAATTATCACTTTTTCACTGATGGGAAGCACTTCACAACTTCTCTTAGGCTTTGAAGAACTGCCAGCTTCTCTATTTTTGTGCTCTGGGGTCATTATTATATAAAATTAATTTTTGGGGGGGCCACAGTACACTGTGGATAACTGAAACTGGGGATACTGAATAGGGGTTCTACTGTATATGTAATATTAGACATTTGGACAGTACAAACCTACTATGACAGATTGATATGTATTCAGTGTCCTTTTAACATGAAAGACAAAGAGGTTCATAATTATTTTTTTGGGCTGTCTCCACCAAGGCAGGGCGACCCAAAAAAAGAAAACACTTTCACCAAGATTCATACATAATTACTGTTTTTGCAGAGGGGACCAGATACGACAGCATAGACGTCACTCTGAACAGCCAATATACAAAACTCTTCCTTTTTAAGTATGACCATTGTATTTCCAACCTCCAGGACTCAAGTCCAGCTAACCAACTTCCCTGAATCCCTTCACAAAATATTATCCTGCTCATCAGGTCCCAAACACCATTCATCTCCATTCACTCCTATCTAACATGCTGACACATGCCTGCTACATGTCCAAGCCCATTAAACACAAAACCTCTTTTACCCCCTCCCTCTATCCTTTCCAAGGATGACCCCTACCCCTCCTCCCCTCCACAACAGATTTATACACTCTCCAAGTCATCCTATTTTGCTCCATCCTCTCTAAATGACCCATAAACCTCAACAACCCCTCTTCAGCCCATTGAATAATACTTTAAGTAACTCTACACCTCCTAATTTCCACACTGCGAATTCTCTGCACAATATTTACACCACACATTGTCCTTAGACACGACATCCCCACTGCCTCCAGCCTCCTCCTCGATGCAGCATTTACAACCCATGCTTCGCATGGGTTGTTAAGCAGCCCGTTCAGTTATTGAACCCTGGATCCCAGTAATGAGAGGTGCGACTCACCACTGGGCTACTACTTTTTAATAGTTCTTGTTCTTATTATATTACCTTCATATCCATGGGGAAGTGGAATATGAATCTTTCCTCCATAAGCCATGTGTTGTAAAAGTCAACTTAAATGCTGGGAGCAATGGGCTAGTAACCCCCTTTCCCCATACAGCTTATTAAAAATAAAAAAGAAATTACTTTTTAAATGAAAAAATTCAACATCGTACAAAAGTGGAGATAAGAAAATACGTCTTACCACACTGAAGGATAACGAATACTGAATATGAAAAACAAGTAGCAACTCATTACAAAAAATGACAAAATTGCTAATCCTAGAATAAATAAAGAGTGCTGCTCTTATAATACTCACTAATGATCTTCAAAGAAGCGTCTTGGAGGCTCAAAAGGGCGAGTTTTGAAGTCCACCTTGTATATTTTTTCCCAGAGATACATCTCAGGCTTGAGGAGGTTACGTGGACGACCAGAAAAGAGGCAGTGCAGATACTGATGGAATGCCTCACGGTATTCTTCAGATGCTGGGTGATTTCCCAAATGCTGTGGGTAAAATAGTTTACAATTATTTATCTCACACGAGTCATCATTTAAAATAGTGTTTTTCAAACTGAAGAAAACAATTTCAGCACAATTTACACAATATGTGAAAAAACAAAAATAAGTATGTGTGAACCAACAAGTGTAACAAATAAGGATGGTAAGAGAAAAGAGGCAAGTCTCCATGCACCTACACTAAGTACTGTACCTAGGGGTTACTGCACTACTGTGGACTGCATCCAAGTGAATGATATGCTGTATTTTATGGCATGTAAGGGGCACAACAGAAGTATCATAATGGTAAATCAGTAATCCTATTTAAGGGTTAATACCCTCTTACTTTATGCTACAGCATGACAAAGGTCACCCCTTGACCCTGACCTTGAGCATACAGTGGACCCTCGACTAACGCTATTAATCCATTCCTGAGAGCTCATCGTTAGTCAAAATTATTGTTAGTCAAGTTAATTTTCCCCATAAGAAATAATGGAAATCAAATTAATCTGTGCAAGACACCCAAAAGTATTGAAAAAAAAAAATTTTAACACATGAAATATTAATTTTAATACACACAAACTGAAGAAGACATGCACAGTTACATGACACTTACCTTTATTGAAGATCTGGTGATGATTGATGGGATGGGAGGAGGGGAGAGTGTTGATGGTGTTAGTGTTTAGAAGGGGAATCCCCTTTCATTAGGACTTGAGGTGGCAAGTCCTTTTTCGGGGTTACTTCCCTTCTTCTTTTAATGCCACTAGGACCAGCTTGAGAGTCACTGGACCTCTGTTGCACAACATATCTGTCCATAGAGGCCTGTACCTCCTGTTCCTTTATGACATTCCTAAAGTGTTTCACAAAATTGTCAGTGTCACAATTAAACACTTGTTCAGGTTTCAATTCTTCATTGTCTATGTACTCCTTGAATTCCTGCACATATTTTTCAGCTGCTTTTTGGTCCAAACTGGCAGCCTCACCATGCCTTATCACACTATGTATGCCACTACGATTCTTAAATCTCTCAAACCAACCTTTGCTGGCCTTAAATTCACTCACATCACCACTAGTTGCAGGCATTTTTCTAATTAAATCCTCATGCAACTTCCTAGCCTTTTCACATATGATCACTTGAGAGATGCTATCTCCTGCTATCTGTTTTTCATTTATCCACACCAATGACAGTCTCTCAACATCTTCTATCACTTGCGATCTCAGTTTCGAAAACATAGTTGCACCTTTTGCAAGAACAGCTTCCTTGATTGCCGTTTTCTTGGCCACAATAGTAGCGATGGTTGATTGGGGTTTTGTGTACAGCCTGGCCAGCTTGGAGACATGCACTCCACTTTCATACTTAACAATGATCTCTTTCTTCATATCCATAGTAATTCTCACCCTTTTTGCTGTAGGGTTGGCACTAGAAGCTTTCTTGGGGCCAATGGTGACTTATTTTGCAGGTGCAATCACTAAAAAGGCTGTGATAATATGAAATGTTCCGATTGTATGCTTGGAAGCGACCGCGGTGGCTGGCTGGCTTGTAAACACTGGCCAGAAGTGGACGCGTCTCAGACGGAATGAATAGTGTTGGTCGAGTTTTTTTAGCGCTAGTCGAGGCAAAATTTTTGCATTAAAATGTATCGCTGGTCGGATTTATCGTTAATCGATGCCATCGTTGGTCGAGGATCCACTGTATAAGGTTCAGGGTGATTTTCCAAGACTTTTTTTGTGGGAAAAAAGGCATGCCTTATATGGCTGAAAATACAGTACTCTTGGCAGGGCTAGGCGAGGGTAATGGTTCTTCGCCATTGTACTGATATAAAAGTACAAAAAAAAAAAAATGATCTCTCGTACGACAAAGAACAATTCAAACAGCCTACAATTTTATCTGGCAAGACAGCTACTGGATGAATGATGGTGAACGTTTCCTTTTTTGGGGCCGCCCTACCTTGTGAGAGATAGCCAATAGCGAATAAAAAGGCCTGATACTGTGACTGGAACAACACGCAAATAACCCGCACGTAGGAAACAAGCTTGTGATGACATTTCGATCCAACTTGGATCATTAACTAGTGACTGGTTAATGTCCAGTCAGACCAAAATGTCATCATAAGTGTCATTCACCTATGAGCAGGTTATTTGTGTATAGCCAATAATAAAATAATATCTAGCATAAAGTGAAATTTAGCATTATTGAACAAAACCATTAGTATATTTAAACTTATTTTCTTACAATACATACTTATTTTCATATAGTCGGACTTGAGTCCTGGAAATGGGAAGTACAATGCCTGCACTTTAAAAGAGGGGTTTGGGATATTGGCAGTTTGGAGGGATATGTTGTGTATCTTTATACGTATATGCTTCTAAACTGTTGTATTCTGAGCACCTCTGCAAAAGCAGTGATAATGTGTGAGTGTGGTGAAAGTGTTGAATGATGATGAAAGTATTTTCTTTTTGTGGATTTTCTTTCTTTTTTTGGGTCACCCTGCCTCGGTGGGAGACGGCCGACTTGTTGAGAGAGAAAAAAAAAAAAAAAAAAAAAAAAAAAAAAAAAAAAAAACATACTTCTTCCATGCTCTCTAAGGAAGAACCTCTCTATCTCAAGAGAGGGGAAAAAAAGTATTTAAGATAATCAGTACCTTGCATGGCCCGATGTAAGGCGTTGGGTTCTCTCTCTCGACGCCCTTCTTGAGGTACAGGGATATCAGAGTTTTAAGTACTTCAGGGTTAAAGCCCTTAACACCGGTGTCGTCTACTGCTTCAAACAGTGTCTGCTCTTCACCAAGCCTGGAAAATACAAGACAATTTAACAGCTTCTGAGGATACTTAATTCAGTCACCATTAATCTGATTTTCTGTTGTAACAAATACTTTTTTAATATATCTTTTACTTTTAACACACTGGCCATCTCCCACTGAGGCAGGGTGACTAGCCCCTTTCTCCCGGCATTTTAGTTGATTCTTATAACGTGCATGGCTTACAGGGGAAGGATTCTTCTCCACTTCCTCATGGAGATAAGAGGAAATAGAGAACAAGAACTATTAAAGTACATAAAAAACTCAGATGGGTGTGTATATATGTGTGTGTACATGCATGTGTAGTGTGACCTAAGTGTCAATAGAAGTAGCAAGATATACCAGTTATCCTGCATACTTCTTTCTTTCTTTCAACACACCAGCCGTATCCCACCGAGGTGGGGTAGCCCAAAAGGAAAAACGAAAGTTTCTCCTTTTACATTTAGTAATATATACAGGAGAAGGGGTTACTAGCCCCTTGCTCCCGGCATTTTAGTCGCCTCTTACGACACGCATGGCTTACAGAGGAAGAATTCTGTTCCACTTCTCCATGTAAGTATTGTACGGTATTGTGCCTTCTTTGTTATTTACAGGATGGTAGTACCCACCTCGGTGGTTGCTGTCAACCAACTTACTACCACAGGACAGTAGTACCCACCTGGGTGGCTGCTGTCTACCAACTTACTACTAGAGGATGGTAGTACCCACCTGGGTGGCTGCTGTCTACCAACCTACTACCACAGGATGGTAGTACCCACCTGGGTGGTTGCTGTCCACCAGCCTACTACCACAGGACAGTAGTACCCACTTGGGTGGCTGCTGTCTACCAACCTACTACCACAGGATGGTAGTACCCACCTGGATGGTTGCTGTGTACCAACCTACTACCACAGGATGGTAGTACCCACCTGGGTGGTTGCTGTCTACCAACCTACTACCACAGGATGGTAGTACCCACCTGGGTGGTTGCTGTGTACCAACCTACTACCACAGGACAGTAGTACCCACCTGGGTGGCTGCTGTCTACCAACTTACTACTAGAGGATGGTAGTACCCACCTGGGTGGCTGCTGTCTACCAACCTACTACCACAGGATGGTAGTACCCACCTGGGTGGTTGTTGTGTACCAACCTACTACCACAGGACAGTAGTACCCACCTGGGTGGTTGCTGTCTACCAACCTACTACCACAGGATGGTAGTACCCACCTGGGTGGTTGCTGTGTACCAACCTACTACCACAGGACAGTAGTACCCACCTGGGTGGCTGCTGTCTACCAACTTACTACTAGAGGATGGTAGTACCCACCTGGGTGGCTGCTGTCTACCAACCTACTACCACAGGATGGTAGTACCCACCTGGGTGGTTGTTGTGTACCAACCTACTACCACAGGACAGTAGTACCCACCTGGGTGGTTGCTGTCTACCAACCTACTACCACAGGATGGTAGTACCCACCTGGGTGGTTGTTGTGTACCAACCTACTACCACAGGATGGTAGTACCCACCTGGGTGGTTGTTGTGTACCAACCTACTACCACAGGATGGTAGTACCCACCTGGGTGGTTGCTGTCTACCAATCTACTACCACAGGATGGTAGTACTCACCTGGGCAGTTGCTGTCTACCAATCTACTACCACAGGATGGTAGTACTCACCTGGGCAGTTGCTGTCTACCAATCTACTACCTTGGTATCTAAGTAACAAATGCCAGATGTGAATGAAAGCACATTACTATAACAAAATATACATTGGTACTTTTCAAGATAGGCTAGATGAACAAAAAATGATAAGTACGTAACAAGTAGCCTTATCTTTATGCAAAGGTCTGATGTGGCTGAATTCATTTAGTGTATTTTCATGTTTCAGAGTGGAGGGTCATCTAAACTGTGATGTCTGCATGCTTCTCGCAAGACAGCAACTGAATGAGTGATGGTGAATGTGTTTCCTCATTTTTGGGTCACCCTACTTTGGTGGAAGATGGCAAGCAAGTCAAAAAAGATCATACTGAAATATATTATTGATGCTATAATCTTAATTAGATTTGAATATACTGATATAGTAATAAAGATGAAGTAAAGATGTGAAATTTTCAGAAAATAATATAAAATAAGACTTTGTGTTAAGGAGTGCAAATGGTGTAATGCTGAATAAGAAAGAGAAATTATAGAATTTTCAAGTCAATGATAAATGTTGATAATGAAATGGAGGAGGAGGAGGAGGAGGAAAAAGTCTTAGAATGAGCTAAGCATTAGGAAAGGTCAAGGTGGAAAAAGCGGTAGGAATGGAAATGAGGAAAACAGGTAGGGATAAATGCTAGTATATTTCAAGCATTTGTTCCATTTGCAAATGAATGAACAGCTGTGACTGTCCACACCTTGAACAGAGGCATGAGAAGGAGTGAACTCTGGAGTGACATAATTTTGTGAACGTACTCACACTCATGAAGGTCACCAAGTAACACTTGTTTTTTCTATTATCTGGCATCAAAGACTGTTACTGTTATTGAAAACTCAGCATCTGTTGATGCCTTAAACCCATAAGAGACATTCAGTACTTGAGGAATGGAAGGGGTGGGGGTAATCAGGCTTGATCTGAGGAATGGGAACAAAGCTCCAATTTCTTGGATTAAGCATCAATTCCTAAAGTCCTCAAGATCTCTCAAGAAAAACTATTATCAAAGCTCCTTATCAATTTTAGTGCTCCTGCATCATCCACTTATGCAGGTTGTGCCATCAGCCAGATCACACATTGTAATAGCCTGGTTGATCAGATAGTTATCATTAAAGCTGGTTTTAAAGACTGGAAAACTAAAATGTCACAGGTAAATCACTTAAATTGGAATGAGGATAACCTGCGATTTCTTCTTTAAACACTGTCATCTCCCCCCAAGGCAGGGTGAGCCAAAAAAGAAACACTTTCACCATCATTCACACTAGGATTGCCATATAAAAATTAAATGATTTGGAAATACATTAAAACAGAAGATGTACTCACCAGAGGATATTATTGTGAGGATTAGATATAGCACGATCAGAGTGTAAAGAGCAGGTATTAAGCTGATATACACTGAACTGCCATCGCTGACCATCAGTAAGTACAGACTGCTGAACTAATGGGTATGTGAGCTCTGTTACTGGACCAAACCCTGAACAAAAAAAATGATACAATTAAAACAGAGGAATGAAAAAATACTACTATATTCTGTCAATCCTCAAGTATATTTTTTCTTCTTTCTTTCAACACACTGGCCGTATCCCACTGAGGTGGGGTGGCCCAAAAGGAAAAACGAAAGCTTCTCCTTTTAAATTTAGTAATACATACAGGAGAAGGGGTTACTAGCCCCTTGCTCCAGGCATTTTAGTCGCCTTTCATGACACGCATGGCTTATGGAAGAAGAATTCTGTTCCACTTCCCTATGGAGAAGAGTATATTTTTATCCATTTTAAATGCATTTTTAAGTATTGTATCACAGTCTGCTTTGAAACTATGAATAGAAAGTGAATTGAAAAAAAAATGATAAATAGTCAGTCAGTTACACAGTTAATATGTATAAAATATTGTCAGTGGATAGGCATTTGGCAAAGAGATGAATTTCTTTTATCCACAGTATATAAAAAATGACATGAAATTAGTCATACAGGCTGTATTAACCAAGCACTTTACAGCACTTGGATAGTATTTAACAGCAGTTTTCAATTATACCCATTTTTTATTTATTCAGACTTCCTACAATAAATATATTCACTACTCACTATAAGCCAAGGACAAAAATAATTTAAGGTAAGTAATATGTGAATGGAGTGAATGGAGACGAATGGTATTTGGGACCTGACGAGCTGTTGGAGTGTGAGCAGGGTAATATTTAGTGAAGGGATTCAGGACTCGAGTCCTGGAAATGGGAAGTACAATGCCTGCACTCTAAAGGAGGGGTTTGGGATATTGGCAGTTTGGAGGGATATGTTGTGTATTCTTTATACGTATATATACTTCTAAACTGTTGTGTTCTGAGCACCTCTGCAAAAACAGTGATTATGTGTGAGTGAGGTGAAAGTGTTGAATGATGATGAAAGTATTTTCTCTTTGGGGATTTTCTTTCTTTTTGGGTCGCCCTGCCTCGGCGGGAGACAGCCGACTTGTAAAAAAACAGAAAAAAAAAAAAGTAATACGTGTACTGTATATGCATTTTTTAGGTCTAGCTCTATTGCTCACTTAATATATGATAGTGTGAACATGTTATCAGGCTTTTACCTGCGTTTGAAAGTGAAAAAAGGTTATGTTTCACTTTACAGCGATTTTTGCTTTACAGCAGTAGCCTGGAACCTAACCTGCTGTATAAGTAGGGCCTGTCTGTACTGGTATAAACATGGTAAGATAAAGACAAGAGGTTTGGTATCTAATATGACTACAAACCTGAGAATGTTATAGGTTTAGCAACAACAAAATATACTACTAACCAAGGTGAGTAGCAAGAGCAAGAGCCTGAGTGAACGATGAAACGAGTATCTTCTGCAATGAGGCTGTATCAAGATGGTGTGCACCAAAAATTTGTGTGAACCTGTGGACCATCTCACGGGAGTGCAGCCAAAGCTGGCTGTGTTCTTTGGTTCCTCCTTGCCAAAATCCTGCGGAAATTTTGAGAAAAAAATTTCATTACCGCACTAAAACCCTGCAGAAATTTTGAGAAAAAAATTCCGTTACCACGCAAAAATATTACCATAGAGTCTAAGACTCACAGATATTAAAATGAGAAAGGTTTAGACTATTACCACACTGTACTTGCACCATTCAGCTGCACTACTGCTATTTTAATTGTTTAATGCATTGGCACTTTCCCATCAAAACAGGGAGTCCCAGAAACTTACACATTCCCTATCACTCATTCTCTAGTTGTCTTAAAATTCATCCTCTGAACCATTATATACCCAATCATTCTCCAGAATTTAGGCACTGTACATTATCACTTTTTTCATTATTTTTTTAACAATGGCTGTCTCCCACCGAGGAAGGGTGATCCAAAGAAAAAAAAAATGTAAGGTTTTTCTTCTTTTTACATTTAGCATTTTATACAGAAGGGGTTACTACCCCCTTACTCCCAGCATTTTAGTCACCTCTCACGACATGCATGGCTTACAGAGGAAGGCTTCTTCTCCACTTTTCCATATAGAATTTTTAATGTATAGTATACATATTATGGTATAGAGAAAACAGTCTGCCTATATAAATTGGACAAAAAATATGCTTTCAAATAAAAATTACCCTTAAATCTAATTTTTGAATAACACTCATGTACTTGGTCAAGATTCTGTTTCCCAAATTTGAAGGCTAATTGGATTTTCTCTGCATATTAAAGCATTTTATCCTGTATTTTATAAAGCTGAGCTGGGCTATATTTGATCAATTTATACACAAATAACCCGCACATAAAAGAGAGAAGCTTGCGACGACGTTTCGGTCCGACTTGGACCATTGACAAAGTCACAGTGTGACTTTGTCAATGGTCCAAGTCGGACCGAAACGTCGTCGTAAGCTTCTCTCTTTTATGTGCGGGTTATTTGTGTATCATTCCAGTCACGTTATTGTGCCTTTTTGTTATTTATTTGATCAATTTTTTTTTTTAAACATTGGCCATCTCCCACCGAGGTAGGGTGACCCAAAAAGGAAACACTTTGACCATCATTCACTCTATCACTGTCTTGCCAGAGATGCACAGATACTACATTTCAGATGCTCCTCCAAACTACAAATATCCCCACCAGTGCAAGCACTGCACTTCCCACGTCCAGAATTTAAGCCCAGCTAACCGGTTCTCCTGAATCCCTTCACAAATTGTTAACTTGCTCACACTCGACAGCTTGTCAAGTACCAAAAACCATTTGTTTCCATTCACTCCTATGCAACACACTCACACATTAAAATATGTTAGACAAAACTACAAAGGCAATCTATGATCAAACATTTAAGACAAATAGCTTAACAGTTGAGAAAAAAGAAACTTGCCTGGTACTGTTACAGCATGTTTATGGGAAAATCGAAAACCATAAGAACGGGGGTCCAGTATACTTTTGGGTTCAAAACTAGACGTGGCCAGAGGATCATCTCGACCCACCACTTCTGGAAGACCGTTGGTCACACGAACTCCCAGGCATGGTGTACTTTTACCCTGTACGGGCCTGAAGTACAAAGAACACATAAAACATGAAATATAATTTACGTGTACACAAAATTCGTGTGTGATTTTTTAACACACTGGCTGTCTCCCACAGAAGAAGGGTTATCCGAAAAAAAGAAACTAAAGGCTTTCTTCTTTTCACATTTAGTACAGTAGTCCTCCTGTATCCACGGGGGATATGTTCCAAGATCTACCGTGGATACCTGAAACTGTGGATAATAGCAAACCCTATATACGAGTCATTTTTTTGTTTACATACATACCTATGATAAAGTTTAGTTGATAAATTACACACAGTAAGTTGATAATTAGCACTTTTTCACTGACTGGAAGCACTTCTTGGCTTCTCTTAGCCTTTGAAGAACTACTATCATCAATACTTTTGTGCACTGTGCTCATTATTAAGCAAAATAAAGCCTTATTTTCAAGCCATGGCAACCAGTGTTTAATTGAAACTGCGGAGACTGAATCTGTGGATACGGGGGTTCTACTGTAATTTATAAAGGAGAAAGGGTTACTAGCCCCTTGCTTCCAGCATTTTAGATGCCTCTTATGACACACATGGCTAATGGGAGAAGGATTCTTTTGCACTTATTTATTTTATTAAACACAGTAGCCATATCCCACCAAGGCAGAGTGACCCAAATAAGAAGAAACACTTTCACTGTCATTCATTCAATCAGTCTTTCCAGGAGTGTACCAAAATCACATCTTGGATAACCTTCTGAACTGCAACATCCCCACCCCTCTTTTGGACTGCAGGCACCGTACAAAACTAATGTGCTAATACCTGTCCATTAAATCATGTTCGGTGTCTTTGGTCAATTTGTAATTTCTACGTATCTTCCTTAACATTTTATCTGGTGGAATGCCTCCAAGTATCCAGAAAGCTTCAACACGTGGCTGTACATCTACCTGTAAAGCATTGAAAATGGTTAGAAATTTAACAAGAAAATCATAAGATTAATTGGTCTGTGGGTTATTACTGAGCACTGACAAGTGTTCATTACACTTTAGTTATCTATTAACAAGAAAAGACTAGAAAAAGTGCATATTTTTCCATCCAATAGCAAAGGACGAATTACAGATATGTTAAGAACAAGTGCCGAGATGTGTCTAATCACACTCTCGGTGATGCTATGAAACCAGTGACAGGATTCTGCAGTGCTACAAACAGTGACACGATTCAACATTTTCGTTTAGTTAGGTCAAAGTGTTTAGTGTGCACAGATGCCAACTCCAAGCTCTGCTGTAATATACAGCAAATGGCAGTATTAGTTACCTGCGCAATTACTAAATTACAGTGAAACAGTCACCACAAATCACATCAGATAACAAAAATCTGCAGCACATATGTTGTAGTAAAAAAGTAGGGGTGTGCCAAAGTATCAGCAGGTATAATAATAATAATAATAATCATCTTTATTTCTACAAGGGCATGTACAACATATACAGACTCAGCCCTTTGTCATGCAGAGCATTTTTGGCAAATTAGGTTTCGTCCCCAGGATGCAACCTACACAGTCAGCTAACACCCATGTACCTACTTACTGCTAGGTGAACCGGGGCAGCAGGTGTCTTAATGAAATGCACCCAATGTTTCCACCCATACTAAGGATTGAACCATGGACCTCAATGTGTGAACTGAGTGCACTAGCAATTTTTGATGTGTTAAATATGTTAAACAATTCTTACAACCACAAATATGTGGAAAACTACATATTCTTATTCCCATTACTTGTAATCATAATTTAACCTTAAAGTAATAGTTGTCTGCTTGTTTTCTCGCTTTGTAATGCTGAAATTTGTCGTTTACATATCTTTATTGTCCTTATATACAGTGGACCCCCGGCATACGATATTAATCCGTTCCTGAGAGCTCATTGTATGCCAAAATTATTGTAAAGCGATTTAATTTTCCCCATACGAAATAATGGAAATCAAATTAATTCATGCAAGACACCTAAAAGTATGAAAAAAAAAAAAAAGTTTTAACACATGAAATATTAAGTTTAATGCACACAAACTGAAGAAGACATGCACAGTTAGTAGTACAGTGGACCCCCGCATAACGGTTACCTCCGAATGTGACCAATTATGTAAGTGTATTTATGTAAGTGCGTTTGTACGTGTATGTTTGGGGGTCTGAAATGGACTAATCTACTTCACAATATTTCTTATGGGAACAAATTCGGTCAATACTGGCACCTGAACATACTTCTGGAGTGAAAAAATATCGTTAACCGGGGGTCCACTGTACTCTACTAACAACTGAATACATGACACTTACCTTTAATGAAGATATGGTGATGATTGATGGGATGGGAGGAGGGGAGAGTGTCAAACTTATTGTTTAGAAGGGGAATCCCCTTCCATTAGGACTTGAGGTAGCAAGTCCTTTTCCGGGGTTACTTCCCTTCTTCTTTTAATGCCACTAGGACCAGCTTGAGAGTCAGTGGACTTCTGTCACACAACATATCTGTCCATAGAGGCCTGTACCTCTCATTTCTTTATGACTTTTCTAAAGTGGTTCACAACATTGTCATTGTAATAGTCACCAGCACGGCTTGCAATAGCTGTGTGAGGGTGATTTTCATCCATAAAGGTTTTCACCTTTGTCCACATTGTACACATGTCTTTAATCATTGAAGTAGGCAACTTCTTCAATTTCTCTATCCCCTCCTCCGAAGCAGTTTCCTCAGGTCTGGCCTCTTGCTGTTGAAGATGATCTAGCAGCTCATCGGTGGTTAGTTCTTCATTGTCCTCCTCCACCAACTCAACCACATCCTCCCCACTAACCTCCAACCTCAAGGACTTCCCCAATGCCACAATGGATTCCTCAACTGGCATACGATTCCAAGGGTTAGCCTCAAACCCTTCAAAATCCCTTTTGTCTACACATTCTGGCCACAGTTTCTTCCAAGCAGAATTCAAGGTCCTCTCAGTCACTCCCTCCCAAGCCTTATCTATAAGGTTTACACAATTGAGGATATTAATGTGATCCTTCCAAAACTCTTTTAGAGTCAATTGAGTGTCTGTGGTCACTTCAAAGCACTTTTGAAACATAGCTTTTGTGTACAGTTTCTTGAAGTTGGAAATGACCTGCTGGTCTATGGGCTGCAGGAAAGGAGTGGTATTAGGAGGCAAAAACTTGACCTTAATGAAGCTCATGTCCCCAAAGAGTCGCTCTGCCAAGTCTGTAGGATGACCAGGGGCATTGTCTAATACCAGGATGCACTTAAGGTCTAATTTCTTTTCAATTAGGTAATTTTTCACATTGGGGGCAAATGCATGGTGTAACCAGTCATAGAAAAAGTCCCTAGTGACCCATGCCTTAGTGTTTGCCCTCCACAGCACACACAAATTAGCCTTGAGGATATTGTTTTGCCTGAACGCTCTGGGAGTTTCTGAGTGATACACCAATAAAGGCTTCACTCTGCAATCACCACTAGCATTGGCACACATCAGAAGAGTAAGCCTGTCTTTCATAGGCTTATGTCCTGGGAGTGCCTTTTCCTCCTGAGTAATGTAGGTCCTGCTTGGCAATTTCTTCCAAAACAGGCCTGTTTCGTCGCAATTAAACACTTGCTCAGGTTTAAATTCTTCACTGTCTATGTAATCCTTGAATTCCTTCACATATTTTTCAGCTGCTTTTCGGTCCGAACTGGCAGCCTCACCATGCCTAATCACACTATGTATGCCACTACAATTCTTAAATCTTTCAAATCAACCTTTGCTGGCCTTAAATTCACTCACATTACCACTAGTTGCAGGCATTTTTTTCAATTAAATCCTCATGCAACTTCCCAGCCTTTTCACATATCATCGCTTGAGACATGCTATCTCCTGCTATCTGTTTTTCATTTATCCACACCAATAACAGTCTCTCAACATCTTCTAACACTTGCGATCTCTGTTTCGAAAACAGACATGCACCTTTTGCAAGAACAGCTTCCTTGATTGCTGTTTTCCTGGCCACTATAGTAGCGATGGTTGATTGGGGTTTGGTATACAACCTGGCCAACTCCGACACACGCACTCGACTTTCGTACTTTGCAATTATCTCTTTCTTCATTTCCATACACAGATAACCTGCACATAAAAGACAGAAGCTTACGACGACGTTTCGGTCCGACTTGGACCATTGACAAAGTCACACTAATGTGACTTTGTCAATGGTCCAAGTCGGACCGAAACGTCGTCGTAAGCTTCTGTCTTTTATGTGCGGGTTATCTGTGTATCGTTCCAGTCACGGTATTGTGCCTTTTTGTTATTCATTTCCATAGTAATTAGCACCCCTTTTTTCTTGCAGGGTTGGCACTAGAAGCTTTCTTGGGGCCCATGGTGACTTATTTTGCAGAAACAAGCACCAAAAACACTGTGATAATATGGAATGTACCGAATATATGCTTAGATGCGAGCACACTGGCTGGCTTGTAAACAATGGCACGCACAGGGCAGTTCAGGCCACACGTGGACACGTCCCGGACGAATCGTGTGTGGCGGGTTTTTTAATGAGTGGCGAGGCAAAATTTTTGCGTTAAAATGTACAGTGGACCCCCGGTTAACGAACTTTTTTCATTCCAGTAGTATGTTCAGGTGCCAGTACTGACCGAATTTTTTCCCATAAGGAATATTGTGAAGTAGATTAGTCCATTTCAGACTCCCAAACATACACGTACAAACGCACTTACATAAATACACTTACATAATTGGTCGCATTTGGAGGTGATCGTTAAGCGGGGGTCCACTGTATTGTATACTGGATTTAACGTATACTGATGCCATCGAATGCCGGGGGTCCACTGTATGTAAAAGTAGTCTCCCAGTATCCATGGGGATATGTTCAAAGATTTACTGTGGATACCTGAAACTGCGGATAGCAGCAAACCCTATATATAAGTCATTTTTTGTTTACATACCTATGATAAATTTTAATTGATAAATTATGCACAATAAGTTGAGAAGTAGCACTGATGGGAAACACTTCATGGTTTCTCTTAGACCAGGGGTCAGCAACCATGTTCTGTCTAGGAGCCAGAGCCCATATCTGTGAGCAGATGGCAGATTGCACCTAGTGCCATACTTAACAAGTAGAGGTAATAATAATACATACTAAACTTTTGACATATTTAACATCATTTGATCTACGGCCAGTGGGCCAGAATCAGCCCACAGGCTGTAGGTTGCAAACCTCTGTCTTAGACTTTGAAGAACTGTCAGCATCACCACTTTTGTGCTTTAGTGTCACTATTGAGCAAAATTAAGGGTTATTTTCAAGTCACGGTAAATAGCAGATAACTGAAACCTCGAAAACTGAATCTGTGGATACGGGGGTTCTACTGTAATACAGAAGACCCCAGTTTTCGTAATTAATCCATTCCAGAAGGTCGACCGAAATCTGAAATGGCCGAAAACCGAAGAAATATTTCCCATAAGAAATAAGGTAAATCTAGTTAATCTGTTTCAGACACCCAAAAATATTAACAAAAAAATACATTTTATAGAGAATAACTATAGTTTTACATACAGAAAATAATGAGAAATAAACATAAATGACTAATTTTAATGATAAATGAACATTACATACCTTTATAGAAGACTCTTGTTGGTGAGTAGTATTTATTTCTAGTCCCAGGTGGACTACATCCCAGTGTATACGTACCGGCTACATACGCTGCGGCCTACCGTCATATTATTACCATCAACATACCATGTTCAGTGAGTTTAAACGTTTGTAACAACTACCTTTAAATGACATCATAAACAAAGGGAGAAGTAATGAATAATTCATGCTGAGAACTGTATACAAAAGATTATGTATTAAGGGCAGTTACTGGGCCAACACAGATTCATACAGTTTTCTCTAATGCTGGGCCAGAGAAAACATAATGTTTACCCTCCACTGCATATAAACATTGTATGTTTATATGCTATGTAACGTGTTTCTTACATAATTTTGAAGAAAATATTATAAATGGAGTAATGACAATGTCTATATTAACATTAAATAAAACATTTAATGTGCTCAAGAATGAGTCACAAACGTATGAGTGGCCCAGGCAGAAGAGTCTGGTACCAACGATTTCTGAGGGGATATACATAACCCAGGAGGAAATTTCGCCAAAAAAGTGCTCGAAATCTGAATTGTACAATTTCTGCAACAGCCAAAAACTGGGGGTCCACTGTAGTTATATCCATTGTAAAACAATGCAAAATACAAAGGTTTAGGGATACACAATAAAAGACATTACTAATAATGTGAAAATATAGGCATGTAACCTATTTTACTGATAGGTGAATTTGGACAGCAGGTGTCTTAAGGACACACATCCTAACGTTTCCAGTCGTACCGGGGTTTGACCCCCAGACCTCAGCGTGTGAGCCGAGTGCATCAGCACTCAAGCTACGGGACACCTAATTAAAGCACTAAGAAGTGTATTTTGATTTATTTTTCTACTAGTACCAACAGGATAATTTTGAAAAAATTATCGGTAAGCATCATACAGTCGCCAGCATGAATTAAAATCTGACTGCTTTCAGAGCTTACTATAATATGCTGGAATTAAGTCATACATATATGTATACTAGGAAATAGGTACCAAAAAAGCTAACTTACACAGGGACAGATTCCCTCTACACTTATTTCCGAACATACATCATTTTCTGTATTTGTTTGGAGTTCAGTCCCAATTAAAAGTGAAGCCAATGACTTTCACACACGTACCACATGCAATCTTACCATAGACTCTTTAATGTGTTGCACAGATGATTCCAGTGATGATACCATAACTCTATGTAACCCAAGCAAGAAGTTCTTTATTCTGTGACGTTCGGCTGCAAGATCCGAGGCAAAATTTTTCCTAAATAAAATGCATATAATGTAAAATATTAGAAAAACAGACACTGCACTTTACTTTCACACAATTTATAATAATTCTTGATTATAAACTTGACTGTCCACTAGTCAGTCAAGCAATTTTTTTTCAGCTCAATTATGAACAAAAACAAATTTCCGCTAACAAAAAAATTCACGATTTCTACTAGGATTTTTATCACATTCCTTCTTCCCCAAGTCAACTGGTACCCCATCTGACTTTCTTGGGCTATCCTGGGTAATTTACACAATGTATGATAATTGTACTTATGTGTACCTGTGCCTAAATAAACTCACTTACTGGGGATCCTGCAGTAATCAAATGTACGATTTACAATGCAATTTATAATACAGCTTCTCCTCACTTAATGATGGAGTTCCGTTCCTAATACCACGTCGGTAAACAAATTCGTCGCTAAACGAGGAGCATACTATAGTGGTAGTGGGTTTATGTCAACCATCTTTGATACTGCTTTAATGTCACCCATAGTGAAAATTAAGTCACTTTGTCTGGCCTTTTTTATTTTTTCAGATTATCCTGATGGGTAATTTACACAAGTTATTATGTATGATAATTTGTGTAACTGTATTTATGTATACCTGTACCTAAATAAACTTACTTATATGATGGGTGAAAACACCAATTTTTATGGTGTCTGAGCTGTAGAAATTGTTAAGACTTGTGAGTGGCTAACTTAATGTTTCACAAAATAACAGAAAGCCCGTAACTCTTGAAGGATTACAGTATTACAGTAACCGTACCTAGGTTGTTGTCTTCCAAGCTTTTCTTGCGATTTTTGTGAGACTATCTTTAGATAAATTACATACTAGCAATTGTTAATAACACGAATGGGCATATATATATCTTGTACAGGTACTGGCTACTTTCACAAGTGTAGGGATATTCTAGGTTAAGTCGTTATAATGTCACTTTTTCTAAGACATCTTAACGTCACTTTTCTATACAACATATCAAAAAACTTGCCGTTTCTAAAATGCCAACACTGACAACTTACAATAATGAATAAAAATTACTTTTAGATTACGTTTTATAGGACGTTATGAATGATGTACAGTACATACTTGAAACATGGGAGATGCTGATAAAGATTTAATTTGTTCGAGGAACTGAAAGGATATGCTACGTTATATGATTGTACTTTTGAATACCAATGACTAAAAGCAATACTATACCGTAATTATTTAAGAAGAAATACAAGTTATTATAAAAATTATATTCGAGAGGTGCGTGGTCTAGGATCAGGTCGCAAGAATAACGATTCCAGAAACATTCTCACATTAAACCCAAATGAAAATAAGTCACTCAGACTTTTTTTGGGTTATCCTGGTAGGTAATTTACACTATGTACGATAATTGTACTTATGTATACCTGTACCTAAATAAACTTCCTGACCACAAGAGACGCCAAAGGATTAAGTCACATTGACTTGTACAGATACAGTGGACCCCCGCATAACGATCACCTCCGAATGCGACCAATTATGTAAGTGTATTTATGTAAGTGCATTTACACGTGTATGTTTGGGGGTCTGAAATGGACTAATCTACTTCACAATATTCCTTATGGGAACAAATTCGGTCAGTACTGGCACCTGAACATACTTCTGGAGTGAAAAAATATCGTAAACCGGGGGTCCACTGTATATCTCATTTTAATTCCACATGATTTATCATCAGTGTATGCATTGGTAAATTATTTATCTACTGAAATTACATAAACTCACAAAAAGCCTAAACCCGTATGGGTTACCAAGCAATGTATAAGCCTGTACACCATATGCAATAAAATTGAAAAAGTTTATTTAAAATGAAGTTTAAATAAATAGAAATTTGCATCTAGATTTAAAAAAAAAAAAGATGACTAAACCTTTGTGAATTATTATTATAATAATCAACACTTTAATGGATTTTGACCATTAATTATAGTTTGAATGGCACAATACTACTTTTGGTCAACATACTCAAAAATGATAAAAAAAAACTTAACCTAACAAAATCTAACCTAAACTTAAAAAAAAAAATCCTAACTTAACCTTACTATACCATTGGTAGATATGATCATAATTATAATCATGGGGAGCGCTAAACCCGTAGCATTATATTGTACTGGCACATAACACGAAATTAGTGTATTATCCTGTAATATATTTAGTTATTCTGTAATATTTAATATATTTTCACTATTACCTCCCAAAAATAACTTCCATAATTATTATAATCAAAGCGCTAAACCTACAAGGGATAACTTCCATAGGTTAAATTATAAAATACTAAATAATACCAGAATTCTGCCTATTAAATGGTAAATATAGAAAAAAAATAATGTAATGGTTATTAACCTGTTTAATTTGCAGTTAAAATTAAGATCAATGAGATGTTGAATTTTATCTTGTATTTTGGGGGTCAATATATCAGCTTGTGCCTCTACTTGTGTGTAATATTGTCCTGGTAGACCCTTGACCACGTGTGACCTGGTGGCATATTGCACAAAGTCGACCCCCAGGAGTGTTGGCCTCACGTCATTAAGGTGACATGACCAATAACCGTAATATTTAGGCATGTTAAGTTCCATCATCTTCTGCTCCACCGTCGGTAGACACTCGATCTTCTCGTGCCACTCGGCTTTTTTCCTCATTTTGACGGCTTTCCGCGAGGTATCCATGATTTCTGGGTACTGTGGGGTGTCTGTGTAGTCTGTCTGTGCCACAGCTTCATGGCTATGTGCTCTGTAGACTGGTGGAAAGGCAGAAAATCGAAATAATATATAAGCAGCACCCGGCCTGAAGAGCGTCATGGCGGACACTGATGCTGCATCTAGGCCTTTTTACGGATACGATTTTTTTTTTCAGTAAATATCCTTAAATCATGCTTGGAAGTTTATTTATTTTCCCCATGGAAATGTATAAATCATCCACGGTATCGGTTTTAATATTTTTGGTAAATTTGTTGGGGTAAAACGTGATGAAAAGGTGAAATAAGTCGCTTTGACTGGCCTTTTTTTGGGTCATCCCGGGTATTTTATGCATGATACTGTGTAATAATTATACTATTATAAGTAGTTTAGTATCACATATAAGTTAAAGATCATATCATATTCCTAGATAAAAGGTATACACAAATACAGTTACATAGATTATCATACAAAGCAAATAAACTTGCTTACTTAAGACATTAAATTCAAACTACCACTGGACATAATACATTAAGTTCCAGCATGCTACCATAGTACCATAAATAAAAATTTGGTATACTTTCAAGAGAAAACATTAGTGTGCAATAACATGAGAACAGCCAACAGTTGTATGCTGAATCTGACTCCTGATATTCCAGGAGGTGAGTCTCCTTATACCTAATCTCAAGTAAGTTTATTTAGACACAGCTACACATAAGTATAATTATCATACATAGTGTATATTAAACATTATAACGCTAAAAAGTCAGACAAAGTGACTTATTTCCATTGGGGTCCTTGGTTTATTTTCATTAGGGTCCTTGACTTATTTCCATTGGGTCCTTGACTTATTTCCAGTGGGTCCTTGACTTATTTCCATTGGATCCTTGACTTATTTCCATTGGGTCCTTGACTTATTTCCATTAGGGTCCTTGACTTATTTCCATTGGGTCCTTGACTTATTTCCATTGGGTCCTTGACTTATTTTCATTAGGGTCCTTGGTTTATTTCCATTGGGTCCTTGGTTTATTTCCATTGGGTCCTTGGTTTATTTCCATTGGGTCCTTGGTTTATTTCCATTGGGTCCTTGGTTTATTTCCATTGGTCCTTGACTTATTTCCATTGGGGTCCTTGGTTCATTTCCATTTGGGCCCTTGGTTTATATCCATTGGGTTCCTTGGCTTGTTTTCATTGGGGGTCCTTGATTTATTTACATTGGGGGTCCTTGGCTTATTTACATTGGGGGTCCTTGATTTATTTACATTGGGGGTCCTTGGCTTATTTACATTGGGGTCCTTGACTTATTTATATTGGGGGTCCTTGACTTATTTACATTGGGGTCCTTGGCTTATTTACATTGGGGTCATTGATTTATTTACATTGGGGTTCTTGGCTTATTTACATTGGGGTCCTTGACTTATTTACATTGGGGTTCCTTGACTTATTTACATTGGGGGTCCTTGACTTATTTACTTTGGGGGTCCTTGACTTATTTACATTGGGGGTCCTTGGCTTATTTACATTGGGGGTCCTTGACTTATTTACATTGGGGTCCTTGACTTATTTACATTGGGGGTCCTTGACTTATTTACATTGGGGGTCCTTGACTTATTTACATTGGGGTCCTTGGCTTATTTACATTGGGGGACCTTGGCTTATTTACATTGGGGTCCTTGACTTATTTACATTGAGGGTCCTTGGCTTATTTACATTGGGGTCCTTGGCTTATTTACATTGGGGGACCTTGGCTTATTTACATTGGGGTCCTTGACTTATTTACATTGGGGGACCTTGGCTTATTTACATTGGGGTCCTTGACTTATTTACATTGGGGTCCTTGGCTTATTTACATTGGGGGACCTTGGCTTATTTACATTGGGGGTCCTTGGCTTATTTACATTGGGGGTCCTTGACTTATTTACATTGGGGTCCTTGGCTTATTTACATTGGGGTCCTTGGCTTATTTACATTGGGGGTCCTTGACTTATTTACATTGGGGGTCCTTGGCTTATTTACATTGGGGGTCCTTGACTTATTTACATTGGGGTCCTTGACTTATTTACATTGGGGGTCCTTGACTTATTTACTTTGGGGGTCCTTGACTTATTTACATTGGGGGTCCTTGGCTTATTTACATTGGGGGTCCTTGACTTATTTACATTGGGGGTCCTTGACTTATTTACATTGGGGTCCTTGGCTTATTTACATTGGGGGACCTTGGCTTATTTACATTGGGGTCCTTGGCTTATTTACATTGGGGTCCTTGGCTTATTTACATTGGGGGTCCTTGACTTATTTACATTGGGGTCCTTGGCTTATTTACATTGGGGGTCCTTGGCTTATTTACATTGGGGTCCTTGGCTTATTTACATTGGGGGACCTTGGCTTATTTACATTGGGGACCTTGGCTTATTTACATTGGGGTCCTTGGCTTATTTACATTGGGGACCTTGGCTTATTTACATTGGGGTCCTTGACTTATTTACATTGGGGACCTTGGCTTATTTACATTGGGGTCCTTGGCTTATTTACATTGGGGTCCTTGGCTTATTTACGTTGGGGGACCTTGGCTTATTTACATTGGGGTCCTTGGCTTATTTACATTGGGGGTCCTTGACTTATTTACATTGGGGGTCCTTGACTTATTTACATTGGGGTCCTTGACTTATTTACATTGGGGGTCCTTGACTTATTTACATTGGGGTCCTTGGCTTATTTACATTGGGGTCCTTGACTTATTTACATTGGGGGTCCTTGACTTATTTACATTGGGGTCCTTGGCTTATTTACATTGGGGGACCTTGGCTTATTTACATTGGGGTCCTTGGCTTATTTACATTGGGGTCCTTGGCTTATTTACATTGGGGTCCTTGGCTTATTTACATTGGGGTCCTTGGCTTATTTACATTGGGGGACCTTGGCTTATTTACATTGGGGTCCTTGGCTTATTTACATTGGGGTCCTTGGCTTATTTACATTGGGGTCCTTGGCTTATTTACATTGGGGTCCTTGGCTTATTTACATTGGGGGACCTTGGCTTATTTACATTGGGGTCCTTGGCTTATTTACATTGGGGGTCCTTGGCTTATTTACATTGGGGTCCTTGGCTTATTTACATTGGGGTCCTTGACTTATTTACATTGGGGGTCCTTGACTTATTTACACTGGGGGTCCTTGGCTTATTTACATTGGGGTACTTGGCTTATTTACATTGGGGGTCCTTGACTTATTTACATTGGGGGTCCTTGACTTATTTACATTGGGGTCCTTGCCTTATTTCCACTGGGCTCCGCCTTTATCAAACTTCGTCCCATCAAGGAAGGTTCCTTGATGTTGGTGAGGGGCTCTTGATTTAGGGAATTGGATCTGTGCTCCAGTTCCCTGAATTAAGCCTAAATGCCTTCCACATCCCCCCCAGGCGCTTTATAATCCTCCGGGTTTAGCGCTTCCCCCTTGATTATAATAATAATAATATCAAACTTCGTCGTAAAACTTCGTATGGATCCTGCCTCCACTACCTCACTTTCCAGACTATTCCACTTCCTAACAACTCTGTGGCTGAATTATTATTATTATTATGATCAAGGGGAAGCGCTAAACCTGGAGGATTATACAGCGCCTGGGGGGGATGTGGAAGGCATTCAGGCTTACTTTGGGGAACTGGAGCACAGATACAATTTCCTAAATCAAGAGCCCCTCACCAACATCAAGGAACCTTCCTTGAGGGGTCTGTGGCTGAAGAAATACTTCCTAACATCCCTGTGACACATCTGTGTCTTCAACTTCCAACTGTGTCCCCTTGTCGCTGTGTCCCATCTCTTTAACATCCTGTCTCTGTCCACCTTGTCCAGTCCTCGCAGTATTTTATCCATCTCTGTATAAGTTGTATCATGTACTTGCAGAATTAAAAATTATTACTGTTATTATTTATGAATCGGCCACTTAAATATGTATAACTGTACCTATATAAACTTACATATACACATATGTGTTAAATGAAAAACAGTCATCTTATATATACTTTATTTCTCATTCTCTGGATTGCTCTGTTGACTGTACTTGTGTAATTGTACAGTCACATGTAACAGGTGTACATGTTTACATACATATGATGGTAAGCATAGTGTAGAAGATATGTAATGTCACTGTACAATGTTATATATTTGCATATGTGTTCTTTTAATATTATATTTTATCGGTAATGCTACCAATTATTACTAATATAACTGTTGCATGATCACAACACCTGGTCCAGGATACAATGAGTGTTGTATGATCATAACACCTGGTCCAGGACACAATGAGTGTTGTATGATCTTAACACCTGGTCCAGGATACAATGAGTGTTGTATGATCACAACACCTGATCCAGGATACAATGATTAACGATTAAGTGGTATTTTAGCAGTAACAAACTGTGGCTAACTGGGGATCGAACCTGTAATTCAAAGTCCAAAACTCACGAGGTTCTAACCACTACACCAACAATCCTACAATACAATCCTATGGTAGGACTGTTGTAGTGGTTAAAATGTCGTGAGTCTTGAATTGCTTGCCAGGAAGCTGGCTAAAACAACATGGGTTCGACCCCCGGCTAGCCGCATTTTGTTATTGATATAACTATTACATAAAGGCACATCAAAGGTGCCTTTATACAATAGTTATTGGTGAGGGAATAAAGATATCTATAGATAGTCTTTTTTGTAGAGGTGTGGTGCTCTGATGAGTTAAAAACTAAAGCTATGTTAAAAATCCTAAACTAACTGTTCTATTTGATAATACTGTCAAAATAAGACACAGACTGTCCCACAATATTCTGTTGCAGAATGCAATGTCTTAACATAGTAACTGGTTACTAATATGGCCCATTAACTCTCAGTAGGGACCACTTCGACCAGAGACAATTCGGTTAGGTTAAATAGCTCTTTAGAGCTGAAGGTGGCCATGACCCACTAACTCTCAGTAGGGGCCACTTTGACCACTGACGAGCCAGTTAGATTAAATAGTTCTTCAGAATTGAAGGTGGCCATGGCCCACTAACTCTCAGTACGGGCCACTTCGACCAGAGACGAGCCAGTCAGGTTAAACAGCTCTCTGAAGTTGAAGGTGGTCATGGCCCACTAACTCTCAGTAGGGGCCACTTCGACCAGAGATGAGCCAGTCAGGTTAAACAGCTCTCTGGAGTTGAAGGTGGCCACCAGGGTACAGCTGGCTTCCTTCGTTGGGTACACCTTAAGTTCGTACACCATCTCTCCCTTGGCACTAACATCTCTGGAAAGAAACACTGAGTCGTCAGCTTGACCAACATCACTGATAAAAAAACTTAAGTCACTCTCCATTTAAGGTTACTCTTCCAGGGAGGTGCCTAGTACTAGTGACTGCTTGTCTATAAAAGAAAGTGAAATATTGATACATAATACATACAAAGAGATATACACCGAGAGGTGTATTTCTCTCGGTGTATACATGCTAAAGTTGAATTTAACCCTTATTTTAGGGATTACAGTATTCTTATCTAGTGATGGAGAGGTTACCGTGCAGCCCTAATGACCCTAGTGTAGTCGACAGGCTTTAAACCCAACTAACCAACCAATAATAATATAGATTAGATATAAATTACGTACTTGACAGGAATGGTCTTGGGTCGTGTGAGTCCCGGACCGTCCACCACCAGGACACATTTGGTTAGAGCCACTGGTAGTGGATTGGTGAAGGAAAACCTGGTTTCCAATGGTTTACCAGCAATGCAAGGCGACAGCAGCTGACAACATATAAAATAATGTAGTAATTGTACGGTCAGTGCCAGTCTGACGTATCAGTTAAAACATCTGGGAAATTGCATTAATGAAAGTTATTTTTGACTTTAATGTAGCACCTCAAAAAATAAGAGGAATGAGAAGATAAAAATTTACAAGAACTTGCTTATTGTTCACTCACCTCCACCTTGAGACGAGGCTTTAGCACCTCAAACCTGTCTTCTCCAATCCAAGCAAATGAGGTCTCTTCTACGCTGCATATAGCCACCAGTTTGACCAGGGCATGTTCTACCAGTTTGTGATAGTACTGCTTGTAGGTCACCGGCAGCGACAGAGTCTTGGCTGGGGGTTAGGACATAAGTTACACATGGCGAAGGCGAGAAACAAGCTGTTAGTACTAATGATGATAGTATAAAGCTATATGAGATGGAATTAAGGGACATTGGCAGACACATCTCAAGAAACCTCACTCGTTCTTCTGTCAGGTCACTACTTGCTTCTTACACCTCACTTCCTCCCCTGTACTGTCATTCTTGAATCTTGTATGTTAGAAGTGATCCATGTGTCATGATCGACACGTTTTCTAGCAAGTATGCCCTAATGTACCCTCAGGTGTCTTTAAACAGGAAATATATGACGAAGCAAAGAGACAGATGAGGACCTGAGGTAACAATACATGCAGAAAGCAGATACCAGAAGAAGCAGTGTCAGCAGAGGAGACAGTAAGTAAAACGTATTAAAAAAATGTCATAGATAACATAGTTAAAGCCAAGGAATGATGGTGTGAGATAACAGAGGTTTTAAATGGGTACATTAAAGATGGGGTGAGGATATTACAGTCAGAAATAGACTGAAGTGTGACGTTAGTACACTTCTTAGCAAGACAGCAAGTGGATGATTGATGAAGTGTTTTTATATTTTGGGAGCACCCTACTTCGGTGGGAGTAATAATAATGAGACAACGGTCCAGGTAATAATAATGATGATAATGATGATGATGATAATAATAATGATATGTAATCTGAGTAAATTTGATTTAGTCAACACTAATGATTATCTATGCTATGCAATATTGGTCACTGCTGTTGTTGTTAAGTTTAATGTTTAAATGACATATATTTCAACCAAATATTTTCTGCTTACACACACACACACACACACACACCACAACACGCACCACACACGCACACACACACCTCACACACACACACACCACACACACACACACACCACACACCACACACACACACACACACACACACACACACACACACACACACACACACACACACAGGACCAGGATAATGTATGATCAGACAGTAAAATATACACTAGTTCACCATTACATTTTTACTTTAAACTTGATGTGTGAGTCTCAGACTTACATAATGTAAGTGAAGACAAAGAATGGACATCTTAACATAAAAATTTGTAGCTTCTAATTTTTGTAGTAGTAATGGTGGAATGATAAGAATGATTTTAGACTGAGAGCAAGTGTGAAGTAATCACAGATTAAGAACTTTGGGAAGGTATGATGTACGAGATAATGTAATTAAGGTAATCTTTAAGATAACTGGTACACATAAAACAAGGTATTATCCCTGAATGTTGAGAAAGATTCTATTACGTGTAACTGTTCCATTGACTCAGCACCAGACTTAGAAATAAAGCATAATAGTTACAGATGTTTAAAGGAATGAAGACACACACAACATTGATATGCAAGGATAGCACATATAAAACAAGGATTTGTACACAGAATTTGTTAAACATTAAAAGGACATAAAATGCAACAGGAAGGAGCAAAGTACTCACTCGTGATGAATGGTTTGAAAAACCGACAAGTTGAAGATTGAGACACTTATGCAGCATATGGGAATCTTTATTCAGGAAACGTTTCGCCACACAGTGGCTTCATCAGTCCAATACAAAGAGGAAGGCGTAAGGAGAGGAGGAGAATGAGGTAATCAGTCCTCAACCTGGAGTCGATGTGTTCAGTCCATTCTACAAGATTGATGGACTGAAACACATCGACTCCAGGTTGAGGGACTGATTACCTCATTCTCCTCCTCTCCTTACGCCTTCTCTTTGTATTGGACTGATGAAGCCACTGTGTGGCGAAACGTTTCCTGAATAAAGATTCCATATGCTGCATAAGTGTCTCAATCTTCAAAGTACTCACTCTCTGAAGGCTTCAGGATGAACTTGCCCTCAGCACGGGCAATGTCATGGGCCTTGGCTCCGGTATAGTACGTACTGACTGCTGTCATGACAATATTCACAGTACGATTTACCTCGCTCTTGTTCTGGAAGATAGTAATATCATATGAAGAGATCTTAGTGTCCTTGATGTTTTGGAAAATATTGTACGATTTACCTCGTACTGTCACATGCTGTAATTTTATTATTCTCGTGTTTTATAAATAAATATTGTAGAAGCGACCTACTGTATTAAACGTGACGTTCATGTTACCGTACTCTGACGTTATATCTACCTATAACAAAATATTATATATCACTCGTTGGTCAAAGAAATGGGGCTAACCTTTCCTTCCTGGAGTGTAGCTTCAGGAAGGTAATCAAGTTCGACTTTCTGGAATCTAACCTCATTACCTACCATTTCCCCGGTGCTCTGACTCCTATGGTAAGTGGCAGGTATAAAGATACCTCCTAACTGTTGAACAGGTGTCTTATCAACTTGTCGGTATTGTTTACCATTATCATGATGAAGATTGAGACACTTATGCAGCATATGGGAATCTTTATTCAGGAAACGTTTCGCCACACGGGCTTCATCAGTCCAATACAAAGAGGAAGGCGTAAGGAGAGGAGGAGAATGAGGTAATCAGTCCCTCAACCTGGAGTCGATGTGTTCAGTCCATCAATCTTGTAGAATGTACGTACATTCTACAAGATTGATGGACTGAACCACATCGACTCCAGGTTGAGGGCCTGATTACCTCATTCTCCTCCTCTCCTTATCGCCTTCCTCTTTGTATTGGACTGATGAAGCCACTGTGGGGCGAAACCCGTTTCACTGAATAAAGATTCCCATGAAAGTTAAGACAATGTGCAACATCTGGATATCTTTATTGTTAGTAGACGTTTCGCCCATCCAGTGGCTTTATCAATACAGATTCTAGGACATAAATAGGAAGACAGTAGAAACTATTATACAAAAGATGAGGTAATCAGTCCCTCGGCCTTGGAGTTAGTGTTCACAGCATCGTGGTGGAGGAGAGTCTGGAGCAAGGCAAGAAGACTGGCGCTTTTTATAGGCGTCAGTGAATGGGACGGGCAGCAGACGAGGTCAGTCACTGGTAGGCGGGATTCCCCAGTGGAAGTAGGTCCTTCCAAAGAGATGGGTTAGTTGCAGCAGCCGTGAAGAAGGTCTTGTAGATGTCCTCTGAACCAAGATTCCTATGATGTTGCAGTGTCTGACAAGTTGTGCAAAGAAAGGTATAAAATACCGACATATGAAAGTTAAGACACATGTGCAACATCTGGATATCTTTATTGTAGTATGACGTTTCGCCATCCAGTGGCTTTATCAATACAGATTCTAGGACATAATAGGAAGACAGTAGAACTATATACAAAGATGAGGTAATCAGTCCCTCGGCCTTGGAGTTAGTGTTCACAGCATCGTGGTGGAGGAGAGTCTGGAGCAAAGGCAAGAAGACTGGCGCTTTTTATAGGCGTCAGTGAATGGACGGCAGCAGACGAGGTCAGTCCACTGGTAGGCGGGATTCCCCAGTGGAAGTAGGTCCTTCCCAAAGAGATGGGTTAGTTGCAGCAGCCGTGAAGAAGGTCTTGTAGATGTCCTCTGAACCAAGATTCCATGATGTTGCAGTGTCTGACAAGTTGTGCAAAGAAAGGTATAAAATACCGACAATATGAAAGTTAAGACACATGTGCAACATCTGGATATCTTTATTGTAGTAGACGTTTCGCCATCCAGTGGCTTTATCAATACAGATTCTAGGACATAATAGGAAGACAGTAGAACTATATACAAAAGATGAGGTAATCAGTCCCTCGGCCTTGGAGTTAGTGTTCACAGCATCGTGGTGGAGGAGAGTCTGGAGCAAAGGCAAGAAGACTGGCGCTTTTTATAGGCGTCAGTGAATGGGACGGGCAGCAGACGAGGTCAGTCACTGATAAAGCCACTGGATGGCGAAACGTCTACTACAATAAAGATATCCAGATGTTGCACATGTGTCTTAACTTTCATATTGTCGGTATTTTATACCTTTCTTTGCACAAAGATTCCCATATGCTGCATAAGTGTCTCAATCTTCAACTTGTCGGTTTTTCAAACCATTCATCACTACCATTATCATGTTGATAAGTGCTGTCAGTTGTCACTGAGAACATAGACAGGTGACGAGGAATGACATAGCACGCTCATGTTTCTAAAGCAATTCAGTGCTTCCAATTTAGGTTAAAATACCCAATTTGAAGCAATTATTAAGAGGGGTATAAATCTGAAACCCTTTCGCAAGAATTAAACTTAGATGTGAAATATAATATACTCCATTTTTTATATACTGAAATGCACACCTCAAGCGACATGCTCGATACAGGTAAGACACATATGCAACAGTTAGACAACTTTATTCCGAAACGTTTCGCCTACACAGTAGGCTTCTTCAGTCGAATACAGAAAATAGGCAGGAACAGTAGAGATGTGAAGACGATGTAATCAGTCCATCACCCTTGTAGTCGTAGAATTTGAGGTTGTCAGTCCCTCGGCCTGGAGAAGTTCAGTTCCATAGTCAGGAACTATCTATGGAACTATCTATGGAACTGAACTTCTCCAGGCCGAGGGACTGACAACCTCAAATTCTACGACTACAAGGGTGATGGACTGATTACATCGTCTTCACATCTCTACTGTTCCTGCCTATTTTCTGTATTCGACTGAAGAAGCCTACTGTGTAGGCGAAACGTTTCGGAATAAAGTTGTCTAACTGTTGCATATGTGAAAGTTAAGACACGTGTGCAACATCTGGATATCTTTAATGTAGACGTTTCGCCATCCAGTGGCTTTATCAATACAGATTCTAGGACATAATAGGAAGACAGTAGAACTATATACAACAGATGAGGTAATCAGTCCCTCGGCCTTGGAGTTAGTGTTCACAGCATCGTGGTGGAGGAGAATCTGGAGCAAAGGCAAGAAGACTGGCGTTTATATAGTCGTCAGTGGAAGGGACGGGCAGCAGACGAGGGCAGTCACATGTTGCATATGTGTCTTACCTAACAACCTGTCGGTATTGTATACCATTTTGATGTTCATGCTCGATACAGTTCTCACCCCGAGATCTTTCTCTTTGGGTGAGGTTTGTAGCCTTTGTCCCCTGAGCCTGTATTTCGTTTGCGGTCTTCTCTGCCCATCCCGCAATCTTCATAACTTGGAATTTACTGCAGCCTAGTGTTAGACCAGAATTGCAGCCTATCTACATAAACCATACCCCCGGCCGGGATTGAACCCGCGGTCATAGAGTCTCAAAACTCCAGCCTGTCGCGCTAGCCACTAGACCAGCCAGCCACATACATTTGTCGTCTTCCCTGATCTTCACCTGTTTATATTCTATTCTCCTCGTTAGTTTCACATTGTCTGCATTGTCGTGGAGTGGGAGGGGCTGGGTTTGATTTGTGTCAAGGGGTGCGGGAGTTGTTTCTTGAGTAGCTTTGGGTAGATGTCGTTTTGATAAGGACCTGCCTCGTATGGGCCAGTAGGCCTTCTGCAGTGTTCCTACATTCTTATGTTCTTATGGCCTGCGTTACTGTTTGTGAAATGTATTTTGTAGGAAACATTGGGTGTATCCATGTACTGTATATTGAAAGTACGAGTATAGTTGCGTACTGTGTGTTGTATATTGGTGTATGAGATCTCAGGTGTATACACTATGTTACGAGTCCTTACCACTGCCTTGACGGTGATGGAGAAGTCGTTGCCAATGGGGACTCTCTCAACATCGTCGATAGTGAATTCGACGTCTTCCATGGCCTCCGAAGGGAAGCGGAACGCATGACGTGCAGCACGGGACCTGCGAAGTATGGCTAGGTTAGGTAAGATTGGGCAGGATACGATTTTTAGCATTTGTTTTAGAAAATAGTAAGACACATGTGCAACAGTTGAGTATATTGTTGACTGAAACGTTTCGTCTACACGGTAGGCTCTTCGGTCAGATGCAGAGGCAGCAGGCGTGGTGCGAAATAATCAGTCCATCAGTCTTTTCAAGAATGATGGACTGATTACATCGACTCAAGGCTGAGGAACTGATTACCTCAAACTCCTCCTGTTCTTCACCATTCTCATTTGTATGGACTGATGAAGCCACTGTGTGGCCAAACGTTTCCTCATTAAAGGTACCCAAGTGTTGCACATGTGTCTAATTCATCAGTTCTGAACCTAACAAGTGTTGTCAGGGTTGAAGTGCCACTTACCGCCTGGCAGCAGCATGGAGTGTCACCCTTTCTTCGCGACTTCCTTCAGGGGCCTTGTAGTCACTAGTACATTCTTCTTTGTCTTTTTCATAAATTCGACCGTCATCTACTGGACCAATTTTTTTGGTCAGCACTTGTCGACCCACACTAGAAACAAGGAATTTCTTTTTTTGTAAACACACGCTTATAAAATGTAAAATTAGGCATATGAAGTATTTAAAAGAGAATATAATTGAAAGAGGATGCTGACTTGAAGTAATATGGACTATTGCTACTGGGTCAACCCCCTGATCTTATTTTTTCGATTTACTATAGCTCTTCCTCTCCCTCCACTGTTCTATCCCCTCGTGGGTGAGTTGTCTAGTCTAGGGAAGACTTGTCAAAAAACACAGAGTAAAACTATAATGAAGGAAATACACATGAAGTTTAAGTTGAAATAGTTTAACAGTAATGTTTTTATAACTGCAGTTAGGTTATGCATACTGGTATAAACTGAAGTGAGTCTTTTAACACTGTTGTAATGTAACTACAGTTAAGTTATCCATACTGAGATTTATCTGAGGTGAGTTTCTTGAATCCATCCTCAGCCTCCTTGTCCACCTTCCAGCGGACAACGTCAGCGTTCACCTCAGCCAGGACAAAGGGAACATCATACTTGAGCTCCATCTGGCCTCGGCGTACAGCTTCCAGGGAAGCAGGCCCACACTGGAACACTCCTGCCCAAAAATAATGTAAGTCGTGTAATAGCAGTTTCAATTATACTAAGGCAATAATTTACCTCTACTGATCAAAAATGATCTTAAGGTACTTGTTCGTTATCGGTCTCGTGGTTATATTTAACCTTAAATGGAATTTACCACCTGCTTTTGGCTGCACTATCAAGCAACCCGACTCTACAGAGAAGCTCTTTCCGACCGCGCCACTGGAATCCATTACTTTCCCTGGATTGTCTTTTAGTTCAGTGAAAATAAATCTTTTTTTTTGAGGCTACTGTAAAAATTTAAAAGAGTAGTCTGTTCAAAGTGTCTATTTAACTAACTAAAAGTTAGTTGTAATAGTTTTTCACCCACCATCACTGGTCTCCTGCGGGGTGGCATCAATAGCCTGCCATCCACCATAGCCTGGAGGCAGGTCAGGTCGAGTCATCCACACATCATTCCACACATGGAAGTTCCAGATCGAGTCATTAACCCCAGCAGCATTGATGTCATAAGCCACGTCCTTGCTGGAAGGTTATGGGAAGATAAATTTGACACACCCACTGAATGTACTGAGTACTTCTGTCTGCCTTCCTCTCTCCTTCACTGCCTGCCTCCCTATCCCCTAACTGCTACCTGTCTGCCTTTCTCCTTCACTGCTACGTTACTGCCTCCCTGCCCCAGCAGAACCTTAGGTGACTTTCTAATACCAACACTACTGTATATCGCCAGTAAATTTCGGCTGTGTTGCCTGCTTATTCTATAGTCTCGGTAGGCTTGTAAGTTAGTTCTACTCACTGCACCATGCACGAGAGCCTAGATAAAGCAAGTAACAGCCAGTTTATCGTCGATACAAGACAAGCTACAAAACTGATTTTTATGAAAAAAATTTGAAAACAATATGAATATTTCCTTTGGTTTATGTAAATTGGATTCATTTATAATTAATAAAATTGGAGAAGAATTTAATGATACATTAAACAAGTAATAAATCTTAATTCTTGGATGGAGTATTAGGTGTGTTTTACAGCCGGGTGTTGTCACGTGTGAGTGAGGTGTAGCTGTGTTGTGGGATGTGATGGTGAGGTGCAGTCTTGGCCCTTTATATGCCTTCCTTTGATGTATTGTTTTTATAGTTCCTTTATAATGTGAGAAGTCACGAAAGCGCTTGTTATTTCACTATTCTTTCACAGTGGTTGTTTTGTAATGTATATATATTATATATATATATATATATATATATATATATATATATATATATAATATAATATATATATATAATATATATATATATATTATATATATATATATAGATAGATATAGATAGATATAGAAAAAAATACGTCAGTTTTTTTCCTGCACACTGCCACAGAACACATAGTTAAGTGTCTTTTTACGAAGAATAAAAACATTAAATCATAATATTAAGGAAGGATGTACTCTACTATAGAGTACAACTTACTCTAACTCTTTGCCATCATCGCCAAAGTATTCGTCGATGGTGAGAGAGACGTTAGTGTCATGGGCTGAATTGAGGTTGGTCACTACACGTGAGGGCAGACCCAGGGCACGACACACTGCAAAATAATGCCAGACAAATTAATAAATGGCTTAGAAAACCGACAAGCAGATAAATGATATCCAAATGCTGCACGTATCTCAATTATCAATACAAGAGACGAATACAAATCACGTTACTGTGGTTCAAGCTCTTTAAAATTAAAACTTTGACAACTCTGACAGAACGACCGCATAATATTAAAGTTCCCCCTGGATCATCATCTGCTGATAACTATAATGGTTTGGGACTGACTAAAGCGTCTCCCAATTTGCCGGCAAGTCGTGGAAAACACTGAAAATGGGGCTAAAGATAATGATTTACAAATAAACAGAAAGATGGACGATAGGCTCCAACTGTGGTCCTGAAAGTGACTGTCCAAGCCTCCCGTCCATCTCTGTTTATTCACTGACAGCCGTTTATTACTATTTAATCTGGGTTCATAATGACATCAGTCTGGTGGGAGGTAAGGCCTAATGGGTGTCACACGGTAAATGTATTACTATGCTTGGATTTATTGGGTCATCCTAGCTTCATAATCTTCCCAGAGGATAGCCCCTTCAACTACAGAACACGTTAACTGTTGTGACATATTTCATACCACGTACGTAAATAGTTTAATAAGCTTATTGTTCTTGATAGTTTGCAGCTCCATACCTGTGTTAACAACACCAAGGAAGACCTACCTGTGTTAACAACACCAACGAAGACATGTGTTAACAACACCAAGGAAGACCTACCTGTGTTAACAACACCAAGGAAGGCTTACCTGTGTTAACAACACCAACGAAGACCTGCCTGTGTTAACAACACCAACGAAGACATGTGTAAACAACAACAACTAAGACCTACCTGTGTTAACAACACCAGCAAATACCCAGCACTGGCCGTACTTCACGGGGCGGTGGAAGCGAACATACTCCTCTAAGATCTTGATGGATCCAGTCCATCCACTTGGTGATGTTCCGTCATCATACTTTCCATCCCATCTACCCACTACTACACCAGCGTCGTCATTACTGTTAACCTGGAGACAATGGAGAAACGTAGTACTGCTGCACATTTCCTTTGAATCGTAAAGAATTACACCTCTAGAAATGCTGAGATGTAATGGTTCTAATAAGAATTTATTGTTGATATTGAGGACTAAGTAGCAATTGCTGAACTGTGAGGATTATTACAATTTTGAATGTATTGCTGATATTGAAGAAAACGGTAAAATAACATTAGTACTGAAGGGAATTTTTAAGTTTATCAAAATTCTACTTCAAGACCCAGCCTTAGAGTTATCTAAAAACCCACAGCTTCCAAGATCACTCTATGTACTCAGGATCTTAGTAATACCTCTGGATAAGTACTCACACCCCTCAAAGGTCACTATGTACTCACGATCTTAGTAATAGCTCTGGAGACACGGATGGGGTCACCCCTGGACTCAGGTCTCAGACCTGATCTCTCCAGCATGATAATACAAGCAGGGAGCACCACGTCGTCAAACTGACCGAATACCCAGTGTCTGCCCCTGGCAGTAGGGTAGCTACCCTGCCAGATCTGCCGAAGGCGAGAAATACACTATTAACAATTGACCAAGAATACTTATGGTATGAATCTTGGTAATGAATACCCTGTAAGTGCTGTGTAAAAAAAATAATACACGAAGGTAAACGTTTCGCTCCTGGGACCTTGATCATGGTCCCTGGGACCTTGATCACGGTCCCAGGAGCGAATCGTTTTTTCTTATCCTGGCGTCTGCTCACGTTTCCTTTGAAACCAGCGATTCTTATAGCCTAACTTACCAATAAAATAAAAGAAAAGACCTGTGGTGTTAACACCAGCAAAAGACCTACTTGTGTTAACAACACCAGCAAAAGACATGTGTTAACAATACCAGAAAAAAAGACTTAACATGTGTTAACATCAGAAAAAGGCCTACCTGTGTTAACACCAGCAAAAGATTTGCTATCTTAACTCGCGAAATCGTAATGACACGATTGCAAATAAACCATACCACGGGTGGGAATAGAACCCGCGACTCTCTGATCGCGGGTTCCTTCCCCGCCCGTAGTATGGTTTATTTGCTATCTTAACAACATCAACACAGACCTGTGTTAACAACACAGGTAGATCTAATAAAACTAGCAATATTTAACATTATGTATATCTTACCTACTTACGATCACTAATAACTTAACAATATTGCCAGTAAGTTTCCCATACAACTATCACAGATAAGTTACTCTTGCCAAGCAGGCAAGTTATTATTGTTAATAAGTTATTAATGACAGTAGGGGAGTAATGGGTATTCTCACCCTTATCAATAATACCGTTAACGTCCCTACTTACCATCACTAACCTAACTTGCTTACATAAATAATAACTACCAGTTAACTTGGAGTTTACCTGGAGAGAGTTCCGGGGGTCAACGCCCCCGCGGCCCGGTCTGTGACCAGGCCTCCTGGTGGATCAGAGCCTGATCAACCAGGCTGTTGCTGCTGGCTGCACGCAAACCAACGTACGAGCCACAGCCCGGCTGATCAGGAACTGACTTTAGGTGCTTGTCCAGTGCCAGCTTGAAGACTGCCAGGGGTCTGTTGGTAATCCCCCTTATGTATGCTGGGAGGCAGTTGAACAGTCTCGGGCCCCTGACACTTATTGTATGGTCTCTTAACATGCTAGTGACATCCCTGGTTTTCATTGGGGGGATGTTGTATCGTCTGCCAAGTCTTTTGCTTTCGTAGTGAGTGATTTTCGTGTGCAAGTTCGGTACTAGTCCCGCTAGGATTTCCAGGTGTATATAATCATGTATCTCTCCCGCCTGCGTTCCAGGGAATACAGGTTTAGGAACCTCAAGCGCTCCCAGTAATTGAGGTGTTTTATCTCCGTTATGCGCGCCGTGAAGGTTCTCTGTACATTTTCTAGGTGGGCAATTTCACCTGCCTTGAAAGGTGCTGTTAGTGTGCAGCAATATTCCAGCCTAGATAGAACAAGTGACCTGAAGAGTGTCATCATGGGCTTGGCTTCCCTAGTTTTGAAGGTTCTCATTATCCATCCTGTCATTTTTCTAGCAGATGCGATTGATACAATGTTATGGTCCTTGAAGGTGAGATCCTCCGACATGATCACTCCCAGGTCTTTGACTTTGGTGTTTCGCTCTATTTTGTGGCCAGAATTTGTTTTGTACTCTGATGAAGATTTAATTTCCTCGTGTTTACCATATCTGAGTAATTGAAATTTCTCATCGTTGAACTTCATATTGTTTTCTCCAGCCCACTGAAAGATTTGGTTGATGTCCGCCTGGAGCCTTGCAGTGTCTGCAATGGAAGACACTGTCATGCAGATTCGGGTGTCATCTGCAAAGGAAGACACGGTGCTGTGGCTGACATCCTTGTCTATGTCGGATATGAGGATGAGGAACAAGATGGGAGCTAGTACTGTGCCTTGTGGAACAGAGCTTTTCACCGTAGCTGCCTCGGACTTTACTCTGTTGACGACTACTCTCTGTGTTCTGTTAGTGAGGAAATTATAGATCCATCGACCGACTTTTCCTGTTATTCCTTTAGCACGCATTTTGTGCACTATTACGCCATGGTCACACTTGTCGAAGGCTTTTGCAAAGTCTGTATATATTACATCTGCATTCTTTTTGTCTTCTAGTGCATTTAGGACCTTGTCGTAGTGATCCAATAGTTGAGACAGACAGGAGCGACCTGTTCTAAACCCATGTTGCCCTGGGTTCAGAACAGGTCGCTAACAGTTTATGAACATTTATGATAGCAGTTAACCTTGCTAAAGACAGACACTTATAATCTGTTAGCTTATGTCTGAAGCTCAAATCTCGTAACTGATACTACTACTTTCACTTATAATGGCAGTGGAGAGGGACTGTCTATGTTTCGACCTCTAAACTGAGGTCCTCTTCAGTAGATGAGGTCGCAATATGCAAGTCCTCCCCAGATCTTCAAGTGGGTTTCTCCAGTCCCTCTGGTTAATGTTCATTACACTGCCGACATTTCACCACTAGGTCAAAGTTAGTTATTAACATAAGCATGGAGACATTTCGCCCACAAGAGCCTTATTTTCAACCCTACTGAGCGAAACAGTTTACGTCAGTAATAATAATAGAGTATTACCTTGCCCACATCAGCCAAGACATATTCTTCTCGTTTGTCTTCTTCTTCCATAAAAGTGGCGTCATCTGTAATAATAATAATAATAATAATAATAATAATAATAATAATAATAATAATAATAACTACAATAATAACAAAAATAATAATTTATTTTTAAAAAGTACATAATTGTTAAAAGATTGAAAGACATTTAATAATAATTACATATGTAATGTAGAATAAATTAAAACAAAATAACAAGAAACTTTATGGGAAAAATTAATAGCTAGCTTATTAATGCTGAAATTTAATTGTGATAGCAAGTCTTAATGAAAAAATAATCAGTGAATATTAACGAAGTCTTGGAGGACTCGAACCGTGGTCCTTGTACACAGCAGACCCAGCACCGCAACCACTAAGCCGAGAAGGGTATTACAGAATCATTTTTACCACTAGAACCAGTGGTCATAACGCTGGATTTACACTGTTAACATATACCATGGCTCACACGTCTTTATTACCACTTAATGAGACAGTAAGTGGGTGCCCCATGTTTTTATTACGACGTAATAAGAGATAATGTTGAGCTTTATAGAGATTGTCACTCAGTCTTGTAGCTAAAGTTTCTAATAACTGGGCAAAAAGTGCTAATTTTGTCAGATTTATATGCTAAATCAAGTGGTTACCACTTAGTTTAGCTAAGTGACTACCACTTTGTTTATCCCAGCCATTTAAAAACCTAAACTAAGTGACTGCCACTTACGTTTGCTCCAAGGGTTGAAGAGGATATAGAGAAGTGTGTCGAGACGTAACAAGTGGCGACCACTTGCTGTGTCAGTCCCCCGAGGTCTGATTTCCACTGTGGTGTTCCAGACTCCCACTGGTGCGTCAGATGGTACCTGAACCTGCAATTTTAATAATGATGATGATAATAATAATAATGGTAATAATAATAATAATGATAGTGATAATGATAATAACAATAAAGCTAATAAATATGATAATAATAATGATAATAATAATCTAGTTAGTTAGTTAAATATTAGCCGGTATTCTCCCGGCCCGGGCCTTTTCCAAGTGGTGGCCCGGCCTTGGCTCCCTCTTTAGGGAGTGTCTGAGACCTAAGTCTCCCATGGGAGGAGGCACAAGTACCTCCTCATCTTTGGGACCAACTGTCCCCAGGCCTAGCCACAAGCTAGGCCTCTCTGGTCTGCCATCCCCGCCCCAAGGGGGCAAATGGGAATGACAGTCTTATGAGCTAATGGCTCGGGCTCAGGCACCTACCCTACCCTAGAAGGGTTAGGCATGGTGTCGATCATAATAATCTAAATAAAGCCTAACCAAAGATGTACAGAGTTGAAGAATAACCTGAGGACTCCTGGTTGATATGAAACCAGAAATACTATTCGCTTTAATGAGAACAAGCGTAATATCGTTTAATAAGGAAAATATGGTAGTTATGGTTCCTTATGTCTATAATAACTATGGTTTCTTACCTCTACGGTGGCCTTGTTTCCCGTCTGGTTTTCCAGACGGATGTCCCATTGTTCGTGGTTCTTGTCAAAAAGTTTTTTCCCCGAGACGAGAAGCATTGCCTGGGTGCCAGCATGTATGTTGGGAGAAGCACCTGTGTGTATGGTACAGTTTGATAAGTTTATTATGTACCCCATACCCATCCTGTGGGCGGTAGTCAAAGGATTACAGAGGTACATAATGGGTCCAGGGACTGAACCCCCAAAGTTTTGATAGATGAACAAGGTACAATGGGCAAGATTGTCTCTCAGTACCAAGAAGCGAGAGAGACTACTTTCTCTCAGTACCAAGAAGTGATCATATGAGAGAGATGTTTCTCTTAGCACCAGGAGACGAAGGGACGACTTCATCAGGTTCTACCAATACTTCCACAACGTTATTAATAAACCACAATTAAAGCACAATGTAGTATCTTGATAATGTTGTGACTACCCCCCTGCCATGGGTATGTTGTGACTACCACCCATGCCATGGGTATGTTGTGACTACCACCCATGCCATGGGTATATTGTGACTACCACCCATGCCATGGGTATGTTGTGACTACCACCCATGCCATGGGTATGTTGTGACTACCACCCATGCCATGGGTATGTTGTGACTACCACCCATGCCATGGGTATGTTGTGACTACCACCCATGCCATGGGTATGTTGTGACTACCACCCATGCCATGGGTATGTTGTGTATATTAAGTTATTTAACCAGCTTCTGTTAGTTTAATAAGTTTATTGTCAAGAACAATGTCGTTAGGAACACTGTCGTCAGGAACACTGTCGTCAGGAATATTGCTGTCAGGAACATTGTCGTCAGGAACACTGTCGTCAGGAACACTGTCGTCAGGAACACTGTCGTCAGGAACACTGCCGTCAGGAATATTGCTGTCAGGAACATTGTCGTCAGGAACACTGTCGTCAGGAACACTGTCGTCAGGAACACTGTCGTCAGGAAAAAGTTCATTGCAATTAAAGACTTACCAAAAGAGAAGTAGAAAGTAAGTTGATGTTGCTTCTTAAGGTCGATATCTTTGGTGAACTCGACGATGAGAGAGAAAGCTCCCGACCTACGGATAATGGGGGTTCCTTCCCTGATGTCCACCAACTTGTACTTTTCACAGTGGTGGTTGGCAGCGTTGAGCTTAGGTTGGAAGTCCACTGACACCACCTTTAGTGGTGTGCTCACGTCTGTAGGGTGAACGAGAGTGGATTAGGTTAGGTCAGGTTTGTCAGGAAACAGGAGAAGTGTTTCCTGACGCGCGGTCTTAATGTGATCCACAGTTGGAGATTTTGGTCATCTGACCGAGGCCTTCTGCTGGCTTACCGGTCCACCCCTTTTAAAAATTAAGATTAAATAACGAGAGTGGAGGAGGGATTAGTATATAACCCTAGGAACCTGATTCGATGCTGGGGAGGGTTAAAACACACACACACACACACACACACACACACAAACCGAGACAGAACACAGGACGAAAGGAAGACAATGAAAGAGAGAGTTCAAAAACGAAAGGAGAAATGGGAGGAAATGAAAAAGGAGAGCAGAATAACCCAGGATCAAATGGAAGGACAAGCGCACCCCCCAGAAACACCTGCAGAAGGACTCCAGCCACGACACCCCCAAGGCAACTGAACAATCCAAACCAACCATCACACACCGATCCCTCTGTTTCCACCCCCCGCACCACAGTTACAGTATTAGAACAGAAGTTGAAGGTTTGGTACACAAATGCAGATGGATTAACGAATAAACATGAGGAATGGCAAGAAAGAATCAATGAGAAGTCCCCAGGCATCATAGCAGTTACAGAAACAAAACTCATGGAGACAATAACAGATGCAATCTTCCCACCAGGATACCAGATCATGAGGAAAGATAGAAGGGGCAAGGGGGGAGGTGGGGTTGCTCTGCTCGTAAAAAACAGATGGAAATTCGAGAAAATGGAAGGAATAGATGAGACGGGAGAAAGAGACTACATAGCAGGTACACTTCAGTCTGGGGAACACAAAGTGGTCATTGCAGTGATGTATAATCCACCACAGAACTGCAGGAGGCCAAGAGAGGAATATGAAGAGAGCAACAGAGCAATGGTGGACACACTTGCTGAGGTGGCAAGAAGAGCTCACTCCAGCAGAGCAAAGTTGCTGGTTATAGGGGATTTCAACCACAGGGAGATTGACTGGGAAAACCTGGAGCCACATGGGGGTCCCGAAACATGGAGAGCCAGGATGTTGGACGTGGTGCTGGAAAACCTCATGCACCAACATGTTAAGGACATTACCAGAGTGAGAGGGGAGGATGAACCAGCAAGATTGGACCTTGTGTTCACCCTGGGCAGCTCAGACATTGAGGACATCAAGTATGAGAGTCACCTAGGAGCTAGCGACCACGTGGTTCTGTGCTTTGAATACATAGTAGAGCTGCAAGTGGAGAGAATAACAGGAGTTGAATGGGAAAAGCCTGACTATAAAAGAGGGGACTACATAGGGTTGAAGAACTTCCTGCGGGAGGTCCAGTGGGACAGAGAACTGGCAGGAAAGCCAGTAAATGAAATGATGGAATATGTAGCAACAAAATGCAAGGAGGCAGTGGAAAGGTTCATTCCCAAGGGCAACAGTAACAACGGGAAGACCAGAACAAGCCCCTGGTTTACCCGACGGTGTAAGGAGGCAAAAACAAAGTGCAATAGAGAATGGAAAAAGTACAGAAGGCAGAGAACACACGAAAATAGGGAGATCAGTCGCAGAGCCAGGAATGAGTACGCACAGGTAAGGAGGGAGGCCCAGCGACAGTATGAAAATGACATAGCATCGAGAATCAAGACTGACCCGAAACTGTTGTATAGCCACATCAGGAGGAAGACAACAGTCAAAGACCAGGTGATCAGATTAAGGACAGAAGGTGGAGAACTCACAAGAAATGATCAGGAGGTATGTGAGGAGCTGAACAGGAGTTTTAAGGAAGTTTTTACAGTAGAGACAGGAAGGGCTGTGGGAAGACAGCACAGAAGGGAACATCAAGAGGGAATATACCAACAAGTGTTGGATGACATACGAACAACTGAGGAGGAGGTGAAGAAGCTCTTAAGTGACCTTGACACCTCAAAGGCGATGGGACCGGACAACATCTCCCCATGGGTCCTTAGAGAAGGAGCAGAGATGCTGTGTGTGCCTCTAACCACAATCTTCAACACATCCCTTGAAACTGGGCAACTACCTGAGAAATGGAAGACAGCTAATGTAGTCCCCATATTTAAGAAAGGAAACAGAAACGAGGCACTAAACTACAGACCTGTGTCTCTGACATGTATTGTGTGCAAAGTCATGGAGAAGATTATCAGGAGGAGAGTGGTCAAACACCTGGAAAGGAACAAGATTATAAATGAAAACCAGCATGGGTTCATGGAAGGCAAATCTTGTATCACAAACCTCCTGGAGTTTTATGACAAGGTAACAGAAGTAAGACACGAGAGAGAGGGTTGGGTAGATTGCGTTTTCCTAGACTGCAGGAAGGCCTTTGACACAGTTCCCCACAAGAGATTAGTGCAGAAGCTGGAGGATCAGGCACACGTAAAAGGAAGAGCACTGCAATGGATAAGGGAATAGCTGACAGGGAGGCAGCAACGATTCATGGTACGTGAAGAGGTATCACAGTGGGCGCCTGTTACGAGCGGGTCCCACAGGGGTCAGTTCTAGGACCAGTGCTATTTTGATATATGTGAACGACATGATGGAAGGAATAGACTCTGAAGTGTCCCTGTTCGCAGATGACGTGAAGTTGATGAGAAGAATTAAATCGGACGAGGACGAGGCAGGACTGCAAAGAGACCTGGAGAGGCTGGACATGTGGTCCAGTAACTGGCTTCTCGAATTCAATCCAGCCAAATGCAAAGTCATGAAGATTGGGGAGGGGCAAAGAAGACCGCAGACAGAGTATAGGCTAGGTGGACAAAGACTACAGACCTCACTCAGGGAGAAAGACCTTGGGGTGACCATAACACCGAGCACATCACCGGAGGCACACATCAACCAAATAACCGCTGCAGCATACGGGCGCCTGGCAAACCTGAGAATAGCGTTCCGATACCTTAATAAGGAATCGTTCAAGACACTGTACACTGTGTATGTTAGGCCCATACTGGAGTATGCAGCACCAGTCTGGAACCCACACCTGGTCAAGCACGTCAAGAAGTTAGAGAAAGTACAAAGGTTTGCAACAAGGCTAGTCCCAGAGCTCAAGGGAATGTCGTACGAGGAAAGGTTAAGGGAAATCGGACTGACGACACTGGAGGACAGAAGGGTCAGGGGAGACATGATAACGACATACAAGATACTGCGGGGAATAGACAAGGTGGACAGAGATAGGATGTTCCAGAGAGGGGACACAGGGACAAGGGGTCACAACTGGAAGCTGAAGACTCAGACGAGTCACAGGGACGTTAGGAAGTATTTCTTCAGTCATAGAGTTGTCAGCAAGTGGAATAGCCTAGCAAGTGAAGTAGTGGAGGCAGGAACCATACATAGTTTTAAGAAGAGGTATGACAAAGCTCAGGAAGCAGAGAGAGAGAGGATCCAGTAGCGATCAGTGAAGAGGCGGGGCCAGGAGCTGAGTCTCGACCCCTGCAACCACAATTAGGTGAGTACAATTAGGTGAGTACACACACACACAAAGTGCAAAGGTTTGCGACAAGGTTAGTTCCAGAGCTAAGGGGAATGTCCTATGAAGAAAGGTTAAGGGAAATCGGCCTGACGACACTAGAGGACAGGAGGGTCAGGGGAGACATGATAACGACATATAAAATACTGCGCGGAATAGACAAGGTGGACAAAGACAGGATGTTCCAGGGAGGGGACACAGAAACAAGAGGTCACAATTGGAAGCTGAAGACACAGATGAGTCAGAGAGATATTAGGAAGTATTTCTTCAGTCATAGAGTTGTCAGGAAGTGGAATAGCCTAGAAAGTGATGTAGTGGAGGCAGGAACCATACATAGTTTTAAGACGAGGTTTGATAAAGCTCATGGAACAGGGAGAGAGAGGACCCAGTAGCAACCGGTGAAGAGGCGGGGCCAGGAGCTAAGACTAGACCCCTGCAACCACAAATAGGTGAGTACAAATAGGTGAGTACACACACACACACACACACATTACATAAACGTGTAAAATACATTCACAAGTGAAATTCCCTTAGAACACAGGTGTGTGGCATGCGTTTCCTGTCTTGATTAAGATTCCGGATGCTGCAAGAGTGCCAGGCCTTTTGTGGTCCTCCCTCCCTTCACTGGCGAGCCCTGACCTATGGATCGACCCCTAGCATGCACAGCTAGGCTCGCACAATCTGAATCACGGCATTCCCTTAGTTACGTTTACTACCTTGCTTACAACTGAAGGAGCCGGGTTCGATCCAGGTCGTGATGTATTGGAAGGGGGGGGGGGTTCAAGTCTCCTAGAGTTGCTGGTACTGTTCATCTAGCAGTAAGTAGGTACCTGACTGTCATCTCGACTGTGAGTCATCGTGACTGTCATCATGACTGTCTTCTTGACTGTCATCGTGACTGTCAGTCATCGTGACTATGAGTCATCGTGACTATCAGTCATCGTGACTGTCAGAATTATCTTTTCTGGAGTAGATATTAAGCCAAGATAACCCCAGTGGCTTGGTTATCCCTGGATTCCTTCCATTAGATATAACTGTCTAATTCCTAAGTATTCGACGACCCAGTCATCTATTTAACAGTTTTCAAACGGTTATCTAAGAAGCAGTCAGCTGACAGCCATCTGAGAATGAATAAGCTGACAGTCATCTAAGAACCAGTCAGCTGACAGTCATTTAAGAACCAGTCAGCTGACAGTCATCCAAGAATCAATAAGCTGACAATCATCTAAGAACCAGTCAGCTGACAGTCATCCAAGAATCAATAAGCTGATAGTCATCTAAGAACCAGTCGGCTGACAGTCATTCAAGAAACAGTCGAAACCACGTACAGATAACGCACAAGGTTTCACTTACCTACTGACAGGTTGACAGCGTGAGCAATCTCAATTTCTGACTCCAGGTGGCGCTCGTCTCTGCGGTTCTCTTCGTGGTCTCTGCGAAACCTGTCAGCCAGGTTGTCGAAGAAGTTCTCAACACGCACGAAGAACGCCATGTCTGGAAACCTCAACAGGTTTTTAAAGTCGAAACCTTGGTACACATTTACATTTGAAGCCTCAACATATTTACAGGTGGAACCTCAACATATTTACAGGTGGAACCTCAACATATTTACAGGTGGAACCTCAACATATTTACAGGTGGAACCTCAACATATTTACAGGTGGAACCTCAACATATTTACAGGTGGAACCTCAACATATTCACAGGTGAAACTTCAATGCATGTGGAAAATACTGTACATTTTCCGGAAATACGGTAATTTATAGGTAAATAGATGCCCTATATTGTATTTTTAAAAGAAGCATGTTATCGAAAATGGGAAGCCTGCGGCTGGGCAGGGGAGACTCGCCATTGCTGTTTGAACTTGTCAACTGTTAGTGAATATTGGGAAGAATTTTTCGTGCTCTAGAGGTTAAAATTGGGCTGACACCTCTCAAATAGGAGACGAAATTGTTGGATGTGCATTCCTGCATAACTTGAGTATCAGTCGACAGGACAGGACAACTCCAGGAACCTCAGATAAGCTGTCTAATTTATGTTTAAATTCTGGCCAGTAAATTTTTCATAAATGTAGGCAAAAAAAAAAGGGGGGGGGGGGTCCTGTACATGACACATTAATCTCCAGTCAAACTGGTGAGTGATATTAAGATATTTTCCTTCTGTTATGTATATGTGTGTATATATAATCCTTTTTTAGTTTTAATATACAGTCCACAAATTTATATATTTACCAGAATTCCTGGTGATGTATCTTTCATTTATAATTAATAGATCCAGAGCAACTTGTGGATATGACAGTGGTAGGTATCGAAGGGGGACATTTTTTGCGACCTAGGTGTCCCAAATTCCTACTTGTCTAACTCATAAATAATAATTATCTTTGTTCATTTACTGTTATGTACATAATGATACATTCAGATAAATGTAATTTTCCACAATGCATATTTAAACCAGAGTTACAGAAGTCTTAACCAAAGCCTAAACTAGATTCATACACATCTCTGGGTGTGTGTATATATGAGCATATACACATCTCTGGGTGTATATAAATCCAGGGATACATTCATGCGAATGTATGTACAAGGGGACATACACATCTGAAAGTACAAGACCAGAGACATACACACTTGTATATACACAAAGGCATACATCTGAGGATGTATATACCTGGGATATACATCAAACACTGTTTTTAATGAACATGTGCAAAAAACTAGCTTTAATCTTTCTAGAAATAAGATATGTTAACGATAAGGTAATTACACTGAAATGTTTATATCTATGTATATTAATACGCATCTAATTTTATGTTTAACTTCAGGCAGAATAGGTGATATACAATCTTAAAACCTCCTCTCTTTGTTGGATGATTAATGGAACTTATCGCTTATAAACTACACGAGGGGCTATTAAGACCGCATATAAATTCTTCGCTATCAGTCAAAAATCCTTTAATCTCCTCCCCAGAGATTTATTATTATTATTAAAGATTCGCCGGTATTCTCCCGGCCCGGACCTTTTCCAAGTGGTGGCCCGGCCTTGGCTCCCTCTTTAGGAAGTGTCTGAGACCTAGGTCTCCCATGGGAGGAGGTAAAAGTACCTCCTCATCTTTGGGACCAACTGTCCCCTCTGGTCTGCCATCCCCGCCCCAGAGGAGCTAACGGGAATGACAGTGTTTTGAGCTGTAAGCTCTGGCTCAGGCACCTACCCTACCCTAGAAGGGTTAGGCATGGTATCGATGAGATTTTCACAATTATTATTATTATTAAAGATTAGCCGGTATTCTCCCGGCCCGGGCCTTTTCCAAGTGGTGGCCCGGCCTTGGCTCCCTCTTTAGGGAGTGTCTGAGACCTAAGTCTCCCATGGGAGGAGGCACAAATACCTCCTCATCTTTGGGACCAACTGTCCCCAGGCCTAGCCACAAGCTAGGCCTCTCTGGTCTGCCATCCCCGCCCCAAGGGGGCTAATGGGAATGACAGTCTTATGAGCGTAAGCTCGGGCTCAGGCACCTACCCTACCCTAGAAGGGCTGGGCATGGTGTCGATGAATTTTCACAATAAATTTGTAAATACATACTAAACATAAGATATCACACAATGTATATATCCTGTAGTATGTAATCGATGGTCTTTAAACCAGTCAAACTCTGATATAATTTAAAGGGCCAATTTGCTAAATTCCAATTTTTTTTCTTATATACATATTAAATGTTAATACTTACTAGTGTGTGGGTAACACAGTCAATGTGATGCTGCAACACAAACTGTGTTATACCTGCTGACGGATGCTCATATATACCTCCCCAGGTACACACTGGCAACAGCTCCTTTTATGGCAATTTTACCAATCATGGACATCTTAAAATAAACTAAAAATTTCCATATTACTTAAAGAAAACTCGTTTTATTTACCACGTATTGAAGAGCTTACAAGTGACTATAATACACTTATCATCAGACATTAAACACGTATACTGAATCAATAATAATATATATCTGCATACAAATGTTATCCTTCATTAATTTTCTATATTTTTTATTGATATACAAGAGTTACCCCTCATCTTTCTCTATTTTTATTGATATACAAAAGTTACCCCTCATCTGTCTATATTTTTATTGATATACAAAAGTTACCCCTCATCTGTCTATATTTTTATTGATATACAAAAGTTACCCCTCATCTTTCTATATTTTTTATTGATATACAAAAGTTACCCCTCATCTGTCTATATTTTTATTGATATACAAAAGTTACCCCTCATCTTGTCTATATTTTATTGATATAAAAAAGTTACCCCTCATCTGTCTATATTTTTTATTGATATACAAAAGTTACCCCTCATCTGTCTATATTTGTATTGATATAAAAAAGTTACCCCTCATCTGTCTATATTTTTATTGATATACAAAAGTTACCCCTCATCTGTCTATATTTGTATTGATATAAAAAAGTTACCCCTCATCTGTCTATATTTTTATTGATATACAAAAGTTAACCCCTCATCTGTCATATTGTATTGAATAAAAAATTCCCCTCATACTTCTATATTTGTTTGATAAATAAAGTTACCCCTCATCTGATCTATATTTTTATTGATATACAAAGTTACCCCTCATTTGTCTATATTTTTTATTGATATAAAAAATTTACCCACATCTTCTATATGATTTATTGATTACAAAGTTACCCTCATCTTCATATTGTATTGATTATAAAAAGATTAGGGCTCATCTGCTAATTTTTATTGATAACAAAAGTTACTCCCTCATCTGTTATATTTGTATTGATATAAAAAAGTTACCCCTCATCTGTCTATATTTTTATTGATATACAAAAGTTACCCCTCATCTGTCTATATTTGTATTGATATAAAAAAGTTACCCCTCATCTGTCTATATTTTTATTGATATAAAAAAGTTACCCCTCATCTGTCTATATTTTTATTGATATACAAAAGTTACCCCTCATCTTTCTATATTTTTATTGATATACAAAAGTTACCCTCATCTGTCTATATTTTTATTGATATACAAAAGTTACCCCTCATCTGTCTATATTTTTATTGATATACAAAAGTTACCCCTCATCTTTCTATATTTTTTATTGATATACAAAAGTTACCCCTCATCTTTCTATATTTTTTATTGATATACAAAAGTTACCCCTCATCTTTCTATATTTTTATTCATATATGAGAGTTACCCTCATTCATTGTCACATTAAAAAAAACAATTGCGCTATTATTTGACTTTCTGGTAACACTTAAATTATTATGATCAGATTTAATCTTAATTGGCTATTTGTAATTTTTGTTTTGCTCGAATAAGATTTCTCTGAGACTTTATTATGGGATTTATTTTTAATTTTTACTTCTTGATATATTTAATGTCAGACTGATGGGATTTCCAAGTTAATGTATTGTGACCTGGATTATTATATTATCATTATTATTATTTCTGTTATTATTATTGCTATTATTATTATTATAATTAATATTATTATTATTATTACTGTTATTATTACTATTTCTTCTTATTATTTTGAGAGGGAAGCGCTAAAAATGTACGGCGAGAGGACAGGTGGTGTCGCAGGTGAGAGAGAAACAGGTGCAACCATAAGCAAGTGACCAAATTAAGCAGTGTGTGCGCTACACCCATCCGGTCCCCAGCCCGACCTGTGTCACCTCTATGGGACGGGTCTCTTGAGGCTGGCTAGGCGGGAGGTGCGGTGCTTTTGATCCAAGGGACCAAAATCCCATATTTCTTCCTCTCCTATTAGTTCAGATCCAAGCTGTATGGCCCTCCTCCTCCCCATACGGTTTTAACGCTCTCCCCTATGTGTAACGAGAGTTTATCTCGCGATATCCGGTTCGCTGTTATCACATCCGGTCGTTTGGTAACACGTGTGGGATAGCACAGGTGAGGGATGCTCCGGCCTAATTGGGTCATTAATACCTGGCGTACTTACGAGTGAAGCTTACATTAAGATAATTATTTTCACGAGGGAGGTTACCTGGAGGTTACCTGGAGGTTATTCCGGGGATCAACGCCCCCGCGGCCCGGTCCATGACCAGGCCTCCCGATGGATCAGGGCCTGATCAACTAGGCTGTTACTGCTGGCCGCACGCAGTCCAACGTACGAGCCACAGCCCGGCTGATCCGGCACTGACTTTAGGTATCTGTCCAGCTCTCTCTTGAAGGCAGCCAGGGGTTTATTGGCAATTCCCCTAATGCTTGATGGGAGGCTGTTGAACAGTTTTGGGCCCCGGACACTTATGGTGTTTTCTCTTAGTGTACCAATGGCGCCCCTACTTTTTATTGGCGGCATTTTGCATCGCCTGCCCAGTCTTTTACTTTCGTAGGGAGTGATTTCTGTGTGCAGATTTGGGACCATTCCTTCCAAGATTTTCCAAGTGTAGATTATGATATATCTCTCCCTCCTGCGTTCCAACGAGTACAAGTCAAGTGCTTCCAAGCGTTCCCAGTAGTTAAGGTGCTTGACAGAACTTATACGTGCAGTAAAGGTTCTCTGTACACTGTAGATCTGCGATTTCACCTGCTTTGAATGGAGAGGTAGTAAGGATGATGCTGTTCTTGGAACTTACTTAGACAAGCTGTGTGGGATGGTAAGCAAGACACACATGTGCAACACTTGTGTCTTCATTCCGAAATTTTTCGCCTAGACAGCAGGCTTTCTCTTCTTATCTACTTCATATCTAGAAGTATAAATTATAGGAGTCCTCAGGTTGTTCTTCAACTCTATATATCCTTGGTTAGGCCTCATTTAGACTATGCTGCTCAGTTCTGGTCACCGTATTACAGAATGGATATAAATGCTCTGGAAAACGTACAGAGGAGGATGACAAATTTGATCCCATGTATCAGAAATCTTCCCTATGAGGATAGACTGAGGCCCTGAATCTGCACTCTCTAGAAAGGCGTAGAATTAGGGGGGATATGATCGAGGTGTATAAATGGAAAACAGGAATAAATAAAGAGGATGTAAATAGCGTGCTGAAAATTTCCAGCCAAGACAGGACTCACAGCAATGGTTTTAAGTTGGAAAAATTCAGATTCAGGAAGGATATAGGAAAGCACTGGTTTGGTAATAGAGTTGTGGATGAGTGGAACAAACTCCCGAGTACAGTTATTGAGGCTAAAACGTTGTGTAGTTTTAAAAATAGGTTAGATAAATACATGAGTGGATGTGGGTGAGTGTGAGTTGGACCTGACTAGCTTGTGCTGCTGGGTCTGGTGCAGTGCTCCTTCCTTGAGTGGAAGTGACCAGACTGGGTGGGTCATTGGGCTAATCGAAGGGGGGGGGGATCATTGGGCTAATCCGGGGGGGACGGACATGGACCTGCTCCGCATGGGTCAGTAAGCCTGTTGTAGTGTTCCTTCTTTCTTATGTTCTTAATGCAGGAGAAATGTGTAGGATGCCTCACTAAGATATTCTTGTAGGATACTGCCTTGTTTGATGGGGATACATTGGTATTTTATGAGGATACTGCCTTGTTTGATGGGGATACATTGGTATTTTATGAGGATACTGCCTTGTTTGATGGGGATACATTGGTATTTTATGAGGATACTGCCTTGTTTGACGGGGATACATTTGGTATCTTATGAGGATACTGCCTTGTTTGATGGGGATACATTAGTGTCTTAAGAGGATACTGCCTTGTTTAATGGGGATACATTGGTATTTTATGAGGATACTGCCTTGTTTAATGGGGATACATTTGGTATCTTACGAGGATACTGCCTTGTTTGATGGGGATACATTGGTATCTTACGAGGATATTGCCTTGTTTGATGGGGGATACATTGGTATCTTACGAATATACTGCCTTGTTTGATGGGGATACATTGGTATCTTACGAATATACTGCCTTGTTTGATGGGGATACATTGGTTCTTACGTATATACTGCCTTGTTTGATGGGGATACATTGGTATCTTACGAGGATATTGCCTTGTTTGATGGGGGATACATTGGTATCTTACGAATATACTGCCTTGTTTGATGGGGATACATTGGTATCTTACGAATATACTGCCTTGTTTGATGGGGATACATTGGTTCTTACGTATATACTGCCTTGTTTGATGGGGATACATTGGTATCTTACGAGGATATTGCCTTGTTTGATGGGGGATACATTGGTTCTTACGAATATACTGCCTTGTTTGATGGGGATACATTGGTATCTTACGAGGATATTGCCTTGTTTGATGGGGGATACATTGGTATCTTACGAATATACTGCCTTGTTTGATGGGGATACATTGGTTCTTACGTATATACTGCCTTGTTTGAATGGATACATTGTTATCTTACGAGGATATTACCTTGTTTGATGGGGATACATTGGTATCTTACGAATATACTGCCTTGTTTGATGGAGATACATTGATATCTTACGAATATATTGCCTTGTTTGATGGAGATACATTGATATCTTACGAATATACTGCCTTGTTTGATGGAGATACATTGATATCTTACGAATATATTGCCTTGTTTGATGGAGATACATTGATATCTTACGAATATATTGCCTTGTTTGATGGAGATACATTGATATCTTACGAATATATTGCCTTGTTTGATGGAGATACATTGATATCTTACGAATATACTGCCTTGTTTGATGGGGATACATTAGTGTCTTACGAGGATACTGCCTTGTTTGATGGGGATACATCGGTATATTACGAGGATACTTGTTTAATGGGGATACAATGCTATCTTACTAGAATTCTGTGCCAGGAAATTGGAACTACCCTTCATTTCCGT